CACAAAATATAGCCCATAGCCATGTATGGCCTTAGGGACTCTGGCAAGGACAAGCACCTGAGTAAGCACAGAGCGAGAAAAAGATGTGAATGAAGGTATGTATTTAATCTTCCTGATGTGAAGCCAGTGTTGCATGAAGGGAAGATGGTATGATTCTACTTATGTATAAATTGTCTTGCTGTTTTTGTACATTCTTTCAGGGCCATTTACATTTGGGAGATTTCAAAAACATTCCTATCACCATCATTTAAATATGGTAACCTTTTGGAGACAGTAGCAGACCTTCTAGTGTTTCCAGTAGCTATGGCCTTTAAGTCCAAAGACTCAACTGGTCTTAACATTTATTTGTAGTTGGAGGATGAAAATCCTATGATGGAAGCACAACCAGGGGTCCTGTCTAGTGTTTTGTTGTGGCTTTTAGACAATATCTGTTAGTTATGCCACTTTGAGACAGTTTGAAAAGTTTGTGTTTAAGCTTTTCTAAAATATGGGTCAAACTTTATGTGTTTTGTGGACTTACTTTAATGTCACACCCTTTATATCATATCAGTTTGTGCATTCATATCAGCAAAAGATAGTGCCAAAGGTCCTCTAGGTACCACGGAGATGATTAAAGTAGAAAGGCCAGGGTTTGCTCCAGGAGTGTTGCACCTTTGGAGGCAAAAGGTATCAGTTACATTCTTTGCTGAGGTCCTTCCTTGTTGAGTCAGAGTGGAAACAACACAAACCAGAGAGGAGCTGCCTCCCTTCTCAGTAGGGGGAAATGGAACAGGCCTCCCTGGATTGCATTCCCCAATGTTCCAGATCTCTGCACAGGATGGACTTTCTCTGAAAGCTTTAGGCATGTTACAACAAGACAGCATCTGGCAGACAGACCTGGCTTTCCAAACAGCTTCTCTACTGCTTCAAATACACTTGAGGTTCAAGGGGTCAAGATTTTTATGAATCAAGTAAGGCTAGTATTGCTACTTCCAGACTCTCTTCTCTGTTCCTGTTTGGTTATTTAATCGTTACGTTTTGGTTTTTCTTGTTTCCCTCATTACTTAGAATTGATAAACTATGACATGAGGAAAAATCAAGTTAATTTATTTTCTCCCCAAAGTTCATTTTCCTCTATTAACCACTCTGACCCCATCTCAAATCATGTTTTACTGTGAATGGCAAGGATGATAATGATCATTAAACAGTTATGTATATTGTCATTCTCAGAGAGAGAGAGAGAGAGAGAGAGAGAGAGAGAAAATATACAAATTAATAGGCTGGGTGCTGTCCCACATATCTGTTATCCCAGTGACTCAGTAGGCTGAGGCAGGAAAACTGCAAGTTTAAGGCCAGCCTCAGCAACTTGGTAAGACCCTGTCTCAAAATATAAAAATTTCAAAAATGACTGGAGATGTGATTCAGTGGTACAGTGTCCCTGAGTTCAATTCCCAATACCATAGAGAGAGAGAGAAAAAAAATGCTGGAGCAGATTGAGGGGAAAAGGAACATTTTTACAGTATTTTTGGGGCTGTAAATTAGTATAACCACTATGGAAATCAATATAAAGGTTCCTCAAAAGACTAGGAATAGACCATCATATTTTCCAGCTATACCATGACTTTAGGATAACCAGAGTTATCCTAAAGAATCAAAGTCATTATACTATAGTGATTCATGCATACCCATGTTTATATAAGCACAATTCACAATAGCAAATTATGGAACCAGCCTAGGTGTCTGTTGATGGATGTATGGATAAAGAAAATGTATATATACACAATGGAATTTTATTCAGCCATAAAGAAGAATGAAATTGTGTCACAGAAGGAAAATGGTTGGAACTTGATAGAGTTATGTTAAATGAAATAAACAAGACTCAGAAAGTCAAGGTCATAAGTTTTTTCTCATACACAAAGGTAGAAAGAAAAAAGGAGAGAAAAATGTTGGAAGGGGATCTCTTGAAAATAAAAAGAAAATTAGTAGAAAAGAGGAAGGAAAATAGAAGGAGGCAGTTGAGGAGGGAAGGGGGGTTCTAAGGAATGATATTAACCAAATTATATTATTATATTGTGTGCATATACACATACATACCAACAAATTCCACTATTATGTACAATATAATGAACTAATTAAAATAAATAATAAAGTAAATAAAATCCCCTACAAATTTGTAGGTTATTTCCAGCATGCATTTCAGTGCCTTCAATTCCCTACCTCACTAAGGTACTAAGTTTCCAATCCTCATTAGACACACACACACACACTCCACAGTGCATTTCTCATGAGCCTGACATATTGCAGCTAAACTTCTTGGATTCCATATTTTTTCTTCCTTATTTTATCAGTGAGGACTGTTCTAGTTTTACATAATGTGAATTCAACCTGAATGGTTTAAAAAACAAAACAGAAATATGTATAAAGAATTTACTGCAGGGTGCAGTGGCACACACCTATAATCCCAGTGGCTCAGGAGGTTGAGGCAGGAGGACTGCAGGTTTAAAGCCAGCCTCAGCAAAAATGAGGCACTACACAACTCAGTGAGATCCTGTCTCTAAATAAAATTCAAAATAGGGCTAGGGATGTGGCTCAGTGGTCGAGTGCCCCTGAGTTTAATGCCCAGTACAAAAAAAAAAAATTACTGGCTTGCTAAAAAGTCAAGAATAACATAGGTTCAGGAAGGGCTAGATCTAGGACTCAAAAAAAAAAAAAAAAAAAAACTTCCCCAAATTCAGTTTTTCTCTAGCTGTGGTTTCCTGCACAGTAGGTGATATTTTCAACCAGGTGTTCCCCTTTTAATGTAAAGGTGGTTAGATGAAGCTTTATAGATAATGACCACCACAGGAAATAAGGCTCTTTTTCCCACTGGTTTCCATAAAACCTCACGATTGCAGCCAGGTTAATATATTCTACAGCTGAACACATTACAGTAGCCAGGATAATACAATATAGTAATTGAATAGGTATATATAACATGTAAGATGAGCATCCTGGTTTTCTTGGGACTTCCTGGTTTTGCCTGTGAAGTCCTGTTTTACAGTAAACCTCTCAGTCCCAGGTAAATCAAGATGGTTGTTCACCCCAGCTTACATGTGTATCAAAAGGATGGGGTTGTTTCCAAACCTCAGCAGATATTGTAACAGCAGGGATTGAAAGCTAAGCAGGTGGAAAACATCAACAAGTACACGTGAACTAAAGAACTATGCTGATCAACATGGTGGCCACATGTGCCTGCTGACCACTTGAGACAGTAGTAATCTACAGTTTAGTTTGAATGTAGATCTGAATTAAAATATGCAGTAAATGCAAAATATACACTGGATTTCAAAAACTGTGAATGAAAAAATGTAAAACATCTTAATAATTGTTTTTATATTGAAATGATCATGTTTAAGATATATTGAGCTAAATATTAAAATTAAAAATTTTATTTTTAACTGATACAAAAACATAATTGTATGTAATTATGGGGTACTACCTGATTTTTTTGATACATGTATACACTGTAATGTTCAAACATCTATCTCCTTGAACATTGATCATTTCTTTATACTGAAAGCATTCAAACTTTTAGCTTTTTGAAATATACAGTACATTATCATTATCCATAGTCATCCTACTGGGCAGTATTAAAACTACTTACTCCTATCTAACTATGAGCAAACTCAAATCTCTTTTTTAAATTTTTTTTAAAAAAAAATTTAGTTTTTAGTTTTAGGTAGACACAATCTTTATGGTGCTGAGGATCAAACCGAGTGCCTCATGCATGCCAAGCAAGTGTTCTACCACTGAGCCACAATCCCAGCCCATAAATCTCTTTTCTCTACCTTCCAGGATCTGGTAACCATAATTCTACTCTTAACTTATGAGATCTTTTTTTTTTTTTTTGTATTCCACATGAGTGAGATCATATGGTACTTGTTTTTCTGGGTCTGGTTTATTTTACTTAACATAACAATCTCCATGTTGTCATGAACAACAGGATTTTGTTCTTTAAGGCTGAAAGTACTCTGCGGTGTACATGTACCATATTTCCTTTATCTATTTATTTGATGGGTACTTAGGTAGTTTCCACTTCTTGACAAAAACAAGAAAATAAACTAACAAACAACAACAACAACAACAAAAAAACCCTACTTGAAAAAAATCATTACCTGAATAACTTCAATTTCCTTTATTCTACGCTATTGTTTGTAACTGGAAATCTATACAACTAGGAAATGGAAATTCAGTGTATCACTGACACAGCTCGCACATTCATAATTACCTAAAGAGCAACAATGAGTGGCTCATTACAAAATCCCAATGACCAGTTGTCAAAATGAAGTCTTAGAAGTAAACGTCCAAAATATTTTAATTAATATGCATAACTAGCAACACATATATTATCATATTAAACACATAAAATCATTCCAGTTTGATTAAGTTGCTAACATCTTCCTTTGTTGTGCTGGGAAAAGGCCAAATTTTGGGATTATGTGAATCTTGGCTCTGGTGCTTATTAAATCTTAGGGCCTTGGGCAGTTTCGTTACTGTAAGCCTCCATTTCCTCATTCGTAAATACCCTACAGCATTTTCGGAGTGTCTGGAGATTGTCAAAACACTAGCCACTCACTAAACGGAAGTCTTTATTACGGTACTCTTTGGCTTTCATATATGAACTCAATGTTAATGAGCACCAAGAGAAAGAAATTAAACCCGTCTCCCGACCACGTCCAGTCACATCAGGATACCTCTCCAACAGGCCACTGAGAGTCCCTTTTGCTGGAAGTGGATGTGGCCCCGCGAAGGATCACAAAGCGCGACCCAGCGGTGAGGAGGGATTTCCGCCAGACGCCGGGAGGGTGGGCTATACCCAGACGCCCACCGGAAGAGGCGGGAGGAACGCCGGCGCCGGGAGGGAGGCGCCCTGAAGCGCCGCAGAGGGAGGACTACATTTCCCATAAGTCGGCAGGGCCGGGCAAGGGGTGGGCGTCGGGGACATTACCGGACAGGCCTTGCCGGCAGTACGAAGGTAAATGCCGGCACCGCGGCTCGAAGAGAAAAGTCTTAGGATCCGCGACTAGATTTGTGCTAGTAACCCCTCTAACCCATCCTGAACCGACAAAAACGATGCTCCTAGTGGGGCGACTTTGAGATTTCCGGGTCGCACCCCTCCGACCCCGCAACCCAAGACAACACACCCCTTACGGGTCTGGGGGCGCTTTCTCAATGCCCAAGGAAGCGGGGGAGCTGTGCTCGCTCGGGGAAGGCCCAGGGTATCCCTATGTAGGTTTGACGGTCTGTATAGGGCCCTCTAACGCCCCTTCCCCACGCCCAATCCCCTTTTAAGTCGGGCTAGAGAAGGGATGTGCTGGGCTTCCTGGGGCTCATAGAAAGGGGTCGTGTAGGAGAAGGTGTCCCCCTTCCGACCCAGTTGAGTAGCGGGCGACTTCCTTTGATTGCTGCTCGGACATCTTGGCTGGGGCGGTGAAAGTTGTCATAAACTTGGGGGCCAAGCATCTCCTTCCAAAGTCCCCAATCCTCTACCCTTTGGAGTGGTATCACGGTGCCGTTGGTGAGGCTAAGAGACTTGCGCTAGGTCACAGAATCCAAGTGGCAGAATGGAAGGTACGCACCGAGCCTGTCTGGATCTAAAGCTCTTTGCTTCTGTCCCATTACCTTCTTCAAGCCCTATCCTAAGAGAAGGCAGGAGCTGGGGACTGCACAGTCTGTCGCGTTTGGTTTTCTTTTTCTTTTTTTTGTCCGGAGGGACCCTCGCGCGCCCTTAGGGCCCAGGGGCAGAATCCAACTCCGTGATCCCAGAGTATAGCGACCTCTTTTCCCACCCTCCTAAACAACCCGAGCACAAGGTCTTCCCCTGGTCAATCCGGGTCGGTGACCCCTTGGACAGCAGTCTCTCCTTTCGCCTCTCCCAGGTCCTTTTCTGGGGACGCACGGGCCGCGAGCGTCAGCCGCACGGGGCGGGTGGGTGGGGTTTGCTGCGCGGCGGCGGCGGCGGCACCGGCAGCGGCGGCAGCTGGTGGGTCCTGCGGTGACTCCGGGGCGGGGCTGAGGGCAGGGTGCCGATTGAAAGACCGACTCCGCGGGAATGGGGGGTGTGGTTGGTCGGCCAGAGTCCTTCGAGTGGGAGAGCGGCTCCGCGACCACCGGTGGCCGGACCCCCTCTGCCTTCTGCTAGAGATGCTCTTCCTCTCGGTGAGTTAATTTTCTGTCGTCGCGGGCAGGGTTCTGGTTCTTAGTCACGCCCCGGGGAGGAAGGAGAAAGGCCACCTCGATTTGTGTGGCCTGGATAGAGCAGGGCAAAAGGGAACTGACCAGCTGCGTTCCTAGGCCTCCTCCCTTTGGGGCATGTTGATCCGCGGCTGCGCTGCATGTTCCAGTTTCATGCAGGCTCCTGGGAAAGCTGGTGCTGCTGCTGCTGCCTGATTCCTGCCGACCGATCTTGGGACCGGGGCCCGCGCTGGCGGCTGGAGATGGCGGACACTAGATCGGTCCATGAAACCAGGTTTGAGGCGGCCGTGAAGGTGATCCAGAGTTTGCCGAAAAATGGTACGTGCACTGGGCCCCGCTGGAGAAGCCTTCCGACGAGGCCCAAGGTCTCTAAACCTCACCTTCTTTAACCTTCTTTCTGGTTCGAGCCTGGCTTATTTAGCCTACTTTTTTCCTGTGTTGTAAAGGCATGTAATTGGTAGGGGAGGTATTGAATATGAATTAACGACCTGCTGATCTTTGAAGCCACAGACAAATGTTATCCACATTTTAAGTTGTTTAGATAGTTAAAAACGAAAGTCTTCTCATTTAATGACTGCGGATTTGTTAAAAAAAAATCTGGGATGGGATACCTGGTACCATATACTCGAAAATCTACAATTCAAACCTTTTGAAAACTTTTGCTATGAAGTAAGAGAAAGGAAGAAGTAAAGTAAAGGAAAAAACAGCAATATTCATTTGTAAAATGGTTTATTTTAATAAATATACTTTTTTTGCTGCTATTCCGTTGTATTAGCATTTTGTTTTGTTTTGTTTAACATATACCTATATTGGACCTTCTTTGCAGCTTGTGGGGAAAGTCAGATCTATTGTTCTCTTTCTTTTAGTATGTCATTTCTCTGTTTAGTTTTCAGTAATTTGACTATGATGTGTTTAGATGTGTTTTTTTCTTCTTATTTATCCTGTTTACAGTTTGTAAACTGTAAATTGTAATTTTATTTTTGGGCAGTGTTGGAAAGTTTTCAGCCATTATTTTTTCCCCCCTTTTCTAAGTAGAGTGGCTTGGGGAGGGAGACTTTCACTTTGCAATTCATGTCCTTTGCATCATATGGATTATTTTAAATCATAAACTAATTTTTAAAAATGCTTTTAAGCACTATTACTGTACCAGAGTGGGAAACCTGACTATATAAACATATTACTAGAGTATTTAATATCATCTTCTTGGGTTTTCATTAATCATATTTGGCTAAGTAATGAATCTTCAATACAGTTCACTCAAAAATTTGCTAAGTGCAGATTCAGAAAGTTTTGTAGAGCTGGTACTTAGGCTGAATGATGCCCTGGGTTCAATCCTAGTGACACCCTTGGAAAAAAGAAAAAAGAAAGTTATGAAAACAAATGTACAGAAAAAATAATGTTCCCTTTTGTAATCTCCCCCCCCCCCCCCCCCCGCCCCGAACTTTGTATTGAACTTAGGGAGGCTCTGAGGTACATCCCCAGCCCTTTAAACTTTTTTTATTTTGTACTGAATTTGTGATTCTCTGCTTTAGTCTCCTGATTCTTTTATACTTTCAAACATTCCATTGAAGGAGGTCATAGAGAGGATTGAAAGTTAAGCTAGAAGAAACAGAATGTATACAAATAACATAGGAATTTATTTAAGTATTGATATTTTAATGTTAGGTTAAGGGTGTTTATAGAAAGGTATGATTCCAAGAGTTTTTTATAAGTAGTACAAGTTTTTTGAAAATTGAAAAAGCTAGACTTAATGTCTTCAGCTTACTTTTTTTTTTTTTTTTAACATTTTAGTCAACTTACTAAAAAAACTCATGTAAATTAAAAGAGTTTGTATTTACTTAACATTTTAGAAGGCATTATTACAAAGTTAAAATTAACAATAGTACTGGAGGTGTAGCTTAGTGGTGAAGTTCAGACTTAGCATGCAGGATACCCTGAGTGTGATCTCCAGCATCTGTCCCCCCACTGGCTCCACACAAAGATCATGTTATTTTTCTGAAACTGAAGTAATATTCATTGAGCCACAAGTTTGTTATAATGAATTATTAAATATTTTTATTTTAAATTAATTTTTTTCAGGAGGGAAAGTTTATTTTGGTTCACAGGAATTATTAAATATTTTTATAAAACACTGTTTTTTAAAATTGGTCTGGTCTGATCTATTTTACAAAAAGCAAAATCTTATAGTTTTGTTTTTATTGCTTAATATTTAATAATAAATGCTTTTTTTTTTTTTTTGGTAGTGGGGATTGAGCCCAAGGGTGCTTAATCACTGAGCCATATTCCCAGCACTTTTTATTTTTTATTTTGAAACAGGGTCTCTCTAAGTTGCTTAGAGCCTCACTAAATTGCTGAGACTGGCCCTGAACTTGAGATTCTTCTGCCTCTACTTCCTGAGCTGCTGGGATCACAGGTGTGCATCACCATTCCCAGCTTTAACAATTTTATTTTGAGACAGGGTTTAGCTAAGTTGGTTAGGGCCTTGCTAAGTGCAATAATGACTTTGATCTTTAGAAATATAAATTCTTAGATAATATTTCAAACACATATATTAAGTATGTCATGTGAGTGCCTCAAAGACAAAAGATCAGATACATCATACTTTGTCTGCAATCTTACAGCGCAGAATATGTTCAATAATTTTTTTGTTTGTTTGGGTTTTTTTTTTTTTTTTTTTGATACCAGGGATGGAAACCAGGGCACTTGAGCTAAGGATCTTGCAAAGTTGCTTAGGGCCTCACTAAATTGCTGAGATTCGTTTTGAACTTGTATCCCTCCTGCTTCAGTCTAACAAGTTTCTAGGATTACAGGAGAGTGCCATTGCATCTGGCAATTTTTTTTTTTTTTTAATATAAAGTATGTGTCATTGAGCCAAACCTATTAAACCTTTAAATCTTAACTTTGTGGGCTGGGGGTATAGCTCAGTTGATAGAATGCTTACCTCGAATGCACAAGGCCCTGGATTCAATCTCAAGCACCACACACACAAAATATCTTACTTTGTTGGCTTACTGAAGACATTAAGAGATGAGGTTTTTGAATTTTCAAATGTAGATTTGTGTTACTCACTGGTAACCATTTTTAACAATTTTTTCTGCATTTTTTTTCCTCTGTTGCATAAAAAACAACTATATCATTGAAATACTGTATCTAGTAGATACTCCCAAATGTGCCTATATTATATAGATAATTGTTATTGTGATTAGGAATTAATTATTCATTCTTTTTTAAAAAACATTTTTTTATTTTTTTGGAAGTAGTTGGAAACAATACCTTTATTTTATTTACTTATTTTTATGTGGTGCTGAGGATTGAACCCAGGGCTTCACATGTGCTAGATGAGTGCTCCACCTCTGAGCCACAACCCCAGCCCCAATTATTCATTCTTGATTAGACCTGAAACACCAGTTCTCAGTTTGTCAGTGTTGTAATTTCCATTTTTATAAATGACTAGCTTTTGATTCACATGTTATCTGTTTAGTATGAAGTCATGAAGTTTTCAAAATACCTTCTTACAGTTTTTATTTGTATAATAAATAATACATATTGCTTTGAAAGTAATATGCACTAATGTTAAAAATTTAAACAAATGCCAGGTGTGGTGGCATATGCCTGTAATTCCACCTATTCAGGAGGCTGAGGCAGGAGGATCTCAAGTTCAAGGACAGCCTGGGCAACTTAATGAGACCCTGTTTCAAAGTAAAAGAAAATTGAGGATGTAACTCAGAGATAGAGTGCTTGCTAAGCATGTTTAGTCCCTAATACTGAAAAAAAAATTAACATAGATAAGTAAAAAGGAAAATAAAATAATCTGTGTATCTACTATCCAGAGATAGCTCCTTTTAACATTTTTATGTATAGCCTTTTGATGTATTTTTCATGTATGTAAATTCTTATTTTGTAAAAATAGATCATATTGTATATGCTGTTTTTAACCTATACTTTATAGAAGATCATGAAATTTATCAGGCCATTATTAGGGCTATCATTATAATATTCTGTTACTTGTGTGTATCATAATTATCTAGCCAGTTATCTATTAACAAAAAAACTAGCATTCCAATTCTTCATTTTAAGAGTATTGTAGCTGGATGTGGTGGCACACACCTGTAATCCCATTGACTCTGGAGGCTGAAACAAGAGAATTACAAATTTGAGGCCAGCCTCAGCAACCTAGTGAGACAGCATTTCAAAATAAAAAATAAGAAGCATGTATGAAGACACGATGGTGTAACTCTACTTTGTGTACAACCCGAGAAATGAAAAATTGTGCTCTATTTGTATAACATGAATTGTAATGCATTCTGCTGTTGTATATAAAAAATTAGAATAAATTTAAAAAAATAAGAAGGGCTGAGGATGATCTGAGGATCTCAGAGAGCCCCTGAATTGTCACAGTGTGGGGAAAAAAATTATATTCCAATTCATGGTACTTGACTTTATACTTTGAAAATTTCAAATATAAAAGAGGTTATGAATATTGATAGATATGCTAGAAACATATATGAAGACTTATCTTCAAAAAACTGATTTAACCAAAATTACAAAGGTAAAAATTGAGAAATCTGTTTTATATTGCATTAGTTCTTTTTCCACTAAAGTACACACTGGTTGGCTTTAGCCAAAGTTCCTTATCCAGTGGGAAATTGAAATTTGGCCAAGAGGAGTTTGATTTTTTACTGTTGATACTTTATTAACCAAAGTATGTTTCTAACTTTTTTTCATTTATGCTAGTCAGTTTTGATTTTTCACAAGCTTTATTTTGCTTAATAACATTATTCTGTACTTCCATATTTTAATTTTTTTTATTTGTAGATGGACATAAAACCTTTTATTTAATTTATTTATTTTTATGTGGTGCTGAGGATCGAACCCAGGGTCTTGCACGTGCTAGGCAAGCGCTCTACCACTGAACTGCAACCCCAGCCCTATACTTCCATATATTTTATGTGATGTTTTCTGGTTATTTTTGGTTATTTTGGTTATACCCTTAGAGTGTTTATTCATTTTATTTATTTACTTATTTACTTACTGACTGACTGACTTACTTACTTATTTATTTTTGGTACAGATATTGAACCCAGAGATGCTTAAACATCTTGTTTTCTTGTCTTGCCCAAGATTTTCCTATTTGTGTAAGACTGTATGAAAACACATCCCCGGCCCTTTTTAATTTTTATTTTGAGACAGTTTCACTAAGTTGCTTAGGGCCTTGCTAAGTTGCTGAGGGTGGCTTTGAACTCAAAATCCTTCTGTCTCGGCCTCCCAGGCCTCTGAATTGTGTTTAGAATTGTTTAAGTTTAAAGTTTCAGAGATTTTTTTTTTTTTAATCAAAGAAGCAGAGTAACTAAAAAAACTGCCATAACTTTTGTTTCTAAGATAGAAAAAATTATCTATTAAAATATCAGATCACTATAGTACTGCATGGCTAAGCTAATATACAACCATGGGTTATCAGTGTTATTCCCCAAGTAATTTGTATTTAATGTATGTTTCCAATAGGTTCATTCCAGCCAACAAATGAAATGATGCTCAAGTTCTATAGCTTCTATAAACAGGCAACTGAAGGACCCTGTAAGCTTTCAAGACCTGGATTCTGGGATCCTATTGGAAGATATAAATGGTAATTTCATTTATAGAGCCAAGAAAGGATTTCAATTTTAATAATTATCACACACTATTACTTATGTGGTTATATACTATTCAGTGCATAAAATATTCTAGGTGTACTGCATACAGTTTTTGTCCTCTAGGTGCTCTTCATACAGTCTTACTTACACAAATAGGAAAATCTTGGGCAAGACAAGAAAACAGTAAAACCAAGAGGATAGGTGCATCAAAAACATAAAGGATTTTCAGTTCATCTTCTTATAGTTTTTCTTTTTTTAAATCTCAAAGCAACTCTTGAACTAAGTAAAAGAGATAAACTTTCCTGCCTCTTTTAGCTGCCAAGAAAAGTAATGACTTTTGCTCATCAACTGATACTGTTTGCTTTGAGCCTTTCAGATAATATGTAACTAGAAATATGACTCAGGTACTGCCATGTTAACTTTTTATCTCAGTTATTACCTCTGAGCCACTGCATTTGAGTAGAAATTTGGCTTTTAATACAATTAAAGAATGATAAGTTATTGATGTTGTTATCATTTTCCCAGTCCACTAACATTTGATATTTTTAAAATACCATTGCACACTTTACAAATGTCTCACAAAAGTCCATTTTCAACTGTACCTTATAACCAAGTATGTTAATTGATGAAGCATGTTTAAGAGCCACTAAAAGTACTAAATATGGTACTTCCAGTAAGATCTTTATGAATTATAATAAAGTAATAGGTTAAACGAAATAGCTATATGTTCTTTGTTTCAAGAAAATTTACTTATTTGCTTAACATTTTTTCCCTAGAATTGAACTTCAGTGAAGTTAAATTCCTTCTGGGAAAAATGTATAATAAGAGAGATTTTCATATTGGGCAAACATTTCAAGGAGTTTAAAATTTTCTTACCTTCATATTTTCATTCTTTTAGAAATAAGGAACCATTTTTAGTTTTTGTTCTAGTGTACACATTACTCTTATTTAAATTAGTGGAAACTTTTAACCAAAACTTCTATTCATTTAAAACATGGCTGTGACAGAAGACTTCTAAAATGTTCATTTCCACTACTGTTTGGTATAATTATATGTAAAAACTTTTAAAGAATTCTTAGGCAATATTTATGAGTAGCTTACAGTTTCTGTGACCTATTAATGTCTGGATAGGTTATTTACTTATTGTTTTAATGCTATTTAATTTGCCAGTTCTTTTTGTTTTGATAGTTCTCTTCCAGGTGACATATTTGTTAATGAGATTTTTTTTGGAAACATAATATGGCTTTAAGTAGAACCTATTTTAAATTAATTGACCATATAGTGTCAACTATAAATTGTATTCTCTACAATTGAAAAATCAGTTTTTTTTTTATTGTTTTTATGTATTTTCATTGCTAGGGATGCTTGGAGTTCTTTGGGTGATATGACCAAGGAAGAAGCCATGATTGCATATGTTGAAGAAATGAAAAAGGTAGGGAAAATAATTTATAGTTGAAAATAGCAATATTCAGAGCAGCTCTAATTTACTTTTTTTTTGAGAGAGATAGAGAAAGAGAATTTTTTAATATTTATTTTTCAGTTTTTGGTGGACACAACATCTTTATTTATTTATTTATTTTTTATGTGGTGCTGAAGATCGAACCCAGCGCCGCGCGCATGCCAGGCAAGCACGATACTGCTTGAACCACATCCCCAGCCCCTCTAATTTACTTTTATTAGACAAATTAGCTGCTTTGTTTTCAAGAACAAGGAGATTGTAGTACATTACTATAGAATCTAGATTATTAAGTTTATTTGAACTTTATGTACTTTGTTAAAGTTCATCTTAACAGGAGTATTTTTTCCTTAAGATCCTATATTGTAGGGATATTTTAGCTTTTTTTTTACATCTTTCTTTCTCTGTAGTCAACTTCTGGAAAAAGTACAGAAATAGGAATCTTGGAAAAATATATATATAAATATTTGCCCAACAAATCTTTGAAAATATTGGTGTCTCTTACTTGGGAGTCTTGTAAGTGCTGGTCTGTCTGAAGAGCATTTCAGGTTTGGAACATTGTATTTGGGAGGAAAAGTTACGAAGACTCCCCAGCAATGTTCTCTTACAAGTTTTGACTGCTAAATTGATGCATTTTCATCAGTGGACTTACTAGTAACAAGCATTTTTCTGTGAATGCATAGTTCCTTTAAAGGCAGAAAAAGATAATGATGCTTTTAGGATTCCTGTGGACTACAGAGGAGGGCATTCCTTTTTAACTAGCTCTTTTAAGTCTATCAAAGGCATTTTGTTTTGTTTTTGGTACTGGGGATTGGACTCAGGGACTCTTTACCACTGAGAGACATTCCCAAACCTTTTTTATTTTAAGATAGAGTCTTACTAAGTTGCTTAAGGCCTTGCTAAGTTGCTGAGGCTAGCTTTGAACTTGGAATCCTCCTGCTTCAGCCTCCTTAGTCGCTGGGATTACAGGCATGTGCCACCACATGAGACTAAGGCATCGTTTTGAGGAATACATTTATGAAAAAATCATGAATTTTATATTGGGCATGGGTCAGAAGTTGTGAAATCTAATTCTGTTTGAAAACCTTAAATAAATTATCTTTAAACATAAAGAAAATCTGTAAAAAAGGAATAGTTTTTTTTGCCAAATGGCTCAATGGTATCAATCGCTAGTTGTTTCTCTTCTGCACTGCTCAAGTGGTGCCCTTTGTTACATTTTCACAATTTTTATTTAGTGGGCTTTATGGTAGAGGGCAGACTTTAATTCTTTTGGCTGTTATCTATATCATTAATACAATAAAAAAAGAGCCCTTCAAATCAGAGAAAGAAAATTCAAAACCTTTTTGGTTTGGTTTGATAATTATTCCTTTTTATTTTCTCTCTCTTTTTTTGTTCTCTCTCTCTCTCTCTCTTTTTTTTTTTTTTTTTTTTAGATCAACAGCATGCCTTTATTTTATTTATATTTATGTGGTGCTAAGGATTGAACTCACTGCCTCACACAGGCTAGGCAAGCGCTCTGCCACTGAAGCTACAGCCCCAGCCCCCTATTTCTTTCTCTGTACTTTAAATGTCATTATAATTTTGAGGATATACTTCTATAGTATAAGGTTGAATTGCCACATTAAGCAAAATTTACATATTTTTCCTATCCAGTTTTACTAATTAATGTTGTCACAATTTAAAGTAAGAAGGGGATAAAACAATGTACATTCCACCCTCATTTAAACTATAGTGTTGCCTTTTAGCTGTCTTAAAATACTTCTTCCATATATGAGTTTTTGTAGTTATTTCTCTATTTAAAAAAAACAAACTGTCTTCAATAGGCTTTAAAATTTTCATTTTCTATTACAAATAACAAAGTTTATAGTAAACTTTTAGAGTTAAATCTAAAATATTAAATACCTATAGATTGAAAATGTGATAAGTCTTAAATTACATTCAGAGTTCAGCTTATGAACATCAGTAGATAAAATTGCATCTTTCTAGGGGCTGGGGTTGTGGCTCAGCAGTGGAGTGCTCGCCTAGCATGTGTGAGGCCCTGGGTTCGATCCTCAGCACCACATAAAAAAATAAAGGTATAAAAAAATTGCATGTTTCTATGTAACTTTTTCTAATAATTTACTAATTGAAGCAGTCATTAAATCATGTTTCATAGTTCATGAATCATTGTACCATTACTCTTTAGAATATAAATCTCATTTCATGGGTTTTAGGAGCCTTATTAATTTGTGTTTTATAATGGATCCTGTTTGGTAGAATATTGCTTATCATAATTTATAAAATTGCCCAGTAAAATATCACCAAAAAAGTTGCTGGAATCCAAAATTGTTTTAGCTTTGAGTGAATAAAGTAAGTAAGATGGTTTTAGGGAAAAATCCATTTCTTTGAAGTTTATTTTGATATATAATCAATGGGAAGTATAAAATCCTATTTTTTATACAGTTTTACAAAATCTTATGGGGATTTCCAGAATATTCATTTAACACTTGAATAATATACATTTTGTCTGTGGAATTTAAAGAGAAATCAGTGTACTTAATCCTGTCTGCACATTAGACTCACTGGTAGAGATGCCCTTGCATGACTCCAGATTAATTGTGTCAGGATTTCTAAGAGGATTGGATATCTGCTGTAATAGAGGGAGGATTAGAGTGGGATCTTATAAAGGATAGAACCTGAAGTTACCATGGCTGAGGGTCTAGTTTAGAGCTACACAAGTCTAGAGCACCGACTTTCTCTGAGTTTTGAGTTGACTTGTATTTTTAAGATTTGACTCATGATAAACATCTTTTAGAGACTGAGGGAAAAAGCAGGATGCCAATTTCTTTACTTTGTGTGGGCGATAGACTTTTCTAATCATTGGCATACTTGGGATTGATATCTGTGAGTCTCCTCAGAAGGTCAGAAGCACTGGAGAGACTAAATTTGTGATTACTAAGATTATTGAACAGAGATTAAGCATTGGGACTTGGGTAACTAAAAGATATGTTCATTGTAGACAAGAAAAACCTGAGGAATTTTTTCTTTGCTTTAATAAAGCATATATGTATCTTTCCAAGTATATTTTTATCACCTAAAAATGATGTGTCTCTTTGAGGAAAGTGCTGAATATATCTAGAAAAATTACTGTGTTTTGAATGCTGTTTTTCTACAGTCTATGCAGCTTACCGTTAAAAGTCTGCACTTGGGGAGCTGGGGTTGTATAGCTCAGTGGTAGAGCACTTACCTAGCATGTGTGAGGCACCAGGTTCAATTCTCAGCACCACATTGAAATAAATAAAATGAAGGTCCATCAACAACTTAAAAAATATTAAAAAAAGAAGTCTACGCTTGAACTAATTTTATTAACTTAAAACTTGAAATGAACTCTCTGTGGATGAGTACTACCTCTTCTAGACTGAGATTTGCCTGTGTCTCCTTGTTTGACTTTGGGTGTGTGTCTCTGTTTCTATCTTTGTACGTATATGTGTACGCCTCTCTCTTCCTATACGTCTCGTGTATGCCTGAACACATGCATGTGTGTACCTTTTTTTGTATTTCAGCATTGTTGAAAGGGAGAGAATTTTTTTGGTTGTTGATTTCTAGTTTCTTCATCAGAAAATTAAATTCTAGATAGGTCTTGTGGTGGCCACTTGTGTCATTTCTACTGAAGGTTCTGCCTTACTGAAAGAATACTGTTTATATTTGTTTAGTGTTGGTACATACTCCATTTATTTAGTTCTGACATTTCAACTCCAAAGTTCACTCTTATTTTATGGGGCTTGGGGGCACCTAAACACTGAACTGAGTAGCTCAGGACAAATTAGAGTTTAAGGAAGGAGGTTTTTTTGTTTTGGTGGTTTGTAAATCGCTTTAATGAGAGAACTAATAGAGATCTGTTCTGGAGGAAGATCAAAGGAGGTGTTGAATGAGGTTCAGGATAGGTATCTGGTTGCCATACCAGATTCTGCTAAATCAGTATTCATGTTGTGGCAATATGGGGTAGTGAAAAAAGTGCTGACTTGTTTTCAGTTATGTCTCTGGCATATTAGCTGTGATTTTGGTTACTTCAAAATAAACACTACCCCATAGTTTCAGTTTTTAACTTGAATCTAATTCTTAAAATTATTACTGTAACCTAAATATATATATAGTAAGTTATAAAATTTTCCCTCATGACTGCTCTTAGCCTCAGAACAAGTATTTTCTTAGCAAAAAGAAATTTTCTGAATAAACAATTTTTTACTCCTTAACACGGATAGGAACATAGATAACTTACTATGAGCTATAAAATCAAAAGATAATCTCTAAAATCAGTTATTGTTACTGTTGTTCATTTGGTATAGTCTCTCCCAAAAACCTATCTTCCATATCGGAACACACTGAGGGTGGTGATGTTATGGGTATTATCTCAGCTTAAAATAATATCAGACTTGTTTATAATCATAGATTACTGACGATCTACTCTGTATCTGGTTTAAAAATAAAAGCATGTTATTTGAATAAGAATTTTAGAGTTTTAAACCAGTTTTTTAAATACCTTTTATATGCTAGACACTAAAAACGGGAGTGAACAAAACTAGATGAAGGTCCTTTTGCATTGAGCTTATATTCTATTGTGAAAGACAGGCAGTAAATGAACAGTAAAGCAAGGAGAGTGACTAATGAGTCCAGACCTGCTGTGAGTTTAAAAAATATAAATACATGCTTTTTTAAAAATACACGTAAACAGCCAGGTGGGGTAGTGCAGACATATATAATCTCAGCAATTTGGGAGGCTGAGACAAGAAGATTGTTAAATTTGAGGCCATCTTCAGCAATTTAGCAAGACCTGTCTCAAAATAAAAATTAGAAAAAAAAAAAAAAAGGAAAGAGAGTCTGGGAGTTTAGCTCAGTGGTAGATCACCCCTCGGTTCAATTCCCAATAACACCCCCCAAAATCCCATTATTATGTATAATTATAATGCACGAATAAAAATAAATAAGAAGCTGGGGTTGTGGTTCAGCAGTAGAGCACTCGCTTAGCACGTGTGGGGCACTGGGTCCGATCCTCAGGACCACATAATTTTAAAATAAAGGTATTGTGTCCAACTACAACTAAAAAACAAAATAAATAAATAAGAACACTTTTTAGATCTTTAATATACTTACAACTTTTCTAGGAGTATGTATATATTAGGCATATAATTAATATAGATCCTTAAGAGAATTTATTAATTAACTTCAGATTTCCAAATTATTAATATTGGAAATCATAAGCTATTTAATATTAATTCAGATCAAATTAATAGTTTGTAATTTTACAATATTTGTCTCTTTTGATTACAGATTCTTGAAACTATGCCAATGACTGAAAAAGTTGAAGAATTGCTACATGTCATAGGTCCATTTTATGAAATTGTAGAAGACAAACAGAGTGGAAGGAGTTCTGATTTAACCTCAGGTTGGACTATTTTACCTATTTTTTAAGTTTGGCCAGTTATAGATTATACATGCATTAATATTTATATGTCTAATTTTTATTTTTACTTTCACATGCCAGTCCGACTGGAGAAAATCTCTAAATATTTAGAAGGTAGGAATAATGAAATCCATATAAAAATTTTGTTTTTAATATGTACAAACCAAAATATGTACAAACCAAGAGCATTCTGCACAAATTTGTAGAACTTATTGTAGGTTGGGAATTTTTTTCCAAGAAAAAACATTGTATAAAGTTCTAAAATACTATAAATCCTTAGGTTTTTAACCTTAACTGTTGTTAAACATGCTGGGTGGTTCACTTAGTATGAACAAAAGTATGTTTGATGAATCATTTTCAGTTTTACTGTATGAATTAGAATAACAGTTCCATTGAGTAAAGTATTTTCTATCTAATTTTAAAATGAGCATGTTTACAGTGTGGCTTAACTATAGCAAAACAAGCAAAAACAAGACATCAGTGAATTCACATATCTCTTTTAAAAAATTTTCATTTTTTCAGTAAAGGATCAATAGATTATGTTTTGCCTACCAGAAGGAGTTAAATAAAATGCTAGATCTGCAGGCATTAACCATTTGCTCTTTAAATTTTTTTAGAAAGCAGAATGATATGAAACCACAAGAGTAAATTTAGATGAAAATTGTGTATGCTTTAATTAAAAATTAGCCTGGATTCCTGTTCATAACGCATCTTTTAATAATTAACAGATTTGTAGTGTTTCAGAACAGTAATTTTCCTGTGCTCTTAAAAGGCCTTATAGTTTGTGTCTTTCATGGCAATAAACCATGTGTAACTGACAGTGTCTGCTTGTTTGTTGTGCATAATTCTGAATCACACCATTCTATATTATTTTGCAGAGGAACCAAATATTAATAATTCTCTTTATACTTTATGCTTATTAAGCTGAGGAAAAAAACTTAAATGTTTTCTGTATCAAGCATACTGTTAGAATGCAGGTGGAAATTTTGACCTATTTCAGTAGTGTCTAATCTACTGGCCAGAAGCATTCTTGAACAATAAAGTACAAAACAAGGAAGAGTAAATGATAGTTATAAGTGCACAGGACTAATTACTTTCCTTTAATTTATTAATCCCCAAAGCTTTGAAAACCTAAGATTGTTTTGTAACTCATTTGGTATAAAAACCTGACCTCATATGAACTTATTGTGGAATAGAGAACCTTATCTGAAATGACATGAGGGTATTTTGATTCTTTATATGATTCAGTGTGACTAACATATTTTCCTGCAAAAATGATTATATTGTTATATAAAAATAATAATTATGTTTTATTTTTAGTGAGCTGTTTGAGATTCCATATAGGAAGTATTATATAACATACTATGTCATGTACATTTGCAAAATTAAAAAATTTCTGAATCCAAGAGTTGTCAATAAGGAATTATGACCTACACTGTAATTTATTTAACTTAGACCATTCTGATGGCTATTTAGATGATTTTCTCTTTTTGATTTTCAAAAGCTGTTGAGAGTAACTAACTATGTACATGATATTTTACATATTGAAAGTATGTCTGTAAGAAATAATATTAGAAGTGAAATAAGAAATGTTTGTAATCTTGTAAGAATTGCCAAATTTCAGGCCAATTGCAATCTTGACTCCTTTTTTTTCCCCAACAAAGCATCCTGTTAAAAGTAGACATTTAAACCCAGTGGCACAGATATATCGGTTTCATGTGGTCTTTTTCAGAATATACATATGTGATAAGTTTTAAAATGTGAAAGTATAAGTTCTCCAATTTTTTGTCTTGTACCTTATTTTAGGAGTTTACTAACATTAAATATGATCCTAATTTTTCCAAAGTCTTTTATCAGATTGAGGAAATGCCCTTGTATTTTTAGTTTCTCTAGCACTTTTACCATGAAGAGTATAGGATTTGTTCAGTTTTTTTCTTCATGTATTGTGATAATCATGTGACTTTTGTCCTTTAGTCTGTTAATATGGTATATTGCATTAATTGGTTTTTGGATGTTGAGTTGGGCTCAAGAGTAATTTCCTTTACTTTTTCTAATTCATCACAGAACTGTAATGAGACTGCTATTTCTGTTGTGAAGTACTTCTGTTACAACTATCCATTTAATGGGGGTTTAGGTGATTCCTGTTTACATTTTATTGAAGATGTTCATGGGTGGGTTGTTTCTTGGCTATTTAAATTTGTTGTTCTTCCTTTTTCTGGTTGTCAGGGAGATTCAGAAACTATGCTGCTTGTATGCCTAGCATGCACAAGGTCCAGGTTTGATTCCCAGCACTGGAAAAAAAAATTAGTACATAATATAATACTTGAGGCTTGGGATGCAGCTTAGTGGTAGAATACTGTTTACTTAGCATGTGCAAGGTCCTAGTTTGGTCCCCGGCACCATAAAAAGAAACAAACAAAAAATATATGCTGCTGCCGCCTTGATTTTGTAAAAATAGAGTTAAATGTTTGTTCTGTTGTTCCTTTAATTAGGTAGGCTTAAATAAGAATATAGGCCTGATTATTTAAGGTGTATGATGTTTTGGAATTTAATATATTATTTGGGATGCAGAGAAGCCTCTAAAATGCATTCATTTCACAGAAAATAAAGCCCAAAAGTGTATGAAGGAAAATTACTTCTTTTGGCTTTCTAAGAAGACTTCAGTCTCTTTAAAAAGAGTTGATGAAAATGGTGTTCTGTGTTCCTCAAAACATGGTCCGGAAACCAGTAGAATTGGCAACACATGGGAACTTTATGGAAATGTAGAATTTTAAAGTACCTCAGACGTACTGATTCAGAATATGTATCTTAAGAAGATTTCAGTTGATTATGCATGTTATAGTTTGAGAAGAAGTTCTGATATATTTACACTGAGGGCTTAACTTTGTCTAAGACAACAATTTGCTGCTTTGATAGATCACATTACATTAATTGATGCTTTAAGGAAATTCTTATGTATCATAATAAAGACATGAGAATGTGAGTTGTGTACCTGAAATCTTCAAGGTAATAAGGGAAAAAAATTGTTCAAATGGAATTGAATTACAGGTTTTTTTTTGTTTGTGTGTGTGTGCTGGTGGTTGAACCCAGGTACACTCCACCACTAAGCTACATCAGCAGCCCTTTTTATTTTATTTTGAGACAGGGTCTCCCTAAGTTGCTGTGGCTGTCCTCAAATTTTCGATCTTCCTTAATCTCCAAAGTAACTGGGCTTATAGTTATGTTATAACTGTGCCCAGCTTCCAACTATAATATTGATGAGATTGTTGGTAGGGTCAAAAATAGCATATTTATGTTTTCAGGTGCTAACAGTATATCTCTTTATTTAATACGTTTGAAGAAGACTGTTTCATCTCTAACTTTACTGTTTTGATTGATGTTAACTTAAAAATAATTTATCACCTGCCTTGTCCATAAAGGAATTAAGATAGCTTTATCATTTTTGTTTTAAACTTAACAATGGAAGGAATTTGCCTATATAAGTGTATTTGGAGTCAAAGAATACTGTTAATTATCTATAAAATTCTAATATTTAAATTCAAAATTATTTTATTATAAAGTACAGAATTATCATATATTACCACACTAGTGATTAAGTGGTCATTTCATGTTTTAGATCTTGGTAATGTTCTAACTTCTACTCCAAATGCTAAGACTGTTAATGGTAAAGCTGAAAGCAGTGATAGTGGAGCAGAGTCCGAGGAAGAAGAGGCCCAAGAAGTAAAAGGAGCAGAACAAATGGATAATGGTAAGCTTTGGATAATGGGCCAATAATTTTGCACTAATAAAATGAAAAGGTACAAAGACTTGAGCTGATATGGTACTGTATAAGATTAGTGCATGTGGTGGGATGTGAGTTGTTGACTTTATATTCAGGTTTGTGGTGGACCAAAGGCCCTATTACAGAGTATTAAGTTTCCAACATGGACATGGTTATATTACCAAGGACCAGAAACAAGTTAAACTCTCACTATCTTATCAAAAATAAAATAGAGGGGCTGGGGTTGTGGCTCAGTGTTAAGCCCTTGCCTAGCACATGTGAGACACTGAGTTCAATTCCCAGCACTACATGAAAAAATTAAATAAACAAAATCAAGATATTGTGTCCATCTACAACTAAAAATATTTTTTTAAAATAAATAAATAAAAATTCAGAGAAATAGACTAGCTTTTAATTTTTATGTTTTTAATTAAAAAAAATTTTTTTTTTTTTTTTTGGTGGTACAAAGGCCTTGGGTTCAATCCTAAATTGCTGAGGCTCGCCTGGAATTTTGAATCCTGCTGCCTCAGCCTCCTGAGTTGCTGGGATTACAGATGTGCACCGTTGTGCTTGGCTCCAGGAATCAGTTTTTTTTTTTTTTTTTTAAATATATATTTATTTTTAGTTGTAGTTGGAGACAATACCTTTATTTTACTTATTTATTTTTATGTGATGCTGAGGATCAAACCCAGGGCCTCACACGTGCTAGGCAAATGCTCTGCCACTGAGCCACAACCCCATCCCCCATCCAGGCATCAGTTTTGATGAAGATAAACACTAGAATTACAGGAGCTGCATTCAGGGAGCCTTGTTTGTGATTCATGGGAAGATTATTTTAGAAGGGGGATATAGAGATATAGTAAAACAAACCACACAACTTTGTTTTGCTTTTACTTTTCAGTCTTTGAGGTATCTTTTCTCTAGAGCAGTTTGTCTATGCCTGGTAGAGTATAAGGACTTTGAAAGATTATTTTTAGAAGACTTACAGGGAACTGAAACACTTTTGAAGCTAATACAATTTCTGAGTAAGCCCTCAACATATAATAAGCTCCTTTTCAAGGAGTTCCCCATCTCTGTGATCCAAGTAGGAAACCCTTAAAAGGATTATGATAGAGTGGGGAATTGAGTAGCAGTTATTAGAACATAATATCAGAAGTTGACCTACTGTGAACTTTTTATTTATCTCTCCATTTTCTCATAAAAGCTAAGCAGATGATGAAGAAATCAGACTATAAGAATTTGGAGATTATTATCACGAATGGCTATGATAAAGACAGCTTTGTTCAGGAGATACAAAATGACATTCATGCTAACTCTTCTCCAAGTGACCAAAGTGCTGATGACGTAAAACCTGTTGATAAAAACTTGGAGCAAACTGAAAAAATTGCTGCCTGCATTCACCAAGGTATTGTCCCCAAGTATTTTTTTGTCTAGCCTTTATCTTATTATTAAAATATTCTTTTAATAATTTTAGTATATTTAGGAATAGTCTCAAATTTTAAAATATAAATATTTATTAATATCTTAAGGTTGATTAATGTTACAAGGTTTAATAGCTTTGAAAGACAGTGAAGTAAGAGCTGGAAATTTTATATTTGTATTGAAACTTTTTTTATGTTAACCATATGATATTTCAGAATATATTTTAAACTAAAACTTCCAAATTATTATTTTTTTTTCCTGATTATTTCTCCTACCTTTGATTATATGGTGCCTTTGTTCTGAAGTCAATAAGATTAATTTATAGTCTTTTTTTTTTTTTAATGCTTACTTTTCAGTTTTAGGTGGACACAATATCTTTATTTTATTTTTATGTGGTGCCGAGAATCGAACCCAGTGCCTCATGCATGCTGGGCGAGTGCACTACCACTTGAGCCACATCCCCAGCCCCGTAATTTATAGTCTTTTCATGTCCTAGGACTCTCCGAGTAGGCCTGTATATACATATGGTGAATTATTAATAGTGGTCCAGTTTAGTCCAGAAACCAAGAAATATCATTTCTTAGTGTAACAACCAAACTTGCATAGTTGCATCTCTCATTTAGGCCTCATAGGCTGACTTTATAGATTTTCTTTTCTTTCTTTTTTTTTTTTTTTTTGGTACTAGGGCTTAAGTCAGGAGTACTTTACTATGAAAAATATCCCCAGTCCTTTTTAAAATTTTTTTTATTTTGAGATTAGGGTCTGCTCAGTTACTTAGGATCTCACTAAGTTTCTGAGGCTGGCCTCAAATTTGTGATCCTCCTGCCTCAGCTTCCCAATTCACTGGAATTATAGGCATGTGCCACTGAGCTTGGTGGTTATTAGGTTTTATAAGTTTTCAACAGGACAGTGTTTTCTAGAATTCAGTGGTAAAATACTTTATAATCTTTTCAAATAAGAACTGTTAACTAAGCCCAGTGCTGTGGTCCACACCTGTAATCCCAGCAGCTCTGGAGGTTGAAGCAGGATTTCGAGTTTAAAGCCAGCCTCAGCAATTTAGTGAGGTCTTAAGCAATTTAATGAGACTCTGTTTCAAAATATAAAAAGGACTGGGGGTGTGGCTTAGTGATTGAGCTCTCCTGGGTTCAATCCCTGGTACTAAACAACAACAACAACAAAAGAAAGCCAGAAAAAAAGAACTGTTAACTAAATTTAAATTTAAAAAAAGCGTATGACTTGGTAAATCATGTGTGTCACTCAGTATGCACATAATATAGAGCTGGTGAAGTTTGAAAATGGAATGTGTTTTTCTTCTGTTAGAATATAATTATGCTACTTCTGTATTTGTTCATATTTAGATATAAATGATGATCATGTTGAAGATGTTTCAGGAATTCAGCATTTGACAAGTGATTCAGATAGTGAAGTTTACTGTGATTCTATGGAGCAATTTGGACAAGAAGAGGTAAAAATGACATTTTCTGATTGGTAAGTTTTCAAAGTGGTATATCAGAATTCAATGCATAACTTCTGTTAATAGCAGATGTACATGCTGTTCATCACTTTGAAAACATACCTCTAGAATGTTAAAGCATTTATATTTTTACTTTTTGTTAACTTTTCTATATAAGATTCTAGAATAGTCAAAGAAAATCCATACTATTTAAATATTTTATTTATTACTTATAATTTATGTATGTTTATAAGTATTATGGCAGAGGTGGGATGGAGAACCAGAGAGTAAACTGTTTATACTAGACACTATGTTTTAAACATTGATTTGATTTTTTTTTTTTACATTGATTTGATTAATAAAGAAAATTTAATAGTTTTCAATCAAATAAGCCTATTTTTTTTAAACAAACAAACATTTATTTTTTAGTTGTAGTTGGACACAATACCTTTATTTTGTTTGTTTATTTTTATGTGGTGCCAAGGATCGAACCCAGGGCCTCGTACATGGTAGGCAAGTTCTCTACCGCTGAGCCACAACCCCAGCCCCCAAATAAGCCTATTCTTCACAGTGACTCTAATTCTGCACTAAAATTTTTAGTGAAAATCATCTTTAAATTTTAGTTAAGATTCTGTATTAAAAGAGAAAATTTGGAAAAAAAAAAAAACCCACAAAGTCCATGTTTTGTTTTGTTCTTTTTGAAAACTATTTCTGATGATGATGAGGGTGTTTGCGACAACTGGAATTCTGTTTGGCAGTTTTACATCCGCTCCCCACTTCTCTTATACCCTGTTGTGATAGAGTTCCGTGTGTTGTATAGAAAATCATCGAGCTTTTACCTCTAATATAATAATTTTAACTTTTTATGTCCCCCCCCTTTTTTTTTCATTTCATAAGGCAATTGAATCTACTCTTAGTTTTCTCAAATTAAATTTTTTTTTTTTTTAGGTATAGATAAACACAATACAATGCCTTTATTTTTTTTATGTGGTGCTGAGGATCGAACCCGGGTCCCGCCCTTGCTAGGCAAGAACTCTACCGCTGAGCCACAATCCCAGCCCCTTTTCTCAAATTTTTAAACATGAATAAAGAATTTATTGACTAAGGTTAAACATAAATGAATAGTACAGACTGGAAAAATAATAAGGAGCCCAAACTGAGAATAAGCTTAATAATGGAATTTGAAAGTAAGTGATAAGAACCCAGATTCCCTTTTATTTTCTCTTAAAATTTTTATTGTTTGGAAAATGTTGGTGAAAAGGATCTGGATAGGATGGAATCTCAGTAAATATCTGAATACTAAATTCTAGGTTTGCCCCTGTTTTCTCTATAAATCCATAGTAGACTGAGTTATTTCTTGGGGCTCTCTGATCTCTGTTGCTCTTACCTCACTGGCCTTTGTTAATACCACTCTTGTGTCAGGATTTTACTCCACATCCATCCTGGCCTTCTTTAATATCCTTTTTTCTTCTAATATGTCAAGCCTCTTCTCCTTTTCATGTCCAGCATTAGCAACTGTGCATTCATTTGGCCTGGAAAGTTCCTACTTTCCATGTAGTGGATTAACTCCTGTACATTCTTTTCACCCTAACATAGGTGTTCCTTCCTAAAGGAATCCTCTTAGATAGATACAGCTCCATCTCATTACCACCCTTACCAAGTCTGTTTTCTGTTTTAATTATAGATTGTCATCCACAAATGACTTAGATGGAATCTTTTAAAAATATATTTAAGTAATCTTTATTATCAATTTTGAAATCCTTACAAATCCAGGTCTTTTCAAGTTTTTTTAATACCTTTATTTTATTTACTTATTATTATTTTTTTAATTATAGATGGACACAATATCTTTATTTTTATTTGTTTATTTTTTTAATGTGGTGCTGGGAATCGACCGTAGGGCCTCATGTGTGACAGGCAAGCGCTCTACCACTGAGCAACAACCCCAGCCCCTTTTTAAGGTTTTTTTTTTTTTTTTGTGTGTGTGTGTGTGTGTGGTGTTGGGAATTGAACTTAGGGCCTTGTGTGTTCGAGGCAAGAACTCTACCAACTGAGCTATATCCCCAGCCCTTTTCAAGTGATTTTTGTGGACCATTAATATCATGTTTTTCTTTTTTATTGTTGTTTGTTTGACTATTACAATTTAAAGATTTTCTTTTTCTCTTCTCACTGTATTTCTGTTATAAAAGTATTTATTAAACTCTGTTAATAGCCTCTTGAATGTGTCAGTTAAGTTTAACTCCCAGACCACCACACAGAGTAAGCAATGTACATACCAAAAAATCTTTGGTATATTTATTTTGTTACAATTTTTTAAAAAATAGTCTGATATGATATTTAGAATTTGTTTAAAAATAATTCACTGGAAATAGGAGTCATAGGTGAAACGAAATTGGCCCTGAAGTGGTAATTGTTGAAATTTGGTAATTAGTACTCTAGTCTGTTTGACATTTTCCATAATAAAAAGGCTAAAATAATTTTGGAATTTTTTTTTTTCCTGATGTTTGCCTTTGAGAGTTTTTCCTTCTTCTGTTAGAATGTTGAATTTGATTGTGTTCTACATTATCACTTCATCAGGAGTTTCCTTTGCTCTACTTCCTTATGATTTTCAGTATTACTTATTCTTAGGATTCATTATTTGTTTTCTTCCCAAACTTCATCTCATATTCAATCTCCTCCATTGAGGTATTTAGCCTGTCTGTTAAGGTAAATAAAATCTTGTTTTATTAGCCTGGCACGATGCCACACACCTGTAATCCCAGGGCTTTTTTGTTTTTTGGTACTGGGGATTGAACTCAGGGGCACTTGACCAATGAGCCGCATCCCCAGCCCTATTTTTTTTTAATATTATTTTTTAATTATAGGTGGACACAATATCTTTATTTTATATTTATGTGGTGCTGAGGATTGAACCCAGTGTCTCACACATGCTTGGACAATCGCTCTACCTCTGAGCCACAAGGCCAGGCTCCACAGCCCTATTTTGTATTTATTTAGAGACAGGGTCTCACTGAGTTGCTTAATGCTTTGATTTTTGCTGAGGCTGGTTTTGAACTCACAATCCTCCTGTCTCAGCCTCCCAAACTGCTGAGATTACAGGCGTGTGCCTGTCTCAATCTCAAAATTTTAGTGAGGTCTTAAAGCAACTCAGACTCTCTAAATGAAATTTTAAAAAAGACTAGGGATGTGGCACCACTGGGTTCAATCCCTGGTTAACCCCCCCCCCCCAAATCATTTATTTTATTATTGCCTGACCTATTATTAATCTAACTTCAATCCTAAATAACATTACCTTCAAATTATTTACTCATGACAGATGATTTATAATAAATCATTTTTTAAAAATGTATATATTGGAATTTTATTTTCAGGATTTTTATAGTGTTTTTTAACACAGCAATCTTATTTATTTATTATTTATTTGCTGTGGCGCTAGGGATTGAATCCAGTGGTGCTTTACCATGGTTGTATATCCCCAGCTCTTTTTAATTTTTATTTTGAGATAGAGTCTCACTCAGTTGCCAAGCCTGACCTCAAATTTGTGATCCTCTTGATTCATCCTCTGGAGTAGCTGGGATTACACTCATGCATCACCAGACCTGCAATGATCTTTTTTACCTTGTTACTATTTTTATTGCTTTGGTTTCTTTCCTTTCAATAGGGCTTATGGTCTGAAAATACTGTATTCCACTGATTTTACTAAATTGCTGAGGTGATAGAAAACTTTGTGCTGTCTAGGGCCTCACCTCACTTAAATTATTGCTTAAAGAAAAGTCAGGGTTTTTGTTTTGTTTTGTTTTTTTGATACCAGGAATTGAACCCAGGGGCGCTTAATCACTGAGCTACCTCCCCAGCCCATTTTTATATTTTTGAGACAGGATCTCACTAAATTGCTCAGGGCCTTGCCAAGTTGCTGAGACTGTCCTTGAACCTTTGATTCTCCTGCCTCAGCCTCCTGAGCAGCTGGGATTACAGGCATGTACACTATGCCTGGCTATTTCGTAGTTTTTGTTTTCATCCAAATTGTATTAAGTTGAATACATTATAAATCCCTGTTTTTTGTTTTGTTTTGTTTGGTACTGGGGATTAAATCCAGAGGTGCTTTACTACTGCCATACATCCCTAGCCCTGACCCTTTTGATTTTTTATTTTGAAACAGGGTATCACTAATTGCTAAGGATCTTGCTGAATTGCTAAGGCTGGCCTTGGAACTTGGAATTCTGCTGCCTCAGCCTTCTGAGTCTCTGGGATTACAGGCATGTGCCACAGTGTGTGGCTATAAATCTCTTTCCTAAAATATAAAAATTTTTATAGATTAAATTATTAGACATTTTTTTCTACTTTGCTTTATACATTTTCATATCTCTATTAGGTTGTGTTTCTCAAATTTTTGTTTTTGGTACTGTGGACTAAACCCAGGGGTACTTAACCCCTGAGCCACATCCCCAGCCCTATTTTGTATTTTATTTAGAGACAGGGTCTCACTGAGTTGCTAAGTGCCTCCCGTTGCTGAGGCTGGCTTTTGAACTTGCGATTATCCTGACTTAGGCTCCCGAGCTACTGGGATTATAGGTGTGCTCCACCGTGCCTGGCTGTTTTTTAACAGGGAGCCTATTATAGCATAGATTCCTGGGTCATTATCAATCCCAGAGTCTCTGATTTAGTAAGTCTTAGTGGGACCCATGAATTTGCATGTCTAACAAGCTCCGTTTGCTGCTGCTGCTGCTGCTGTTGGTCTGCAGACCAGATTCTGAGCAGCATCAAAAACATGAAATAAAATACTAGAGTTCTACCAGAATTGGTAGTATGGGTGGGACTGATATTCCTACCCCCTTGTTTTCATAGCGTAATTTTGTTTCTCGTTATACTAAGAAGATAGAAGAATAGGTTATTGTTCTTTATACCTAACACTTACTTATTTAACTTACTGAGTATTAGCTTATCTTATTTAATCCTTGCCAGTTTTCTTCCTACCTCACTGGATAACAGGTTCTTCCCATTTAAGGCCAGTTTCTCTGATTTGCTTGTGTCTTATTTTTTTCCCACATTGGAGACTTCCATTTTTTCTACTCTCTAGACTATCCCAACGATTGTGTCTCTTCTGATTCTTTTTTCTCATGCTAAACACATGTTCATATCCCTTCTATCTTTGAAAGGAAATGCTTTCTTTTTAAATTTTTAGTTGTAGATGGACGCAATACCTTTATTTTGTTTATTTAAAGTTTTTTATGTGGTGCTGGGGATTGAACCCAGTGCCTCATGTGTGCTAGGCAAGTGCTCTACCACTGAGCCACAACCCCAGCCCAGAAAATGCTTTCTTAATCTTGTGAAACCCTCTAAGTATTGTCTTATTGCCCTTCTTTACTTTATGGCCAGACATTTTTGGGATTGTATTCATTAACTGCATTCATTCACCTCAGTCAGGTTTCTGTCATACATGCCAATTTGTCTCTGTTCACTAATTTGAAAGGATGCTTTATATTTCCTGTCATTTGACTATCATTTAAAAATATTAACTATTCTCTCCTGGAAAATATTTCATTATACCATTCCTTTAAAAGGGTTTCTCTTTTACCTGTTAGGTTCCATGTAGTCTTCTTCTTTTGAGTTTTTCTTTTTCTGTTGACCTCTTAAATTTAGTGTTCCTCAGACATGTAGTTCTAGTTACCACTTCCTCAGTATCAACCGTTTCTCACAGGCTGATTACTCTCAAGTGATAAATCCAATGTTTATCTGAATTCCAACTGCCCTGTTAGATATCTTGCCTGGGGACCTCAATTTTTTCTTATCTGTAATAGTACCATTTTCTCTTTCTGTTCTCCTGAAACCTCTTTATCCTCAGTATTTCACCTTGGTGAGTCAACAAATCATCTAGTCTCTAGAGACTTTTCTTTCCCTTACTCCCCTCATTCAGTCTTTCAAGTCTTGTTGATTCTATAGTGTTAAATGTTCTCAAGTCTGGGCTGGGGTTGTAATTCAGTGGTAGAGCACTTGCCTGGCACATGTGAGGCACTGGGTTCGATACTCAGTACCATATAAAAATAAATAAATAAAATAAAGATATTGTGTCCATCTCCAACTAAAAAATATTAAAAAATAAATTTTTTTTTTAAAGTTTTCAAATCATCCTGTATCCCAACTAATTTATTGGTTCATGATGTTATTATTGTGACACCTTTGACTTGGCTTATATCATTTGTTCTTATTTGTTCTTCAAGTCATAATTGATCTAATTTCTTCCAAGAAGTCTGTTCTAAGCCTCCACTCAACCCCAGTGTGGGTTTGGTACCTGTTCTCTGAGCTCCTATAACATTCTTTGCATGTCTTTTCATAAAACTTATTAAACAGTGTTGTTATAACCTTCTCTGATTCCCTAAGATTGTAAGCTTCGTACAGGCAGGGATCCTATCTCTTTCTTCAGAGTATCCCTAAAGTTAATAATTATGGTAAGAATAGAAATTTACATGTTTCTTGGATGAGTGATTGACTCATAAGAACAGTGCACTGTGAAAATGTCATGGACAAAATGATTCCTATCTTTTTTTTTTTTTTAATGGCATATAGGAAGTTGGTGATGAATTGAAGAAATTTTTTAGATTAGGAGTATTTCCATTAAAACATGAAATAACATTTTAGACGGTATTTTGGTGCCATGAAAACTTTATGGTATATAACAATTTATAGTTTTTAATGAAGTGTCATTTTAAATTTGTAGTCTTTAGACAGTTTTACATCAAACAATGGACCATTTCAATATTACTTGGGTAGTGATTGCAATCAGCCCTTGGAAAATTCTGGTTTTCCTGAAGATGTCCAAGTATCTCCTGGAAGTGGCAACATTGGAAATATGCAGGTGGTAACAGTTGAAGGAAAAGGTGAAGTAAAGCATGGAGGAGAAGATGGCAGAAATAACAGTGGAGCACCACACCGTGAGAAGCGAGGCGGAGAAAATGAGGAATTCTCTAATGTCAGAAGAGGGAGAGGTGTGTATTCTCTTTTCTTCTTCCTCACTATAAACTAATTGGTAAAATGGGAAAGTTCTAAACAAAAGAAGCACTAATATGTTCAGTATGCAAAGGTTGTCGTAAAGCTGAAAGTTAATAACATCTTTAGTTTTTCTTTGTCTAGTTTTCCCCTTTAACTCTGGGCATAATGTGTCATCTCTGAAAGCATCAGAGAAAACATTTCCATTTCTAAAATTTTAATGCAATTTTTTTTGTAACCAAATTTATGTTCTATTTCCCCCCTGAACAATCACTTTTCTAGCTGTGCTGATGCCTCTTCTCCTATCATCCCCAGGTAGAAATCTGAGTTCTTTATCTTTTCCACATTTCCCCACTTAGGACAAAAGAGATCATTTAAAGCTGACAAGTTAAGTAACAATTATGAAAGAACATTTAACACTGTAAAGATAAACCTTTAGAATAGTGATGTCATCAGGTAACAGAATAGAGTTGAGTGCAGAAGAAAAATAAACGTGTTCATTATAATTGTTTCTGGTAAAGGCTGGGATTGTGGCTCAGTGGTAGAGCACTCACCTAGCATGTGTGAGGCCCTGGGTTTGATCCTTAGCATTACATAAAGATGAATAAAGGTATTGTGTCCATCTACCACTAAAAAATATTTTTTAAAAAAAATTGTTTCTGGTAAGAAATAAATAGATGTTGTGAAAAAAGAATTAAAGATATTATAGAAACTTATGGTTTAGGACTAGGATTGTAGCTCAGTGGTAAAACATGTACTTCGCATGCATGAGGCCTTGCGTTTAATCCTTGCCCCCCCCACACACAAAAAAAAAAAAAAAAAAGGAAAGGAAAATAATGGTTTTAAAATAACTACTTGAACAAAATACAAAAGCTCATCAATTTACAATGGAGCTACGTCCCACTAAGCCCATTATGAGAGCATTATAACTTGAATATGCATTTAATATTTTTAACTTATTGAGCAGTGTAGCTGCTCCCAAGTCACTGGGATTAATAGGCATGTGCCACCATGCCTGGCCTCTTAGCTCCTTTTCAAATTTTATTTTGAGATAGGATCTCACTAAACTTCCCATACTGGCCTTGAACTATCCTCTTGCCTCAGCTCCTGAGTAACTGGGATTACAAGCTGTGTCACTGTCCCTTGTTTTCCTTTTAGTATGTTTGTAAGGCATATTATTCCTGTTCAAGAATGTACAGTATACTATTTTGTGATCTTTCTATAAAGTCTAAACTTAGCTTGTGAATTAAACTTATGAAAGTTAATTCCAACCTGTTCTTTGTAATCCTTGCCTTTATCACCTTCTTCCTTTTTTTAGTTTTGAATTACTTCTTTAAGCATCTATTTTGAAGAAGCAAAGGAAATGTTTCCACTCTGATGTCTACCTTGCTCCTTCAATCACTGCATCTTTCTATATGCCTTTCCTATCATGGTATTTTGCCTCTTCTTTTTAAATATTTGATTATCCCTTTCCTCATATTTCAATTTAAGAAATGGTACTTTTTATAAGTACCTAATAATTTATATTTAACTTTATTTATTTATGTATTTATTTTTTTGCAGTACTGGGTATTATACCAAGGCCTCATACATGCTAGGCAAGTGCTCAACCATTGGGCTATATCACTAGCCGTACATTTAACTTTAATTAAAGGAATTAACTAGGCACAGTGGCACACTACTCTCAATGGCTTGGGAGGCTGAGGCAGGAGGATTGCAAGTTCAAAGCCAGGCTCAACAACTTAGTAAGGCCTTAAACAACTTAGTGAGACCCTATCTCAGAAAATTAAAAAAGGCCTGGGGTTATAACTCAATGGTTATGTGCCCCTGGGTTCAAGCTCCAGTACCAAAAAAAAAAAAAAAGTAGCTTATTACCCTTGTATCATTTTACTCATTCTCTTTCTCATTGTTCATTACATGTTGAAAGTGGGCTCTCAGGATTATTAGGCAAGTGTATGTATGGTCATAACACTCTGACTAAATGAATGAAAAGAATATGAAAATATCTAAATATATGACACAGCCCTGAAACTAGTTAAGGAACTTGGTCTTATACCATAAACTTTGCAAAGTATCAGCAGAGCAGCAGACAATTAGGAAGAAAATGAAGGATCTGATTTGGAATATGTGGGAAATTCTACCCCATCCTCTGAAAAAAGCAGTTCAATGAGGATGAAGGCAAGTTATGAAATTTGGGGAAAAAAATCTCTTCAATATATTGGATATAAACTGTAAACGATAGTGGCTTGAATAAAAGAATTTATAGTGTCCTCTTAAAACCTCTTTGGATAAATAAATAGAATAACTGAGACTTCCCCCCAACACCTGTGGTTGAGAAGAAGGTTGGAGAATGGAGAATAATCTGATAGAACTAATCATCTGTTATACAGAAGGCATAAGAGAGAAAATGAAAGTGGGATTGGGTAACCTAGCACCTGGTTCACTGAACTTCATATATCTAGCCAGTTACTTCCACGGTGGATAAGCATAACTATAGCCAGAGTTTGAAGAAACTGGGATTTGCTTTCACATTTGATCTTCCCTTTCCGGTTTCTGATCAAGAGGACTTGGAAAAAGCAAGGGGGAATAATTGCTCAGGGATAATTATTTCTGACTGCCAAAGGCCCTTAAGGCTTCTGGTATGAGGAAAGATCTGAAATGCATACTCCATTTCTGCAAAGGTAGGGTAATGTGTTTGTACTGTTAAACAGAGCAGCATAAAACTCAAGTCTTTCTAAACAGAAGTGTGGTGATACTCATTAAGAACCTTGACAAAGTTGTTATCCTTTTATTCAGGAATTATTATTCTTGGAATCTATCCTAAAGGAATCAGTGGAAATTTGGATAAGAATTTATATTCAAATACATTTCTTGCAGTGTTATTTGTATTAGCAAAAATTCAAAATCATCCTAACTATCCAAAAGTGAAGAATGAGTGAATTACTTCCTGGCTTAACTAAGAAATTTATGCATTATTTAAATGTCTTTGGAATAACATTTAATGATACAGACATATGTTCATAATATGCTTTAAAAAGACAAGTATAAGGGGTAATGCCAATTTTGTAAATATCTGCATAGAACAAAGAATGGAGGGGCTGGGGTTGTAGCTCAGTGGTAGAGTGCTTGCTTAGCACATATGAGGCACTGAGTTTGATCCTGAGCACCACATAAAAATAAATAAATAAATAAAAGTATTGTGTCCATCTAATATATATATATATATATATGACATCCTTTTTAAAAAAAATTTTATTTGTTCTACTTAGTTGTATATGACAGCAAAATGCATTTTAATTCATCGTGCACAAGTGGAGTGCAGCATTTCAATTCTATGGTTGTAAATGGTGTAGAGATGCACCATTCCTGCAATCATACATGTACCTAGGGTAATGATGTCCATCTCATTCCACCGTCTTTCCTATCCTCATAATCCCTCTCCACCCTTCCCTTTGCCCAATCCAAAGTTCAAGAAAGGACAAATCTTACCAAAAAAGAATGAACAGATGCTAGCAACATCTCAGTAGTAATTAGGTTTTAATATGTATTAAAAGTATACAATTTATAATAAGAAAAACACATTTAAAAATCTTTTGTGAGACAATGTAATGAAACCAAAAATGACCAAAAAGGAAAACATAACATTTATTTAATATAACTTTTAGTACTCTAGAGAAGCAATCTTCAGTTTTTTTACCTTTTGTTCAAGAATTTTTTAGAATGGACTCTGCACATGTATCTTGTTTGTGAATTATATGAATATAGTCACATATTAATATATTATATGTAAAACATTAGCAAAAATCTTTTTAAATAGGTCAGAATAAAAATGTTTATTTTGTATTTTATATAAAACATAATGTTTTATATTATTTTATGTTTTATATTTTTTATTTTATATGTTTATGTTTATTTCTTTGATCCTAAGAGTTATTTTGTCGATTTCCTGATTGTTTCTATTCTACTTGAGAGATTTAGATCTTAAAGAAATAACAGAGGAAAATGAATAAAACATTCTATTTCTATTTTTATTTAAATATAAGCAAAATTTTTAGAAAGTTTTATTTAAAACTAACTTATTTTGCTCTCTTACAATAGGACATAGGATGCCACATTGGAGCGAAGGAACCAAAGGTGGGCAAGTGGGAAGTGGAGGTGATGGAGAACGCTGGGGCTCAGACAGAGGATCACGAGGCAGCCTCAATGAGCAGATTGCTCTAGTGCTCATGAGATTGCAGGAGGACATGCAGAATGTCCTTCAGAGACTTCAAAAACTGGAAACACTAACTGCTTCGCAGGTAAGCTTCTGACTGTATTTTTTTAGTTGTTGATAGGCCTTTATTATTTTATTTATTTATATGTGGTGCTGAGAATCAAACCCAGTGCCTCACACATGCCAGGAAAGTGCACTACTACCCAGCCACAGCCCCAGCCCACTTACTTCATTGCTTTTTGGTTTTTTTAAATATTTATTTTTTAGTTGAAGTTGGACACAGTATCTTATTTATTTATATGTGGTGCTGAGGATCGAACCCAGGGCCTCACACATGCTAGGCAAATGCTCTACCGCTGAGCCACACCCCCAGCCCACTTCATTGCTTTTAAGTACAACAAATAAAAAACTAAATGAAGTGTTCTTCTGTTTGTGGATCCTGCAAAGCAGTGAATAATCTGTTTTTCAGATTTATACAAATCATACATTTTCACAATTTACCCAAAGTGTAGTGATTTTTCTAAAAACTAAGAAGGATCTACTGAATACTACTTGGTATTAGAAGAATAATCGATACTTCCATTGCAGTAGGCTTCCATTGCAAGATAAACACATTGAATGTAGAAACATAAACAAACTGATACCCACAGGCTTTCTAATTAACCATTGTGAATATATATATATATATATATATTTTTTTTTTTTTTTTTTTTTTTTTGGTATTGGGTATTGAACTCAGGGATACTTTACTGCTGAGCTACATCCTCAGCCCTTTTTATTTTTTTAATTTGAGACAGTCTCTCTGCTAAATTATGGAGTCTGACCTCAAGCTTTTGATGGCCCCTGCTTCATATAGCCTCCTAAATTGCTGGGATTATAAGCCTGTGCCATCCTGCCCAGCTCATTGTGAATATCTTACCCTTTACCAAATCAGTAATTTACTCAGTATATCATAAGGTTTAAATAAAGTATATTTAAAGTCTATGATCCCCGTACACTATTCCTAGGATAGATAATACAGAGTTATCTTAAGAGAAACCAAGAAGAGGTACCCATACAGAAAAGCCTCTTTTGTGTAGTTATTACTGAACATTATTGTTCCAATCTGTTTTGTTTCTATTCTGTGATTTTATTTTTAAATTGTTTTTCATTTTGCAATTTTATTTTTAAAAAGAATATTTTGTATATATTTAATGTCTTTAATGATACTGAAATATTGCTAAAATTCTTTTGATATTATTTATAAGTTTTACTTTTTCATTGTTGTCTCATACAAACCCTTTTTTTAAAAAAAGATTTGGGGTCCTGGAACTGTAGCTCAGTGGTAGAACTTGTACTTATCATATAGGAAGCCGTGGGTTCAGTCTCCGTCTTCGAGGAAAAAAAAAACAAAGATTTTGATATGATAAAGAACTTTTTAAAAATGTGCATAATTTACTTGGATGACTCATGAGTAGTAAATTGAAGATAGAATAGTAGTAGATTGTAGAACTGAAGGAGACTTAGTTTAACAATCTTGTTAACAGAAAAAGAAACTAAGTATTGGGAGGCTATATTAATTAGTGGCAGAGCAAAGTCATAGTAAGCAGTAATTACTGTCATTATGAAATGATAATGATAATGATGATAATAAAATAAAGATGATGATAATAAGATAACTTGGTTCCTCCCCTCAGGAAGCTCACAACCTTAAAGAGGACCTAATTTAAGTAATTTTCTGTTTTCATATTTCCTTTGCAATGGTTACTATAGGTAGAGTATCCCTTCCTCAAAATGCTTGGGACCCCAAGTATTTCAGATTTCAGAGTTTTTGTAGTTTGGAATATGATCATAGACTTTATCAGTTTAGCATCCATAGTTTGGAAATCCAAAATTGGAAATGCTCCAAAATCCACAACTTTTTTGAGTGTTGTGTTGTCATTCAAAAAGGTACTCAAAAAAGTATTGGATTTTATATATATATATATATATATATTTTAGAGAGAGAGAGAGGAGAGAGAGAATTTTAATATTTATTTTTTAGTTTTCGGCGGACACAACATCTTTGTATGTGGTGCTAAGGATCGAACCCGGGCCGCACGCATGCCAGGCGAGCCCGCTACCGCTTGAGCCACATCCCCAGCCCAGTATTGGATTTTTGAGCATTTTGGATTTTTTTAGATTTTCATATTAGCAAAGTGCTATCCATGTTGTTTGAAGTTTTTCCTTTCAAAATGAATTTCAAAAAACAAGGGGTGGGAAGCTGGGCGCAGTGGTGCATGCCTGTAATCCCAGCAATTTGTGAGACTGAGGAAGAAAGATTGCAAGTTTGAAGCCAGCCTCAGCAAAATCAAGGCGCTAAGCAACTGAATGAGACCCTGTCTCCAAATAAAATACAAAATAGGGCTTGGGATGTGGCTCAGCAGTCGCGTGTCCTTGAGTTCAATTCCAAACAAAAAAGGAGTGGGATCAGGAAAGGGTAGGCTAGGGATGTAGCTCAGTGGTGAAGTATTTGCCTGGGTCAGATCCCCAACACCTCAGAGGGAATAGAAAAGCCATCAGTAATCCTCTATTTTCATCTAGCAATAGAATAATAAAATATTAAACTGTGACTTTCTAAATAGAACTTACATAAAAGTTTCTTGGTATATATGGATAAATATCCTAGCAATAGTGTACCGGGATCATGGACTTTAAATATACTTTATTTCTCAAGCACATACAAAGCAAAACCAAAACTGTGATCTTAATTAAACAAGTAGTGCTGATTACTTTTTTTTTTGGTACTGGGGATTAAACCCCAGGGTGTTCTTCCCCTGAGCTATATTCCCAGCCCTTCCTTTTTTTTTTTTTTTTATTTTGAATAGGGTTTTGCTAAGTTGCTATGGCTGGCCTCAACTTGCTGTCCTCCTGCCTCAGCCTTCTGAGTCATTAGGATTACAGATATGTGCCATTGTGCCCAGCTAGTGCTGGTTACTTCTTAGCTGTAAGCCAAGTTCTGTTCAACAGTTCCAGTTCAACTTTAGTGTTTGATAGGTTAGTTTCTACTGTAAGGAAGGGTAGTTATTCTGTCACTTTGGAATTTGGTCACCAGGAGTTTCATTCCAATTCATAGTGACTAAAATGATGTTGGATATAAGTTATTGGATACCTAGGAGCCCAGTTTTTTAATTCTACCCTTTATTACATTTAATCTGGAGAAGTGCCATACGTACATTTCTTGGTTGAATATTATTATGCTTAAGAGTCATTACTTTTTCTTCATTCTTTTAGCACTTGAAGTGTTCAGCTTGAGTGTACTACAACTTTAACTCACCAGTGTAACACTTTAATGGTCGATAGGGACTAATGCAACATCTAGAGGCATCTAATTTAGTTGCACTGTAAGCCATATTCATACTAGGCTACTTGAAATCACATTATCCATAAAATTTTTTTAAAAAAAACTTTCTTTTAATATTTTTTTAGTTGTCAATAGACCTTTATTTTATTTATTTATATGTGGTGCTGATAATCAAACCCAGGGCCTCACACGTGCTAGGCAAGCGCTCTACCACTGAGCCCCAGCCCCAGCCCACCCATAAGAATTTTAAAAGCCTGCTTTCCTTCTGCCCCACCTTGCTGCTATTCTATCTCACAGAACTTCATCATGTTGGCCTTCTAGTTGTTCCTTGAAGTTTCCAGTAGTCTCTGTCTTACCCTGGGTCTTTGAACTTACTTTTACTATTACACAGAAGGCTGTTCCTTCTGTTAGCCACAATTTTGAGCCTACCTCAAACAATTTATTTAAAATTGCTTGCAAGTATGCTGCGGGTAGAACTCAGTAATAGAATGTTTGCTTATGTGCAATCCTCCTCACTGCAAAAAAAGAAAAACAAAATTGCTTGCAGGATTCAATTCTTCTGATATGTCTCATATGTCTTTCCTGTTTTATTTTTTCCTTATGGCATTTTTCACCCCGGACATGCTGTAAATTTATTATTTTGTTATTATCAGTATCCCTACACTGGGATATGTTCCATTAAGGCAGGGATATTTGTCATTTTGCTTCTTCCTGTACCTTTAGTACCCAGAATAGTGACTAGTACATAATAGATCTCAGTAAACATTTATTCAGTGAATGGATGATCTCATTAATCTTCATTCCCTTTATCTAAAATTATAATAAATAGAGAAAACTGGAGCAATGTTTCTAATAAGTCTAAGGAAACTTGATTTAGATTAAGTTTCCTGAATTAATTGAAAATTTTCTGTTTAATTCATATTGCTTCTCAGGCTGAGGGTGTAGCTTACTGGTAGAGCACTTGCCTAGCATGTATGAGTTCTTTTACAGAATTTCCCAGCACTAGGAAAAAAAAAAAGAAATATATATCTATATATCTATATCTGTACACACACACATACTGCTTCTCACTTAATAATCTTTAATACTGACAGTTCATTTCTCATATATATCATATTTTTTTTTTGCTATAACTTGTCAGGAATTCCCCAAACAAGTCTTTGGATACTGTTTACAGTCTATTTTAATTAATAATCAAGGCTGCAGTTCTCAAATGTGCTTGTAAATTGCTGGTTTGTATGGAAACAAAGGAAGTAGGTAATGTAATAAGACCCTTAAAGAAGCAAGTGCTTAAAGTGATTTGAGGGTTTTGGGGTCTTCTGTTTGTTTTTTTGGTGCTGGGGATTGAATCCAGGGCCTTGTGCATGCGAGGCAAGCTCTTTACCAACTGAGCTATATTCCTAGTCCTAGACTTTTTTTTTTTTAAAGGACAGGAAGTAGAAAAATTACCATATATTTTTTCTTTTGTCAGGCTGAGTCACTTTCATTTGTATTCACAGGCAAAATCATCAACATTGCAGACTAGTACTCAACCTTCCTCACAAGTAAGATGTTTTTTTCTTCAAATCTAAGTAGCAGGGTTTTAAATGAGTTATAGTACATTTAGATTACATCTTGAGGTCTGTATGGTATTTAAGATTAATTTTATCCTTTAAAGCTTTGAAGTTAAAAAATATTTGTTTTCTGTTTAAGTTTGAAATGTTCCTGAAAGTTTATTTACTGAGTTATGGCCTGAAATACAGAATATCACTTTCCTTTCACAAGGATTTTTATATTTTCAAAATTAAGAATTAAGCATGTTGTTAAGTTTATAATATAATATTTAATAGATTATTGACAAGTTTATTTTATTTTTCCAGAGACCATCTTGGTGGCCCTTTGAGATGTCTCCTGGTGCATTAACTTTTGCTATTATATGGCCTTTTATTGCCCAGTGGTTGGTGCATTTGTATTATCAAAGAAGGAGAAGGTAATACTATAGTTTTATAATTTGAAATGATGCATAAATTCTTATAACTGATAGTAGACAGTTTTCACCAACAACTAAGAGAATAGGTCCATTGTCATATTGAACATTCTATACTGATCCTGAGACTAAAGCTACCTTGGAAATGATATGTTGGCGATTGCTCGGTACTTGTTAGACTAGTTTTCCCTTGGGAACATCTGATAGATTTGTATGCCTATGATCTGCTCAACAAGAAAATGACTATATGCTTCTTAAGTTTTATGGCTTTATGATGTTTGTTTTGGGCCCTTTGCTAATATAAATGACAGTGGAAAGGTAAACAGATAATACTTGTTTACTTTGTATACCTTTGACAGATGGGCATTAACATTTCAGAAAAATTTCAGCCTGCTGGTTGACTGTATCTAGAATTAGGAAGTAGTTTAAGATGAAGGCCAGAGTTCCAGTTTGGGATGATAGAAGATAACTCAAATAGGTCTGAGAAATAGCTTGGAATTCCTGAATGTACCCTGAATCTCTGTCCTGAGGTGAGAATACTTGTGTTCCAGAAAATCTTCAATCCAAAAATTGGACACAAAAACTGAATTACTTTCTTGAGTGAATTGGCAAAGTAGACCATTACTTTGATGGTGGCCTTATTGATTGTGTCTTCCATGTTTCATCATCATCTCCCATTAAGTAATAATTGATGGGTAAAAAGCAATAGGGCACACTTGACACACATTTAAAAAAATCTGTGAGTTTAAATATTTATAGATGTTTTTCCTTTACCAAAGAACCCAGTTATAATCTATCACAGTAGGTAGGTTGAAATGCATATGAAACTTAAGTTGCTTTCTTTTTTTTTTTTTTTGGCACTATATCCAGGGCACTTAACCACTGAGCCACATCACCAGCCCTTTTTTAAACAATATATTTTATTTAGAGATGGTGTGTCATTGAGTTGCTCGGGGCCTCACTCAGTTGCTAAGGCTGGTTTTGAACTTGAAATCCTCCTGCCTCAGCCTCCCAAGCCACTGGGATTACAGGAGTACACCACCAAGCCCAGACTAAGTTGATTTTTCAATAGTACTTTTACCTTTTAAGTCCATTCGTATATTGTTTGTTTGTTTAATGGATTCTTTTTTTTTTAAGTTTGTAGATCGATATAATACCTTTATTTTATTTGTTTATTTTTATCTGATGCCAGGGATTGAACCCAGTGCCTCATGCATGCTAGGCAAGCACTTTGCGACTGTGCCACAACCCCAGCCCATATTTGTTTTTTTTTAATTGTCAAAAAGATATAGATGTTGGGCTGAGGATAAAGCTCAGTGATAGAGCACTTGCCTAGCGTCGGCAAGAACCCGGGTTTGATTCCCAGCACCATAGAGGGGAAACAAAAGAACTATAAACTTTTAATTTAAATCTGTTTTTTCTTTTACACATTATAAATTTCTCCTATGATGTTTGGGCATAGTCCTGTTCAGTGTTTTAAATTCTAGTTTCCTTGACATAGGAGAAAAAAAGAACCAAATCTTTTCTCAATAAGTAGTAATGCTCAACTTAAACAGTAGGCACAGTGACACTAAAGGTAGGTGTTTACATATTTTGTACTGTTTCAAAATTATTTTTTTACTGTGTTAGGGATTGAACCCAGGCCCTCACACATGCTGGGTAAGCTCTCTACCACTGAGCTACATCCCTGGACTTCAAAATTCCTTTTCATGTTTTCTTTGTAGAAGAAAGTTGGAGGGCAGTGAAATTTGGGATAGGACCAAAATAAAATAAAATTCGATTAATAGTTATCTTTTGGGGCTGGGGTTGTGGCTCAGTGGTAGAGTGCTTGCCTGGCATGTGTGAGGCTCTGGGTTCCGTCCTCAACACCACATTTAAAAATAAATAAACAAACAAATAAATAAATATATTGTGTCCATCTAAAACTGAAAAAAATTATTTAAAAAAAATAGTTATCTTACCACTTCATTAAATGTTTAAAAAAATGCCGACGCAGTGGCGCACACCTATAATCCCAGTGGCTCACACCTATAATCCCAGTGGCTCGGGAGGCTGAGACAGGAGAATCATGAGTTCAAACCAGCCGCAGCTAACATTTGTGCTAGAACCTCACTCAGACAGTTTGTCTTTAGAACCACCCACATCTGTCTTTGTCCATCATTTCATTTATCCTCTTCCAGAGGCCTCATTTTCTTCCTTCTGCAGAGAATTCCTGTTAGGTGAAAACTGATCTGATTATTGAAAATGTCACTCATGCCAAGGAGGTGTAGATAAAAGGATTTATACAGAGTGTAAGAAATGATCTGATTATTTCAAATCTGAGTATTTCTACAGAGAGGAGTGACTAATATGAAAGTTTTAGACAGGCATCTTGAGTGGAGATTTTACAGCAGTGGAACATTTTGCAGAACTTAGGTCATATGTGATTGTTGTGTCTTGTGGTAACAAGCCTACCCTCTCCCGGTAGCTCATTCACTCTGATGTCATTAAAACCATTGTGTTATATTTATCCAAGTTTGGGGGCTGTATGTTTCTGTCTCCCCTGTCACTAAACTGAGCTCTTTTGAGCGCAAAGAGCCTGCCTCATTTATGTCTGAATTCAGGTGCACGAATAGAGTCTGGAAAATAACAGATACTTATATGTGTTGATTAAATGAATAGTCTGGGTCAATTAAGCTTTTGGTTTCAGAGCTTTTCCATTTTCACAAAATTATGAAATAATTCCCCTAAGTCTTGATTGTATAGCCAATTGGAAAAGGATGAAATTCTAGAAGGGAAGAAAAAAGGAATGTAAATTTATTTATTGAAAACTGTTTGGGCCAGGTGTGGTGGTGTAGCCTCAGCAACTTAGGAAGGCCTTAAGCAACTTAATGAGACCCTGTCTCAAAATAGAAAATAAAAAGGGCTGGGGATGTGACTCAGTGGTAAAGCACCTCTGGGTTCACTCCCCAGTACCAAAAATTAAATAAATGAGAACTTTTTTTTTTTTTTTTCAGTGCCTACAATTAGATCCTTCCTATTGGTCTAAGTCACATGAAGTAGTTTCCTGAGGATCATTTGTAATTTATGGTTTTATCTTGAAATTGAATGTTTTTATGTTATCCAAGAATTTTTGGTATGGATGTGTTTCATATTGGGTTGCATTTATACTCACAGGAATCTGGTTTTTACTTTCTTTTTAAAGAAAACTGAATTGAAGAAAATGATATTTTACTTAAGAAGACTGCTGGGCCTGGATGACCTCAGAATGAAATGGATTGTGGAGTTCACAAGAAAATCTTAATTTGTGATGATTACATTTCTTTTTTGTTGTCCAGTAGTTTGGTTTGTGTACATATATACACACATATTTTTTGCACTACACAAATGATAACATTTTAAGGACTAATAGTGCTGATACTTGAATAATCAATCTAAACTAGGTTATAAGTAACATATATTGTACCCTACTCTTGAACTTGAAGGACATTAAATTATTGTTTGGTAACATTTACCTGATTATCTTCCATAGAGAAATATAAGCTGCTTCCCAAGGTACAGGTCTGATAATGAGATCGATTTATATAAGTGGGTATTTTTCATTTTCTAAGTTAAATATGAGAAAGAATGTAAACCAAGAATGAGTTTCAAATGAGGGTAAATGGATTTTATATTAGTCACTGAATTGTCATGCCAAGTAGTGGAAACTGTTGGAAGAATCTTCTCCACATTCACTTTGTGGGCTGCACATATTTCTTGAGTAGTCACATCTCAGAGTTAATGTCAGGCATCATTATTAAAAATTATATCCCTTTGTACTAGACTTAGTTTTTACAAATGAGTTACAGATAGACATAACATGATGATGGAAATTATGAAAAATGGGCTTAATGTAATAGATTTAAAAGTTTATTCTGAGCCTACAGATATAACCTATAAGATTTTAATTCAATCTATACATATATTCCTTTCTAATTATTTTTCTTTGAGGATATCTAGTGTATGCTTCATAGGGTGCTTTGAAATATAAAATGAAAACTTATTTATACTGTTTTTACAAAGGTAAAAAAGGAAACACATTAATATCACTTTTCTGCAACTGGTAAACTATACAGACTGGACTCTTTAACCTCTTAGTGCCTCAGTTTTTCCTTGGGGGTATAATATTTGGATATACATACTTCATTAGGGGTATTGGAAGGTTTTGCAAGCTAACAGGCCATATGCTTTTATATGAATAGGCATGCTCAACCAATGAAAATTTAAGTCCCTCTATCCGACATCTCACCTTTTAGACTAAAAGGAAGACTGTAATTTAGATCCTTGAAGATTTGGAAAATCATTCTTCCTGTATACCTTACAAAACTCTACATTTAGTTAGATGTACTTTGTGCTTTAAAGATTTCTATGAATCAGAGACTTTGTAACAGATAATTTTGAAGAATTCTGTATTGCAAGATGTTGGGATTAGCATGTGTTCAGAGTGTTTTTAATAAGAGGGAAGAAATTAGTCCAACTTTAATATACAGAGTGGTTCTTTATTTGCCTGAAGAAAAAGTATGAGAATACAATTTGCTTTTCCCAAACTCATGTTCTTATTTCTTCTTTCATATAACTTCATGTTTTTTTAGTTTTTAATCCATCTAGATTTAAACATGTCTAAAAGGATCTACCTTTGCTTAAAAATGACAAAAAAGAAACAACCTATCCTCTACTTATTTAGAAAAAAATGGAGAAAGTAACTGAATTATATGTAGAAATAAAGTTTAAACTTGTGGATCAGGGATTATTTTAAAAAATTAGATATCAAGTATGAAATCAGAAAATGGTGGCTTTTCTCTTAGTATTTAAATAAATAAAATGCAAATTAAGAAAGTAGGAAATTGAGATTCATTACAAGCAGTCAGGGGTAATTAACTGCTAGGGATAACCATTTGTATCTTATTCCAAAGTCTTTATTTTATAGTATGAAAAGCACTTTGCACACAATTATTGTATATAAATTAATGATGTAATTATAGGGTATAGTGTTATTGCTTTGTTTAATAAGAATCTCATTTAAAATTGACAGCTATGGTATTTTTTTAATGATCAACTTATTTTCTGTTTCTTTATTGTAAATTAAGTTAAAATAAAAGGTTAATGAGAAATGTTGTTACTGTTAGTGTATTGATTATATACTAAAGATTAAATGAGAATAAATAGTAGGAATTCATAAAATTAACTTTTTAAATAAAGCCATGCTTATATATAATTTTATAAAAAATCAAACTGGGATGACATTTAACTCATTTAATCATCTAGTTGATTAGAATTAGTGATCCAGTCAAAAATCTTAGTTTAGTTCATAACACCAAATAAATAGCTTCTCACAAAGCACTCGGTGAACCCCTAAAAATAGCCATCTTGAATATATACCATTAGTTGTAGGTGGAACATGGTGAGTTTGTGTTTTTAATACATATATAATTTATAATTTCATGATAGTATAAAAGTGATGTTAACTACTTGTACCACTTAAGATATCATTGTTCTACTGTGGCTTGACCAAATGTCTTTTGTTTTTGTTTTCCTCATAGAAGCTCAGAGGTAGTAAATTCTGGGGCTGGTACTTCCACAATGCCATTATGGATATAGGGCTCACTTCCTGACTTCTATTCTACCATATTTAGTGTGTAGCTTTCCCAGACCTACAGTATAGGAGGACAAGTGAAGGGAAGAAAGCAATTTCCAGTTGTATTTTTCTATCTAAGAAACAATTATCTTTATTGAAAGACTCATGTAGGAGACTTCTCATATCTAATTAGCTAGAAGTGTATCCTCTGTCCCTTTCCTTCTTCCTTTGGAAGCTTTTCCTTTCCTACTAAGGGATTCTGTTGAGGCTGCTAAATGGAACACCCAGATATGCCCACTCCTTCCCACCCAAGCCACAGTAATGAGTATGTGACCCACACCTACCAGTTTATATCCCATTCTTCTAAGAAAAGTTATGATCCCAGGAATGGGTACAGGATCATCAGTGAGACAGTTGGAGTTAATCTTTGGGATTTAATTTGTGGAACTAGGAGAGAGTATTCTTTCTCACCCCTTCTCTTTGCAGTTTTTTTTTTTGCAACCAATGAACACTGTTTTTTTTTTTTTTTTCTTTGCAATATTTTTTAGATCTGCTTCCAAAGTATTTTATAGTTTAAAAAGCACTTTGCACACAATTCTTGTATATAAATTAATGATGTAATTATAGGGTATAGTGTTTTCAGGTCCACCACAAAACTGAATAAAAAGTTCATTGTTCCCATACCATTCTCCCAACACCCACATACAACCTTTCCAACCATCACCATCCCCAGGTAGAGTGGTATATTTGTTACAATTGATGAATTAACATGGACAAATGATTACATTAGGGTTCATTCTTGGTGTACATTCAGTAGGTTTTTACAAATTTTAAATTATGTGAACCCACCTTCTAATAGAATACAGTCATTTCACTACCCTAAACATCATCTGTGCAAGGCCTATTCCTACCTCTCTGCTAACCCTGGGTAAACATTGATCTTTTTACTGTCTCATAAGTCTTGCATATTTTAGATGTCATGTATTTGGAATCACCATATGTAGACTTTTCAGGCTGGCTTCGTTTTACTCAGTAATATGTACTTATGTTTGTTTTGTTTATTCATGGCTTAATAGCTCATGTCTTTGTATCACTGAATAATATTCCATTATTATGTGCCACAATTTATCCATTCACCTACTGTAGGCATCTTGATTGTTTCCAACTTATGAATAAAGCTGTTAGAAATGTAACAGTTTGTGGGGCCTCGGGTATGGCTGAGTGGTAGAGCACCTGCCTAGGCCATATGAGGCACTGGGTTCCATCCTCAGCACCACATATAAATAAATAAACAAAATAAAGGTATTGTATCCATCAACAACTAAAAATATATTTTAAAAATGTGCAGCTTTTTGTGTGAGCATATATTTTTTTTAAATTCAATGCTATGTATCTTTTTTTTAAGAGAGAGAATTTTTTAATATTTATTTATTTTTTTTAGTTTTCGGCGGACACAACATTTTTGTTTGTATGTGGTGCTGAGGATCGAACCCGGGCCGCACACATGCCAGGCAAGCGCGCTACCGCTTGAGCCACAATCCCAGCCCGTGTGAGCATATTTTCAACTCATTTGGATAAATACCAAGGAGTTCGATTGCTGGATCATGTGTTAAGAGTACATTTAGTTTTGTAAGAAACTGCCAAAGAGTCTTCTAAAGTGGCTGTACCATTTTTTTTACACTAGCAATGAATGAGAGTATTTCTGTCAGCATTTAGTGTTGTCAGTATTTTGGATTTTAGTCGATCTGATAGGAATGTTGTGGTCTTATTGTTTTCGCATATTCTTTCTCTTTGAATTAGAGTCTGCTAAGATTATATTACCCTAGGGTAATATGTCTCTTGTCATTTGGAAGAGCCTTAGATAATAAGGCAAATACTGTTATAACATAGCTTAGAGTTGGTAAAACATGGTCAAGTCCCTCTATCCATTTAACTCTGTAAATAATACCACCAACTCTCTATAATTTGTTTATATTGATTAGTAAATTTGCTTTCTTATTTAAAGTACTTGAGAAGGTTTCTGATGCTTGCCACCACTATACAGGTAGCTTCTTTTTTAAAATATTTATGTTTTAGTTGGACACAATATTTTATTTATTTTTATGTGGTGCTGAGGATCAAACCCAGGGCCTGGTACATGCTAGGTGAGCACTCTACCACTGAGCCACAACCCCAGCCCATACAGGTAGTTTTTTATTCTGAGGACTGAGTACAAGCTCTGGAGCCAGCCTGCCACTTTCCAGCTGTGCAATCACAGGAAATTAGTATGTGTTTTCAGTTTTCTCATTCATAAAATTGGTGTAATACCTCTTAGGATGTCAGATACAGATTGGGACTTATGAAGATACCTTATAGAAGCTGCAGCATTTGGTCAAAGGAAGTACCAGCCTACCAGGATCTACAGGGAAGAAAGTTAGGGAATCAGCATTCCTCTTTTATTCTTTTTCCTCTGGGGATCTACTGCTGATGCCCTGTATTAGCCAAATCTACTGGAAGCCAGAGGAACAAAGGAGTCTTTTGACATGGTTAGCATAGCAATTTCCTTGGACACAAAGCAGACTTCAGAAGTATGGAGGTGAATCTGGAAAGACAAAGGGAGATCTCCACCACAGCACTTTCTTCAATGTGCCAGGTATCTCTCTTGTTCATCCTCCACACAGAGGAAAAAACAAAACAAAACAACCCCTACTATTTAGCAAGGGTCAATAAGGGATAGAAGGTATGTGCAGTTGGACAGAGGATCTTAGGATCTGCTTAAGTGGAATCCAACAAATTAATTCAACTACTCCCTTTCACCCTTAGGGATGTATCTAGTACCAACTCTTATGTAGTGTAAGTTCAATTAATTTTTGCCTGTTTCTCATGACTCACAATGATGCACTTAGTTACTGCATTATTTAAACTAATTACCCACTTACTTACCACCTTCCAAATTGTCATTGCTTTTGTTTTGTTGCTTTTTTTGTTTTTAATTGCTTTCCTATTCTGTCAGTACCTGTGGGTTACAGTTACTATAGCTGGATAGGGATTACCAGAAAACTCAGTGGCATAAAGCAGCCATTTGATGTGCTCATGGATTCCATGAAAGGCATAGCAGGGTTCCATAGCTGAGGAAACTCAGAAGAACTGGAAGCTGGCAAAGTGTGTGGGGGTGTCTGTGGGTAACTCTATTTATGCTTTTCCTCATGGTCGTTCCAGTATGGTGGCTTTAGGGTAGCAAGACTTCCTATGTGCCAGCTCAGGCTCCCAAAGTGCATGTCCCAGGAGAAAGCCAGGGAGAAGCTTTTTTGCCATCTTAAACTTGGCCTTGGAAGCTTCCTGGAGTCATTTCCGCCACTTGACTCACTGGATGCAATTCAATGCATTTGGCCTATCTTCATAGGAAGAATAATTAGACTCTACTTTTTGTGGCAATAGTGTATAAGAAATTGCAGGCACCATTTTTTTTTTTTTTTTTCGAAGTCTCCAACTGATTTCTTGTATTCTTTGAGTGTCTCACAGACATTTCTACCCATCCCATTCCTCATTCTATTTTAGGGTATAATACCACAATTGACCCACTTGCTCAAGCTGGGAATTAGGTGTCAAACTTGGTTCCTTCCAGTAAGTTTTGATAATTCTATATCTAAATATATCTTGAATCCAGGTAGGCTGGTACATTTTACTTAGTCTTCTTTCAAATATTGTCCCACACAATATACTTCAACAGTGAAAGAATAACCTATCTATGTTGCCTTGGTATTAATTGAAAAACCTGGTGAAAACATTATGTTTGAACATATCTTCTGGACTCTGAACATGTTTGCAACTGGCTAAAATTATGACAGTTCTTTTTGGCAAATGGAATAATTATTTGACCTAAATGTCCTTCAAGGACTTTGGCAAAACATGGTAAGGTTTTCAAATAATTATCATTTAGTAAACCTTTTTTTGTGTGTGTGTTTGCTAAGTACTTTGTCTTGTTTTATTCTAATATGGAGAAGCCAAGATAAATAGGTAGCTTTTCAAACATTTTTTTTTTTTGCATTTTTTTTTTTTTACATTTAATGGGGCTAGGAGAAAATTATTTTCTGTTAATTAAAATTATATAATAGTTTTTGGTGAAGAAATTTTTTTCTTAACCATCATGAGCTCTAAGTTGGGATGGCTCTCTGTAACAAAAGACATTAACAATAAAAAAGTTTTTAATGTGTGCAGTGCATGTTATGCAGGAGATACTTCAATGTAAAGTAACCCAAGTAGTGCTTAGCATTCTAAATCAGGATCTTCAACAAAGAACAAATACAATTCTTTGCCAGTATCTGGGAAATGACAGGACAAAGGAAAGTGATTTTAGGTTTCCAAAGAGGGAAACTCTCAGAAGGTAAATATAAAGGAGGAAACAATGGAGTAAGGTTTGTTTATAGAGTCCTCTGGTGCTACCTGTTCTCTAAGACTAGAGTTCTCTTCTGTGAAGTTGAATTTATAGCCTACCTTTAGACAAAAAAGCAAGAGGAGAGGGAGAAATCTTACTGTGTCTCCTTTTGGTCAAAAATATTTTTTATGCCAGAGGCATATTTTGGGGTGACACATTCTGATTGCCTTCAGAGTAAAAGATGCACAGATTTCCACTCATCATAGTCAATGTTCTTTATTTCATTATTGTTGTTCCTTCATGGGTTTCTCCTTAACAAGTGTCTGAACTTACAACTCATTGACAGTTATAAATTTAGATGATAAATCACACATTCCCCCTAAATACCATGACAACATGCCTTTCCTGGTGGCAGCATTTCAGATGACTAGCTAGGTTTATAACAATAAACTGTGTAACTTTCTAATTAAGGGCTTTGTCTTCTGTTGAAAATCAGCTAATTTTACATTTCTCCAATTAAGTAACATTTCAAATCCTTGATACCTTCCTCAGGAAGCCACAAAACTGGTTGTTTCTTCATCTGGCTCTGCTCATTCCAACTCTTCAAAGTAATCAGTATAATCCCCAACATGGAGCTGCTCCCAATTAATCTGCTAAGGTGTCTTAATGTGGCAGAATGATGGTTTGATCCGTTTGATTCCACAGCCTTTTTTCTTTTCACTACTTGACAATACCATAAAAAGATGATAGGTAATTCTATGCTCTCATCTAGGGGAAAAATGTATAACTCAAACTAAATGAAGTTAAAATAACTGTATTTTGAACATTTTATTACAAGGGGTAACTATGAGGAGCATTAAATCTAAGTAGTCATTACTAAAACAAGCTCAGTAAAACCTCTAGCCCGTGAATTCAATTAGAAAGAAATATTATAATGGTATATCTTTCACTCTGTTTTAAACTTGTATCTTTGTCAACTATATTACAACAGGGCAAACAGTAAAGCCAATGTGCAAAAAGAAAACGGTGTTTGACCTTTGCTCTTTTAGGTGTTAAGTATGCTGAAAACCTCAATGAATTTAAGATATGACTAAGCTGAATACTCACAGTGTGTGTTGATGCTGACAGATAATTTACTTTTATAATTATATTAGGCAAAATTAAATTGTATTACTATTTTAAATTGTTTACAGTATATCACACCTAACTTTTCCAGTAGTATTAAAAAAAATAAATAAATATCCTAAAGGCAAGCACCAAAAGCAGTCAAGGCAATAAAACTGTATCATTAGTAACTTGTAAACTAAAACTCTAGTCCTTTTTTTTAGTCCTTGTTTCCCAAAAGAGTTACACTAATGAGCGAAGAAATTTTCCAGCTACATTTTCGAGGTTACAAATGATGCCTTAAATGATTGCCCATGAGACCACAGGGTTGTTTTTGTTTTTCCATACTGGGGATTGAACCCAGAGGCACTTTACCACTGATCCACATCCCTACCCTTTTTATTTTCTTATTTTGAGACAGGGTCTCATTAAGTTGCTGAGGCTGGCCTGCAACTTGCGATCCTCCAACCTCATACCCCTAAGTCGCTAGAACATGGGCAAGTAAATTACATTCAAATGAAACCATACCTTTTTTGTTGTTACCATATTGAATGGTGGACTACAATCAACACATAAAGAAAAAAATCAAGCTTGTGGCTAACTATCTCTATGTATTATAGTGGTAGTGCCATTCTAATTTTATTGATGCTTTACTTTTCATAAAGTGCAGAAAATAAATAAATAAAGTTTAAAAAGATTTGAAGATTTATATACAGTTCTCAAGTTGAGATATTACTAATTACATTTCTTATATCTTTTTAACTCTGTGAAAGCTGTCACATACATTAAAAGCTCATCAACCCAGGTAGAATTAATTATTTTGATCCCTCTTTTATCAGTTTAGTATTAAGGAGTATATAATTATGAAGCTTATTCTATAATACAAGTTTAAATAAAAGAAACATTTACATGCTATAAACTAAATCCAGATACAGTCAGATGCTGAGCGTTATTCCTGGCTTCAAAATAGGAAGTATCTGTTTCATTATCTGGTTGAGGTATGAAAGGCATAGTTTGATGCTGCAGATTTTCCCAGTCTACATCAGTGAAGAGAGGATGACGTTTCAGTTCTTAGGAAAAATATGAAACAAAACAATATTATGACACAATTACCTAAGTAAGTACTCCCTTTCGGAATTAAAAAGGGGATGTCTAACATGTATCTTGCCTGAACTTACAATGCCAATTCTACAAATGTCTGTCTCCCTGTTAAGGTCAAATACCATTTGATTTTGTCTATTACTTGGCATATAATAGGTTCCTGGTTTAGATTTGCCAAATGAGCAAATGAAGCATTTTTCTTGCTGCCTGCATCTTCTTACACAATCCCTGACCTGAGAGAAGAGAGTTTGGCCTACTTCTGGCTCCCTAATACAACTTCCATAATGCTGACATCACATGATTAATGCTTCAGTTCTCATTACAAGGCCTAACCACTTATTTATATCACTAAAATCTTTAGCACTATCTATTGCCCCAGATAACTTGAGCATGAAGCTCACCCTTTACTCCCTTGCTTTCTTCCCTGTGCTCCATCCTTCTTCATGGTGATTTTAACATATACATTGTTGATACCTTATTCATCCTTCCTATTTCTTTCTGCCTACTAAAATAAAAGTATGTTCATTTATTTGACCACATGGTGATATTTAGTTGGTAGAAATAACCCTCCCTTTTATTAACTCTTCTTTTTTGTGTATGTGTCATTGCTGTGGATTGAACTGGGGTCCTTGCACACATTAGGCAAGCTCTCTACCACTAGGCTACATTCCTAGCCTGAACCTTTCAATCCTTAAACCAACAATAGAGATGTTAACAAACAAGAAATTAAGGCAGTAAGTTGTTAAACCATCACAAAAAGTAACCCAACTTAAGTAAAATATTGGAAGAGGACTACATAGACAGGAAAGAATTATGGGTCTGTATTGGGGGTAAGGAGTTGGGAGATTAATGTCTACCAGTTGATTTTTCCCTATACTAAAAGACTAACAGGAAAAGGAATAAAATAGCAACAATAGTTTACATACAAAGAATTTGTCTCTTAATGTTCAAAATAACTGAGCATGGATAACTTATCAGAATGGTGGTTCTGGGGTGATTTTACCCTTAAAGGACATTTGGCAATGTTTGGAGACATTTTTGGTGGACACAAATGTGGGAGCATCTACCAAGTAGAGGCCAGGGATTCTGTTAAATATTCTACAGTCAACAGGACAGGCCCCACAATTATCTGGATAAAGCAGAGAAACTCTTCTTCAGAAAATCATATAAGTTGCTAAAAATAAATGGGGATAAAAGAAAAATGTTCTTACTAATGACACCACAGATATTTGTTTCTTCAACAAACAATTTACAGAGTGAAGCGGAGGATGGGTATTCTTCAGTTTAAAAAAGTTACTTCAGGGCTGGGGTTGTGGCTTAGAGGTAGAGTGCTTGCCTAGCATGCATGAGACACTGGGTTCGATCCTCAGCACCCCATAAAAAAAATAAAGATATTGTGTCCATCTATAACTAAAAAATATTCTTTTAAAAAAAGTTACTTCAACCCTTAAACTAAATTAGAATTCCTTTGTGAATTAAGTTTAAATGAAAATGAGTAGTTATGATGAAAGGATCACAAAGCTTCCCACTATATCCAGATACCAGAGAATAAGAGTTACTACTATCAATTTTCTGCTTCATTAAATGTATCTTCTAGCAAAATATTTGAAAATCATTCCAATGCACCATATCATAGCCCATTAGAATATCACAATAGACTGAAACTGTAATTTCCATGGGTGTGACAAGAAAGAATATTGAATTTTAGATAAATTCATCTTAATATTCTTTCTCCTTGAAGTTGGCAATTATTTTGGCCTTGAATGTGCTCCATGCTGATGTAATACTTTCTGCACCACTAGTGTAACAAGGTAGATGATTGTTTAGAGTCCTAGTAGTAATAAAGTCTTCACTCAGCTTGAGACTGATTAACACATAACCATAAGGCAATGCATATAATATGTTATCAATAAGAGTTAGGGTCTTAGTTTTTTTTTTTTTTTCCAAAGCTATCTGCTGCCACCTGAATGATACCATGCTTTATAATAGCAATCTGACCAATATGTTGTGTTAAGATACCCACATCTATTCTGAAGTAACACTGTGAGGATCTGATGTGTCCAAACCCAATGTACCCTGCTGGAATTGAAATTTGTGGGTGTTGAGGTATTTCAAGCAACATAAATGAAGTCCTAGGCTTCTTCAGAAAGCTAAAGCTGAGTTTTCAAATGACCACTCTTTCACTTCTTACAGGTTTCTGATCAAAACTCACTCTTCATAGAGGTATTCCCAATCACCATATCTAAAAACATCTCTTGCCATCACTTTGTATCCTCTCACTTTGCTTTAGTTTTCTTCCTAGTACTCACCCATGCATCATGTTATGTTATGGCTGTTTGCCTACAACCTGTCTTTCTACTAGAATGTGAGTTCCATAAAGAAAGGGACTTCAGTCTAGTTCATCCTTAGTATAGCCCTGGACTTGAAGTCATGAAGTCACTTGATAGGTTCAATTAAATCAATAAACACACTTTTTTTTTTTTTTGTGTGTGTGTGTGTATTTTTTTTTTCTCCTTCCCTAACACTAGGGACCAAACCCAGGGGTGTTCTACACTGAGCTATATCCTCAACCTTTCTTATTCTGAGACAGGGTCTTGCTAAATTATCCAGGCTGTCATCAAACTGCGATCCTCCTGCCTCAGCCTCCAGAGTAGATGAAATTCATACTGTTGATCTTAAGAGAGGGAACACTTAGAAGCTGATGCAAATGACATTATTTCTAAAGCCTGATTTCCTAAATATACCCTAATTCATATCAAAATGTATTTGGGACATAATATTTATATGTCTCTATATTACCATAAAGATATGGTAATACCTTATCACAAAGAGGATTTATTTTTAGGTACTTAGGTAGAACCTAGGGCTTTGTGCATGAGCTCTCCCATTTCCAGCCCTACAAAATTACTTTAAGGCTGCTGTTGATGAGATTTACTAGAATTTTAAAATTACTTAATATACTCCTGCAGTGAGAAAACCATTGAATGGTTCTTAATGTACTAAATTTGTCTGGAATCTGATAAATTTGCTAATGAGAAATGTTATTAGAAGTTAAGCAGTTAAGAAATGATAAAACAGGAAGTTTTCATGAAACAAATTTCCTGTATTTGTTGATGGTTAACTTTTATCAGGGTGTGATACCAACATATAAGACTGCTTCAGGTACCTCCGTGGGAATAACAAAATTCAGTGTATAAATATTTTATCTTGACTGTACTTAATTTTAATGGAGTATGACAAATATATTAATGTATATACCAAGAGGAGAGAAATAAACGAAATCATCTTTTTACCATTTAGCAGTCAGATTATCTGTAGTATTGTACTAGAACTTGATATTGTCATTAATAATCACCAACGATAAGAGAGTTTATTAATATAAAACCTTACCTTTCATTCCAGCTCTCTTTGTATCATCAATAGTTAAAAGTATTTCTACTGCACTTTGAGCATTATTAGATAACTTTTCGTCACCTTCTGGCCAAGGGATATCTATAAATATAAATACACAAATAAACTTGTTAATTGCTGCTTAACAGATAAATGAATCTATCTTAATCTTTCAATGAGAAAAATAGGAGAAAAATGAATCACCTCTTTTCAGAATATTCTGGAATACTTGTTGTGGTGTCTCATCATTAAAAGGGGGAATTCCAGTTAGAAATTCAAACAAGCAAACTCCAAGTGCCCACCAGTCTACTGCAGGACCTGGAATTAGGAGGAAATAGCTGAATTTGCAAGCATTTTTCCACAAATATCTGATCAACTAAAATATCAGTGTAGAGATATTTGAATGTAATCAAGGCTTTCATTGGCTAAGGCTTTCTACTGTCTTCATACAGTACAAAAATCCAAAAACATATTACTTTCCTCTTTATTTTCTAAGTAATTTAGACTGGCAACTAGCACAGCTATTTAAAGGAACAGTAAAGCCATTTATTTTCATTTATTAATAACTTCTGATATCCTGGGTACTTTATGTGTTCTAATTCCTAAAGCACAACAAAAGGATGCATTTAATGTAAAGAATATTCTCTAAGACATTCTACTTCTTAATTTCGAGTCAGGAGTAAGTACATTTAGATGATTATCTGTACTCCACTGTTTTCACAAAAGGAAGAGATGAGACAGCAACATTTATACAACTTGGAAGATGGCTTGATAAGGAGGGAAGGCCCTAATTATAGAATGTTTTAATGTGGCTTTATTCTTTTTAAGAACCTAAGACAAATTAGTTTAACAAAATATTTAAATTCTGGCTTGAAGAAGAAATTAGGAGATAATAAATAGGTAAAACTAATATCTGAATAACATTGAAAACAATATTTGTATACAAAGTTGTTTTTTATTTTTCAGAAGGGTCTCACTATATTGCCCAGGCTGGCCTTGAACTCCTGGGCTTAAGTAATCCTGCTACTTCAGTCTCCCTAGTACCCAGGATTATAGGCATGTGCCATGCCCAGCTATACAAAGATTTTAATGATATGTTAATCATGACCATATAAATTGGTTTACACTTTTATTTCTGTTCATGAATAAAGTATTTTCTACAGAAAGATTAATTTTTGATAAAAAATGGTTAATTTTAAAATTAAGAATTTGTAGCTAAGTTTGCTACAAATTATTCTTTTATACATTTATTTTTTTTTCTTTAGTACTGGGGATTTAAAAGCACAGGGGCACTTTGCCACTAAGCTACATCTTAGCACCTTTTATTTTATTTCACTTTTTGAGACAAGGTCTCAATAAATTGAGGCTGGTCTTGAACTTTTGACCCTCCCGCTTCAGAGTCCCAAGTAGCTGGTATTAGAGAGATACACCATTGCACCCGGCTTCTTTCTTTTCCCTTTTCTTTCCTTCCTTCCTTTCCTTTCTTTCTCTCTTGCCCTTCCCCTTCCTCCCCCCTCCCTCTCTTCCTTCCTCTCTTTTCCTCTGAACCCAGGAGCTCTTAACCTCTGACCCACATCCCAGCATTTTAAATTTTGAAACAGTTTCTTGCTGAGTTGCAGAATGCCTCACTAAGTTTCTGAGGCTAGCCTTGAACTTGTGATCCTCCTACCTCAGCCTCTAGAGCCAAGGGGATAATAGGCATGTGCCATTTGCCTGGCTTGCACCCAACTTCTTTAAAGACAATTTCACAAACTTTATTATTGTAGTTAAGCAACGGCCACCATCCCATTTTAAAAGAAGTAAGAAAGCATTGTAGAAAAAAACTGCATGCATTTAGAGTACCTTTTTACCTGCAAACTCCATAATCCCCTGTTCCCTTTGCGGATTATAAGATGCTAATAGTCTGTAGGTTTCTATTTCTATAGAAATCATTATAAAAACATACAGACCACCTCAGTTAGTACACCTTTTAAGCAGCATGGAGAAAGAATTATTCTAATGGATTAGATAATATAACCAAATAACAGGAAAGCTGGAAGAAATCAGGAAAAAAATGTATTTTTATTTACCTCGAGTTAGACATTAGAACCCATACCCAGCTCAGCTGAAATTGTACTTGTGTTAAAAGCATTCATGATTTCTCCACAGATATGTCACAGATAACCATATACTTAAGTCAAAGTCTAATAAGACCACATATTGTGATAAATCTTAGCAATTACAACACTTTATTAGCTGGAGAAAAAGAACAAGCTTGTTTTATACTAACTGGCTTTCTAATTCAAAACCCATTCATAATTTGTAGAGATATATTGATATTGTTATCTTTCTATTTTCTAATAGTAAAGAAATTTAAAATGTAGAAAATTCGATTTTAATAACTTCATCAAAACTATTGCTTCTGTTGTCATAAAAAGCTTATCTCTTTACTCTTTGATACATTTAAGTTATAAAAAAATGTCATTACCTACATTTTTTTTTCACAAACAATCATATTTCTGGATGTCTTTCTGCTCAGAAAACAGAGACAGTTCAGTATTTTATTGAGCATAAAGTAAACATTATTTTATTATGCAATGTGATCTAGTTACACTTTGACTATAGTTTCATGTGCTCTGCCACATTACTTTATAGAGAAGCTTACTTACCTGAAGTCAGAAACCCTGCATGTAAGAAAACAATAGTTAGGTACACTCTGTTAAAATTGTGAGTTAATTCCCTCACTATTTTTAGGTAGTGTACCAGATATAAGATGAAAACGGCCTTCTCAAGAAGAGATGACATAGATATTTTTAACACAATGTTAAAATAGCTGAAACACAAATGTACCCAAGAAGTTACAAGAAACTCAGCTTGTTTCAGGGACAAGATGATGGAAGTCATCTGGGAACCCTGCTTAGGGCCTTGCTAAGTTGAAGAGGCTGGGTTTGAACTCGGAATCTTCCTGCCTCAGCATCCCAAGTTGCTAGGATTATAGGCATGTACCATGGTGCCTGGCTTGGTTTAGTTTTGTTTCCATGGTGTGAGGGATTGAATCCAGGCCTCACACATGTCAAGCAAGTATTCTACCACTGAACTGCATTCTCAGTCCCCAAGTTTCTAATAAGGTGATACAGAAATAAATAACTCTTAGTAGTTGGCCAAGGGATACTTTTTTTTTTTAAATTTATTTATTTATTTTTAGTTTATAGATGGATGCAATACCTTTATTTTATTTATTTATTTTTTAGAGAGAATTTTTTTTAATATTTATTTCTTAGTTATTGGCGGACACAACATCTTTGTTTGTATGTGGTGCTGAGGATCGAACCCGGGCCGCATGCATGCCAAGCGAGCGCGCTACCGAAAGGGATACTTTATAAAGATAAAACATTTGAACTGATGAGATGAGAAGAAATTTGATTGGATAATGATTGTCAACTAAAACAAAATACATGTGCAAAATAAGGAAGAGTTGGACATTAAATGTATCTCATTAAGAAAAGGAATGAAAGCATAAAGCATATAAAGAGATTCTTTGAGATGAGCTTAGAGTCTTGAGCATCATGATCAGGAATTTGGATTTTGTTTAGCAGATCAGAGGGAACCATCATAGTTTTTCCCTCCAAAAAAACAAAACCAGAATGAACCATAGTTTAGGAAGAAAAATCTGGTTGCAATGATTACAGACAATAGAATGAAAATGAGAAGATCAGATAGATAGAAGGCCATTAAAATAATGAAAGACAAAGATGAGGTTCTTAGAATGGTAGCAGAGATGAAAAGCTCTGCAGAGATCTAATTAAATGGATTTAATGTCTGAATGTAGGAATGATTGTCTTCATGGAGATGGTGAAACAAATAGGGAACAGAGAGTGAGGTGGATAACAAGTCCTGTTTTTACATGCAACACTTGAAAGATCAGTAGAATGCTGACTAGGCAGGTTGGGCTGTATGTGTGCTGCCTAGGGAAAGGATTAGAGATAGAGATTTGGGGATCATCAAAATGGAGGTAACAATTAAAGTCCTTTGGAGTGATGAGATTAAGGGCCATGGGAAGGGAACAGAAGCATGGGGCAATATCTTGAAGAACTACTCAGTCCTCTATCCAGTGCTGTGGGTAGAAAATACTTGAAAAAAACTGCATCTGTATTGAACTTGTACAGACTTCTTTTTTGTCTTATAATTATTCCGTTGCTAGACTGTATTAGATGTTATAAGTAATATAGAGGTGATTTAAAGTATACAGGAGGATATACATAGTTTATATGCAAATACTGTGCCATTTCCCCACCACCACCACCTTTTTTTTTTTTTAACTGTGCCATTTAATACAAGGGACTTGAGCATTCACAAATTTTTTTGTAGTCCTTGGGGAATCATGAAACCAATCCTTCATAGATATTGAGGGAATTATACTTGACAGACATAAGGGAAAAAACCTGACAATTGTAATAGAGGTTAAGGGGAATGAGACTGAGAAGAAACTGTTGGGTTTGACAATAAGGACGGTGGTAATGGTTAAGAAAAGTTTCTCATTGTTATACAAAATTACATATAAGAGGTTGTGAGGGGAATGGGAAAATAAACAAGGAGAGATATGAATTACAGTGGATGGGGTAGAGAGAGAAGATGGGAGGGGAGGGAGGGGGGATGGTAGAGGATAGGAAAGGTAGCAGAATACAACAGTTACTAATAGGGCATTATGTAAAAATGTGGATGTGTAACCGATGTGATTCTGCAATCTGTATTTGGGGTAAAATTGGGAGTTCATAACCAACTTGAATCTAATGTATGAAATATGATATGTCAAGAGCTTTATAATGTTTTGAACAACCAATAAAAAAAATTAAAAAAAAAAAAAAGAAATAAATTTCATAATATTGGAGACTTAGAGTTTTAAAAAATTTTATCCCATCATTTCATACTTCCATGTAGAGACTCTAATAGAAATTATAACTACTTTAAGCATTGTATGGATCAAAAATTTAAGATGTGGACTAAAATGCTTGAGTAAAATACTCAAAAAAAAAAAAAAGAAAGAAAAGTTTCAGTTAAATAGCCAAGATAACAAACACATTACCAGAACAAAAATAATCAGGCAAAGAAAAGAGGCAACCTTTGAGACATTTCACAGTGAGGTCAAGACAAAAGTAGAAACTTACTTTCAGGCTGGGGATAAAAACAAGCAAAGAAATAAAAATAGAAATGGTGTGAGAGGTCGAATGGGGAGGATGAAACAGGTGATAACCAAAGGAGCCCAAATAAAAGGGAAGTAATTAATATCAAGATGTTGAAGAAGAAATTCATCTTATGGACTGAACTGTCACTTTGGCCAAAAAAAAAGTATGTTAAAGTCCAAACTCCCAGGCTGGTGATGTAGCTCGGGGTTAGAGTACCTGACTGGCAAGCCTATGGCCCTGGGTTCAATCCCCAGTATCACAAAAGAAAACAACACAAAAAACCCAGTCCTAACTCCTAGTAAGGATCTCAGAATATGACTTTATTAGGAAATAGAGGCACTGCAGTTGTAATTAATTAGGTTAAAAGGATAGATTGAAATAGGGTGGGACCCTAATTTAATATGACTGCTGTCCTTCTAAGAAGTCAGCATATAATACAGACACAGGGAGAAAACAAACCATCTGCAGAGGTAGAATTGTAATGATGCAGCTACCACATCAGGAGGACCAGAGATTGCTAGGAAACCACCAGAAGCTTGTAAGAGGCAAGGAAGGATTCCCTAAGGTTTCAGCAGAAACATGGCCCTGTCATCACCTTGAATTTGGATTTCTAACTTCCAGAACTATCAGACAATAAATTTTTGTTGTTTTGAACCATCAAATTTGTGGTACTTTATTACAGAAGTTTTAGTAAATGAATATAGTTCATTTCAAAATGTAGGAAAGGAATATTTTTTAAAGAAAGAAAGGAAAGAAAATAAAGAAGACAGGTGAAAATATCTTTTCATTATTAGGTACCATTTTGAAGGATGGTTCAGTTCTGGTTTGACTATTCTGGTGAAGTTGTGAGCGAGGATAAGTTCTAAAACAGGAAGAGGATTCTGGATACTGAATAGAAATTCAGGCCCAACATTATAGTAATAAGCATTGTAGACCAGATATGAAACATTTAGAGCAAACATAATGTAGGGGGTGGGAGGTGGGGCTTCTCTATATTATGAGACTGAATCAAAGAAGGCAAAGGATAGCCAGGCACAGTGGTATACACCTGTAATTCCAGTGGCTCAGGAGGCTGAGACAGGAGGATCGTGAGTTCAAAGCCAGTCTCAGCAAAAGTGAGCTGCTAAGCAACTCTGTGAGACCCTGTCTCTAAATAAAATGTAAAATAGGGCTGCGAATGTGGCTTAGTGGCCGAGTGCTTCTGAGTTTATTCCCTGGTACCTCCCCTCCCACCAAACAAAAAGGGCAAAGGACAAATAGTTGCATGTCCTTTAGTATTTGGTCTTCTACATTCAGAAAATAACAGCCATTTCTTTTTCTTTTTCCTACAATAATATATGGGTGAAAAGAGTATTTCAAGCTGAGTGATGGAATACACTTATAATTCTCACTACTTGGGAGGCTAAGGCAGGAGGATCGTAAGTTTGAGGCCAGTGTACGCAATTTATTGAGACCCTGTCTCAAAATAAACAAGGGCTGGGGATGAAGCACTTGCATAGAATGCTCAAGTTCAATCCCCAGTACTGTAATTAAAAAAAAAAAAAAAAAAGTATTAGCTGAGTATATTTTCTTTTACTTTAAGTTAGTAAGGTAAGTGTCAAATTTAAAATAATTTTTACCTTAAAAGATAAATGTAGTGATAGATCATGATTCAAAACCCAAGACATACAAGTCTTACCATGGGCTGTGCTCAATAACAGCTCAGGTGCCAGGTAGTCTGGGGTTCCTAGAATTCGGCCATCATCCATTGGGGCTGCCCCTCTTCTCACACTTTTTGGAGTTCGGTATGAAGTTCCTGATTTGATCTGATTTGGGGTCTGCTAATTCAAAAGGATTTTAAGAGACAACAAATAAATCTTAATTCTTTTTACCAAAAGTAAAGTACTAAAATTAAAAAAAGCTAGATCATGGACTGGAGGTATATAAGATACACTCAATGGATTCACAACTAGTTGTAATTATGAAAAAGTCCTTACATGTAATGAAATTCAGTAGCTTAGATAACATCAATTATTTTGTTAATATCTGGATACACAAGCAACAATGAAAAAGTGCACAATTCTTCTTTTTTTTTTTTTTTTGTACCAGGGATTGAACTTAGGGGCACTTAATCACTGAGCTATATTCCCAGCCCTTTTTAATTTTGAGATAGGGTCTTGCTAAATTGGTTAGGGCCTCGCTAAGTTGCTGAGGCTGGTTTTGAACTCTTGATCCTCCTGCCTCAGTCTCCTGAGCTGCTAGGCTTACAGGTGTGCGCCGCCATAGTGCCTGGCAAGAAAAAAATTTTGACAGCATGGATAAACATTGCTTAGGAAGATTTACTGAGAAAAGTTGTTGCCGACAAATGATTGAATTATTAGGACAATATGTGATAAACTAAATATAAACAAATTCCTGTACTCAATGGCATTTAAAAGGTTTTAAGAAAATTGTCTAACAATCTTTTGAGTCCAGGAGGACCAGTACTGCAAACAATTGGAAAAATAGGCTCTGAGGTTGAGGCACTTCTAAGTCCTAAGTAAGTTCTAGTTTTATAACTTAAATTCAGAGTTCATGCTTTTTATATTATGATGTCCTTCCAAAGGAAGAAAAAATATAAAGCTTTTGGTTTAAAAGGTAAGGTTTAGAAAATAAGCACAATTTGTTGTTATTTTTATTTACTTATTTATTGTTTCCAGGGATTGAACCCAGGGGCATTTAACCACTGAGCCACTTCCCCAGCCCTTTTTTATATTTCATTGAGAGACAGAATCTCACTGAGTTGCTTAGGGCCTGGCTAAGTTGCTAAGGCTGGTCTTGAACTTGTGATCCTCCTGCCTCACCCTCCTGAGCTGCTGGGATTACAAGCATGAGCCACAGCACCTGGATTGTTATTTTAATTATATACATTTTAACTTTTTTTCTATAATGAGATCATCTAAATGTGTCCTTGGAAGACACTAGGTTAACAGTAGATTTTAATTTGTCAGGATTAACCAACTACTATATATAAAACCACAAAGCTCTATTAATAAAGGAAGAAAGAAGAAAGTAGACTTTAATTTTGTATTGTATAGTATTGCTGAGATCAAGTAAAAATGTGATTATATTTGCTGAGAAAAGTATATTGTGCTATACAAATGAAAGATACTATTGTTAGTAATAAACTGTTACTACAGTTTTACCATTCTGCAAGAAAACTTCCAACAATTCATAGATTCTCAATAAGGAGAATGAAACTATACAGTTAATTAATATCTTATAGTCTAGCTGAGAGGTGAATGTCTTTCTTAATAATTTACTTTTCTAAAATTCAAAGAACAAATTATTAAAAAGCTGTAATGTACCTGATATGACATATAGGATGTTCCTTTTTGAGTAGGGGTGACAGCCATGGGATCTGAGCCAGTATAACCACATGAAATATCCATCGCATCTGAAGAAGTGATGCTCATCTTGGATGGTTCTGAATTATTGGATGCATTAATATGACTATTAAAACTTCGAAAAACTACGGCATTTCTTTTACAAAGAGTTAAGGTCTTCAACACATCTGAAGAAGGAGCTAATATTTTTTGGTTATTGTCTTGGATAACAGGGTTCTCATCTTCTTTTGGCAAGGTATTTTCTTGGCAGTTTGGTGATACAATAAGTAGATCTTCAATATTTGATTCTTCAAAAGAGGATTCCTTGATACTTTTATCTGGATCTAAGGATTGTCTTTCTAATGAACTTTCCATGATAGAACTTCCAGGAAAAGACAAATCTGAGTCCATATTAATACTTTTGGGAGCTCTATCATCATCAGAGCATAGAAAATTAGAATTTAAGTAGTCCTTATTAGTCTTTTCACAATCTTCCTCTAGATCACACATAAGGTTTTTTGCTATCGTTGGTATAGGTAATTTTTCTGGTGTTTGTTGTTTATCAGTAAAATAATCGACAATGTTTTCCTTATTAGCACAGTCATTTCGCTGACTTCTGTGCACTGATAACTTCAAATTCTGAACTTCAGCTGTTAAGCCTGAATTTTGATTTGTGTTACAATTTATCATTTCATTACTATGGTTATACTCCCCACAATTTTTTTTATTTTGTATAATTTCCTGACAAGGACTAGAGTCAACCAACTCAATTTTTCTTTTTAAACTTCTTTTCCCAAGGTGCTCTTCAGATACATCACTAGAATTTACAGTCCACTGCTTTGACTCATGGAAACTAGACTGTCTTGTGTCAGTGGCCATATTTACATTAATTACATCCAGTTCTGTTGCTTCCCAAGAAACTTCCCCAGAGAAGCATTTTTTAGCAAGATTTACACAAGAGCTTCCAGTGGCAGGAATGGCACTGGGGTTGTGAATGGGAGAAAGGGCTAACTCAAGATCCTTTTTATGGAAACTTTTGGTCTCAACAGCATTTGCAGATTTTGCACATAACTTGTCAACTGTACTCCAACTCATCATTGTAGAGCCCGATGCTTCATCACTTTCCTGAGAGGAAGAGAAATACTTTTTTTAGTTATATAAAGCTGAGAATCTTTTTTTGGGGGGGGTGGGAGGCTATCAGGGATTGAACTCAGGGGCACTCGACCACTGAGCCACACCCCCAGCCCTATTTTATATTTTATTTAGAGATGGGGTCTCATTGCGTTGCTTAGCACCTTGCTTTTGCTGAGGGTGGCTTTGAACTCCTCTCTACCTTCTGGCCATCTAGGTGTGATAGATAACTCCATAAAATATAATGCTACCTATTCTCACTAAAACAAAAGAACAATAATCACAGAGAATTAAAAAGAAATATAAGCACATAGAGCATAAGTTTATGCACATTATTTTGAATGAAACATAATCTGAAATCTAAGTCAATTATCCTTTATTATATAGGTTGATAGTATACTACATATTATTATGGGTAACATACTTAGGCAAATTTCAACATTATGTATATATGTTTTGTAGTAGGGGTATATGAATGATTCTGTTTCAAAGTACAAAATGCCTAGGGCTTGAAAATTAAACAATAAAAAATTAAATAGCAAAAACATTGTTACTATAAACATGTACCACTTCACATGAGTAATAATGCCAAAAATAGCAGGAATTAAAATCTACTGTCAATATGAGGAATTGACGATAATTGATAACAAAATGCTTTTCTCAAAACTGAATTCCAACTATCTGCAAGTGCTCATGTATACTCAAGAGCTTTGTATGTAATATGGCAAAATAATTCATGGTGACAAGGATTTTTATAAGATTACTCCATTAGAGTGATGCTTTTTATTTATTATTTATTTATTTATTTTAGTTGTAGATGGACATAATACCTTAATTTAATTTATTTATTTATATGTGGTGCTGAGGATTGAACCCAGTGCCTCACATGTGCTAGTCAAGTGCTCTACTACTGAGCCACAACCCCAACCCACCATTAGAATAATTTTTTAGTAAACTCTTATATTGCCTATTTTTGAAGTACAAATATCAAACTTTAATAACTATTATTATCTTACTTAATAAGGAGGATCATTTAGTTCCAACCAAAAAGGAAATTCCTGAATTATAATTCACTGATCTCACAGCACAGAAAAAGATGTATTTAGGGATCAGTACAAGGTTATCAGAGTTCCTTACAGTCCATTATCACTCCTCTGATCACAACTTGAGAAGCACTACTATAATCTAACCTTTGTGTTCCTCAGGAATGCAGAAGTGGGAGGAAAGAAAGGAAAGCTGTATATGTGTACCCTATAGCATATATTATTTATAGCACAGCCTATAAAGAGAGGAGAAAAAATTTACTGAGAATAAAAAGCAAATAAATATAAATCCAAATTATTTATTTTATCAAATGGAAGGTTTATTCTAATCTAACATTATTTATCAGCATTCTATGAAGATATTATTATACTTTTACATTTTAGTTCCTATCTCTTTTAGTACCTATAGCTTTAAAAACTTAATAAAATAAGAGCAAAGTGAGGCTCAAGCAGAGAGCACTCTCTAGAGAGAGACAGGGACATCTCCAATCAGAGAATGACAAGGAGACAATGCTGTTTCCATATTTATTACTGTTTCTAGCTTTAATAACCTTCTTTTGGTGGGGAGGGGTACTGGAGATTGAACTCAGGGACACTTGACCACATAGCCACATCCCCAGCCCTATTTTGTATTTTATTTAGAGACAGGGTCTCACTGAGTTGCTTAGGGCCTTGCTAAACTGCTGAACTTTGAACTCAAAATCCTCCTTGTCTCAGCCTCCCAAGCCACTGGGGTTACAGTCATATGCCACCATGCCTGGCTTAATAACTTTTTTAAAAGGCAAAAACAATACATAGATTAAGTAAATTAATTTTAACAAAATCCACTCATTTGGCGAGCAGTCTCCTCAGAATAGATACTTTTAAGGGCATACCCATATTACCTTTGTGGTATATAAGCTATTTCTAAAGAGTTACCATTCCTTTAAGTGAGAAATTGGTGGGAAAAAGTATAGAAGGAGGTACATGGAGTTCTAAAGATTAGAAGCAAATACACACAACAAAAAACTCAATATGCTGGTGTGTGTATCATGGTTGGGAATTAAAAAGAAAAGTCCATCTAGATTCCTAGAAGCATTTACTATCAGTCTACTATAATTATTTAATTACTATATTTTAAGCAAGAGCAGTTTCCCAACAGAATGAGAAATGAAATATTTCAAAAGAATTGGTAACAAATGAAGAATTTTTGATAATACCTTGAGTGCCATTCATGAAACAATTTCATTTCCTTATAGGGTTTATATGAAAAGCTACGGTGTCTTTCTCATTCATTTGATATACACATTTGGTTTTGAGTAAAATAAATGTTTTCCTAACCTGGGAATCCTTTTCCCATTTGGGACTGCTGTGACACTCTGATTCCACACTGGATACAAAGGTGTGGGATTGACTACTGGCACTAGATGTAGCCAGTCTTTTCCTAGACTGGAGCAGATTTGAAGTTAGACATTTCACAGGAACTCCTGGGTTGGAGGCAAATGTTTCAAGACCTGTAGGAAAAAGTAAATATTGAAACTTATGTCAAAGCTTTCTTAATCCTCACTGAACCTGAATCTTTACAGATAACTGTATTAGACAATGCATATCAGGACTGTTTCTTTGTAAATACTATCAAGTCTACAAGGATGCCTATAGGTGGTTGGGGCATGATTCTCATTATAGATTCATAAATTGTTACAAAGTACTGCTCACAAAGAGAATACAAAACAAAATCCCCTTAACATTTGTAAAGTTAGAATCAAGATAAGGGATTCTTACAATTAGAAAGGGAATCCATTTTGAGTTACTAATAATTCTGGATAAAGGAGCCTATATATATATATTTTTAGTATTTTTTCAGTTGTAGATGGACACAATATCTTTATTATTTATTTGTTTGCTTGTTTATTTATTTATTTAATGTGGTGCTGAGGAATAAACCCAGGGCTTCACGTGTGGGAGGCAAGCACTTTACCATTAAGCCACAATTCCAGCCCCAAGGAGCATTATTGATATACTATATCAGCTGTGCTATGATAAGGTTAGAATGTGACTCAGTTTAATGTGTACTTAATTAAAACTATAGCTTTATTGTAATGTTAAGATTTATGTGCTTGTGAGTATGAATTATAGGCATCCTAAGGGATTTTTTTTTCTTTTTCTTTGCAGTATTGGAGATCAAACACAGAGCCTTAAGCATGCTTTAAAAACACTTTATCACTGAGCTACATCCCCACCCCCATATAAGGGGTTTTCTTAATATGACTTGGTAAAGTGGGCTGGGATATAGCTCAGTTGGTAAAGAGCTTGCCTTACATGCACAAGGCCCTGGGTTCAATTCCCAGCACCACAAGAAAAAAAAAAAAAAAAGACTTGGTAAAGCAAATAAGTAATGGTAAAGCAGCTAACAGTGAGCCAACACAGTAAAGTAGCATCATCTATATAGCACCTATTCCTTTAATATATTTAAATAATTCTATAAAATGCTTGTTCCTCAACTAATAGATGTAAGACAATCATGCTTTAACTGAAGATTAGAATATACGGATGAAAGGATTTCATACATATATAAAAAGATGGATATGTCTTGTTTTCTTTCCCCCAAAAAAGGTGAACGTTACTTTAATCTCAAGGAAATTCTTAGGTTTATAGCTTTTTGATCTAATAAGCCTTAGAACTTTAAAACTGGAAGAAGAATTTCAAAGTCTATTTAATCCAAATTTTTTAAAAATATTTTTTTAGATGTTGATGAACCTTTATTTCATTCATTTATTTTTATGTGGTGCTGAGAATTGAACCCAGTGCCTCACACATACTAGCCAAGCGCTCTACCACTGGCCACAACCCCAGCCCCCAACTTTGTTTTCCAATATATAAATCCTCTCAATGGAATTCCTGAATTTCACTGAACACTGAACCTGATATATGACTGAAGTGCTCAACACCCTTCCCCCAATAATATAAGAAATTATATTTAATTAATGCCATGTGCATACTGTATATTGCTACTGCATTATTTCTCCATCAATGTTATGATGAGAACATTGCCTACTTTGGAACTTGTGATAGCTCCCAGTTTTTTACAGGTAAAATCCTAGTATTCCTGTAATGACACTTGATCCTTTCCCATCTACCTGCCAAGCTTCTTTTCCATTGTACATAGTTCTCTTTGTCACATATCATATTTAATCCCTATTGTCTGAAGATGAATATACTTCCACATGCATATGCCTTTTGCATATGTACCGTCTATCTGAAATGCCCCCTTTCACCAAACTTGTAGTGAGTGAAGTTCTTGCTTCTCTTTCTGGATCCAAGTTGGCCATTACTATGTCTTCACTTAGAACCATTCCAGATTCATTCTACTTAGCACTTGTTACTTCCCCTTCTTGTCTGATTTATTTTATAGGATTGTTCATGTTATTCCTTTATACCTGTCCTCACCACAAAACTACAAATTATCTGAGGCCAGGACCTCTCTTACTCATTGTTATACCCACTCAAATGACCAGCAGAGTGCCTACCTAGTTTTGACAGATTAAAGAATGACTAGGAGAAATGCAGAATAAGGATATTACATCTGTATATTTCATATTTTAACAGTCTTCTGTTTGTCAAGATATACATTTTTTTTTTTTTAAATTTAGCCATGTAATTTTGGCAGAAGAAATAAGACTCATTACATTTGGAGGACAAATTTAGTGGACAGAAATGTATTTGTAATCAGATTTAGTTTCCACTTACTACTACTGTGTAACTAAATCTTTTTCTTTCTTTCTTTCTTTGGTACTGGAGATTGAACCCAGGGGTTTTCTACCACTGAGTCCTTTTTATTTTTTATTTTGAGAGAAGATCTTATTAAATTGCTGTGGATGGTCACAAATTTGCAATTCTCCTGCCTTAGCTTCCCAAGTTGCTGGGATTACTGTGTGTGCCATCATGCCCAGCCTAAATATTTTCAAATATTAGTTTTCTCATTTGAAAAAAGGAGACATTACTATACATATACTAAATATGTACAGTTTAGTCAAAGGGCAAAATAAAAATGAGCTAAAACCTATGAAAATAACTAATAACTTCAACAAATTTATAACCTAAATAACATGAGTTCAGAGAAGTAAATTATCCACTATCAATAAGTAATAAGGGATGAAGTCAAGTGCTATACAAACATCTGTCCCATTCTCCTCTATTATTTGACATTTGTCTTTTATGTCATGCAAAAAAAATCCTCAAAATTTTAAATTTAAGCTACTTCAAAATCTTTTGGAATTAGCTTATAGAGATAATCAACAAGGCAGGTACTATATCTTCGGTTTTTTTTTAAATTTTTTGGGTAGTTGTAGATGGACAGAATGCCCTTATTTTGTTTATTTTTATGTGGTGCTGAGGATCGAACCCAGTGCCTCATGCATGCTAGGTAAGCGCTCTGCCACTGAGCTACAGCCCCAGCCCTCTTTATCTTCTTTATAAAAGATTTCCACAGACCCAGTTTAGTGAAATTGACGACTACCATAGGTCATTGAAGGATATCTCATTAGCTAGATATTTTATTGTCAACTTAAAAATCATTGCAATCCCTATCAGAAAAGACATTTATGAAATACAGGACAGTCCAAATATTTACATTTTAAATTATTAAATTGATATTAGAAATTGAAACATTGGAAAATATTTTTGTGTTTTAAGAGACACTGAATGGAGTAAAGTATCTTTTCTTTTATACTCACATGATTTTAGTAGTTTGCTAGAATAAGGATTAGCCTCCTTTTGATCTATAGACATAGGACAAATTAATCCTTGAGAAAATTGTGATGTTTCAGATAGATGAGTTGAAATGGTATCTATAGAGTCTTGATTTTTTTCTGCAACTGGTGTGAACTATTAAAAAGAGAAAATTAAAGAAACACTAAAAGAGCCATCTTCACAGAAGTGTATATATTATGTTGAGTTTTTTCTTATCAAGTACTTACAAATCTCAAAGAACTGATGAGAGATAATACTTGTCCTGGGGTTCTTGAATAATCTTCTTTAGGTTTAGCCATTGAAGGTGTTGTAAGGATATCCATCATATTGATATCTATGTATGCAAAGGAAAGTATATGAAATTTCTTTAAAATCTTCATTGTCATCGACTAAGTTGATAATAAGAAATACTAGTTAATTAACTGAAATCATTAAAAAGTTGATAGAATACTGTCTTACTCAGGAATGAATATAACATAGAGAAATGACTCAGAATCCTATTAACTTTTTAGGGAATACTCAGTGACTGAAAATGAGTGCTACCCAACTAGCAAGAAAATGATCTTTTGGTAAATCAAATATTGGAAAAGGAGGTAGTAAGGAATTAATACAAATATGGGCCTCTCATGTTAACAAATATGTCTTAAGCTTAGGTCAAGATAGAAATTCATCTCTATTATTAACATGTTTCAATACATACTATTTTAAAATAATTAAACATTGACACATAACACCATATTATTTTCTTAGATATCAAAAATGGTATGAGAAGTCTAACGTTCTGTATATGGCATAGGACTTAAAAAAAGTAGACTTAAATTCTGAACTTAAAATTTAATTTACACCTCACACTGATGAAGTAATAAAAGCCAATAGGTGTCAGGCATGGTGGCATATGTCTATAATCCCAGCAGCTCAGAAGGCTGAGACAGGATGATCTTGAGTTCAAACCCAGCCTCAGCAAGGTGAGGTGCTAAGCAACTCAGTGAGTCCCTGTCTCTAAACAAAATACAAAATAGGGCTGGGGATGTGGGATGTGGCTCAGTGGTCAAGTGACCCTGAGTTTAATCCCAGAACCAAAAAGGGGAAAAAAAAATCCAATAGGTAATAGTAATTAATCTTAAAGGATATTTTATTAAAAAAATCAGAGTCATATGATATAAAAATAATTTAAATTTCTGATAATATCATCCTACTACAAATTTTTCCTCATTCATATTTTCTAATGATTATCTGAATTCCTTGGAGTTAGATTTGTTTCACAATTCAAAATGTTTAGATTTAAGAAAACTAATGGGATGAATGTACTTTATAGTATGGAATATCCTTATTGACATCTCATATAAGCAACTGTAATGAAATATCATTTCTGCAGCAAAATGTATGAATAATCACATGAAGCAGAATTAAGAAAGAATACAAATGGCCTCATATAAGCTGAAGTCAGTTTTTACCAAACTTAGGAAAAACTGAAAGGTATTCACAACTGTTTGAAAATTATAAAAAGAATTGTAGCACTACATATATTCTCAAATAGTTATAATTCCAGGGTTTATAATTCATAAGCTCAATTTTAGGTTACTGTTAATTTATTTAAAAAAATGCCTTTCCATCTTTCTAACCTTCTGCAGTGCATATGTGTTGTTGGGGACTGAACCCAGAGCCTCATACATGATAGGAAAATGCTCTACTACTGAGCTATATGCTTCTTAATAGTGAATACAATGTTTCCAAGATGACAATCTATCATCTATCCATGTTTCTGTGATGAAATTAAGTGACTTCTTATTTATATCCATTGGAAACAATGCTGCTACAAATAATTTTATTTGCATATATTTTGTTCTCTTGAATAATTTCCTTATAAATTCTAAAACATAAGATCAAAAAGAATTAAAACCATTTTTAAAAAAATATTTACAGCATTTCTTTAGAAAGCACTATGCTAATTTATAATGCCCATCAAAAAACTGTTTTTGTAGTCTCTTTAACTAGATCATCAGTATTCCTTTTTGATATATACTTAATAGTGTAAGATGGTTCATTTTTTAAAAACATTTTTAGTTTTAGATGACACAATACCTTTATTTTTATTTATTTTATTTTTATGTGGTGCTGAGGATCGAACCCAGTGCCTCACTCGTGCTAGGCAAGAGCTCCACCAATGAGTTACAACCCCAAAGCAGATGGTTAAACCTTTTTTTTTTTTTTAACATTCATTTTTTTAGTTGTAGTTGGACACAATACCTTTATTTTATTTATTTATTTTTATGTGGTGCCACGGATAGAACGCAGGGCCTTGCACGTGCTCATGTTAACAAATATGCTAGGCAAGTACTCTACTGCTGAGCCACAACGCCATCCCTGATGGTTAATTTTATAATTAACATTTATTAAATCACTACTTGAAATGAACATATTTTCATATATATAAATATGTGTGAATTATGTGTTCATTTTCTTTGCTCCTGTGTTTATCACTTAGTGATGGCCATAAATATTTGAATTAGTTTTCAGCTATTATTAATACGTCATTATATTTTAATAGTTTAGTCATTTTATTGATGCTTAAGTGTAAGGACCAGTTTCAGCAGGGAGAAAATTCAGAAGACCAGAAATTCTGAGTTCCTTTTGAACATCAAAGGCTTTTCAAGGACCTAATAATCACATGGGCTGGGGTTGTAGTTCAGTGGTAGAGCACTTGCCTAGGATGTGTGAGACCCTGGCTTTGACCCTCAACACCACATAAAAATAAAAAAATAAACTAAAGGTATTGTGTCCATCTATAACTAAAAGAAAAAAAAAGAAGAAGAAGAATCATGCCCATTTTTCATCTTTTTTTTTTTTCTTTGGTGTTTGGAATTGAATCCAGGGTTTCACACATGTTAGCATGTACTCTACCACTGAGCTGCCCACCAAGGTTTTCATTTGCTATGGGAAAAAAAAAAAAACACTATTACATTTTTCTAGCCTATTTTAGAAAAAATAACCATCAATTTTATTTGATGTAAATGAACAAAGAAAACAGTGTAAGTTAATGTCTCTAAATTTTATTGGACTTTTAAAAAGACACATTTACCTGTTATTTTTCTTACCTCTATTCAGAGTCACTTTGGAGAGGCCAAAATCTGTCAGTTTAATATGACCCTCATTAGAAATAAGCATATTATCTGGTTTCAAATCCCTGCACATACAAAAGGCACAGTGGATAACTTTAAAAGAAAGAGTTTTGATGTTAGAATGTCCAGGGTAAAAAGAGAGAGAGAGAGAAAAAGAGAGTGTTTGTTAAGAAGAGGCAAGTGTTATTTATTTCCTTTACAATAAAGGCACTCATTGGTAGTTTTGAAAAGTACAGAAAACAACTCTGAAAAGCAAAAACACCTTTTTTGTATATTTGAATCTACAAAAAATGTTAAGTGATTGTAACTAGATTATCTTTGTCATTATCCATTAATACAAATAATCTCATTAAATAAAATCAACCTCAAGTCATTCAAAGTACATCTCTCTCTTTAAATGAGGTAAAATTATGCTTTAACAGAGCAGAGTCACATAATCATTCTTTGTACAGAGGAAAACAGTGTAAAACAGCAAGGATCAATATAGCATGTTATGGTAGGAACAGAAAAGGATTCAATATTCCTCATATTAAAATGCTATCTATGTTCATGTTGAAAACTATAAAAACATAGGAAGGTAAAACAAGAGTTAATGGAATTTGTAAACTCGTATGAGTTGCTACTAAACTTTATATAACCTGGAAATATGGGCAGGTGGTTACTACAAATATTTGAGAGTCAAACTTTTTTTTTTTCTTTTGAAATATAGATTTCATTATGTTGCCCAGGCAAGCCTCAAACTTGTAATCTTCTGCCTCAGTCTCGAGATTGTAACCTCTGGTACATAATTTGATTACCTGTATTTTTAATAATAGTTTAGAGAAAAGGTGATCTTTACCTGTGGATGATTCCATGTCTATGAAGGTAGTCTAGTGCCAATGCTACTTCAGAAATATATTTCACAGCCATCTCTTCATCAAAATAACCATATATATGTAGGAGAGACTTTACATCTCCACCAATAAGATACTCCATTACCTATCAAAAGGAATTTAATGTTGTGGAATAAAAATAATATAATTTAAAAATAAAGTATTTGGGCATTACAGTCATATATTTTAAGCATGATTCTATTAATAAAACATTTTCTTTTTTTGTTTTCCTTTTAAATTTTTTGCAGTGCTGGGGATTGAAGTCAGGGCATTCTACAAAAAGGCAAATGCTCTACTATTAAGCTACAACACCAGCCCTTAAAACACATTTTCCTATTATGACTCATTATATATTAACACCAGGCTTGCACATGTTACTATATAATTTTTTTTTAAAGAGAGAGAGAGAACTTTTTAATATTTATTTTTTAGTTTGTTTTCGGCGGACACAACATCTTTGTTTGTATGTGGTGCTGAGGATTGAACCGGGGCCGCACGCATGCTAGGTGAGCGTGCTACCACTTGAGCCACATCCCCAGCCCACTATATAATTTTTAACTGGTTAATTTGAACAAAATCCAGACTTACAGAAAAATTCAAAGACTATTAGAATATTTTCATATATTATTTATCTAGTTTTATATGGAAAATATTCTAATATTCTTCATAATGTATATAAAATAAAATTTCAGTATATTATATATTAATATTTTATAGACTAAAAACAGTTAATATAATCAACATAAGCGTTTTTATACATGCATGTAAATGTTTAGACTAAACCATTTAATTAAAAAAAAATCAATGACAACATTACCAAATATGTATTATATATATATATTTTTAAAAAATATTTATTCATTTTTTTTTTTTAGTTATAGTTGGACACAATATCTCCATCTCACTTGTTTATTTTTATGTGGTGCTGAAGATCAAACCTAGGGCCTCACACTTGCTAGGCTAGTGCTCTACCGCTGAGCCACAACCCCAGCCTATATATATATATATATATATATATATGTATATATATATATATATATATATATATTTTTTTTTAATGACAGGATCCTGCTATGTTGTCCAGGTTTGTCTTCCAACTCCAGGTTCAAGAGATCCTTCTGAGGTGGGTGTGGTGGCACATGCCTGTAATCTAACAACTCAGGAAGCTGAGGCAGGAAGATCACAAGTTTGAGGCCAGCCTCATCAATTTAGTGAGGCCTTAAGCAACTTAGCAAGGCTATGTATCAAAATAAAATCTATAAAAAAGAACAGAATATGCAGCTCAGTGCCCCTGGGTTCAATCCCCAGCACCAAAAAGAGAGAGATCTTTTTGCCTCAAACTGCCAAGTAGCTGGAACTAAACACATGTACTACTACATCCAGCCAATGTGTAATTTAAAATTTTTTCCTGAAAAATTCAAGAATAAAGTTGAAAAGCTCATGACCTGTTACCATTAAATTTCTTATCATGTATCTCCAAGTAAGATACCATGATGTAACTAGAGTACAATACTTTTTTTTTTTTTTTTTGGTACTGGGGATTGAACTCAGGGGCACTCAACCACTGAGCCACATGCCCAGCCCTTTTTTGTATTTTATTTAGAGATAGGGTCTCACTGAGCTGCTTAGCGCCTTGCTTTTTGCTGAGGCTGGCTTTGAACTCATGGTCCTCCTATCTCAGCCTCCTGAGCCACTGGGATTACAGGCATGTGCCACCATGCCCAGTTTACAGTATAATACATTCAATGAATTTCATACCAATATAATCCTATTATCTAACATATAATCCACACTGAAATTTCTCTGACCATTATAATATTGTCTTTTATTAGCATCTTTCCTCACTTCCATTCTCAAGCCAGGACCATGCAGGGCTTTAGTTTTTATATTCAATCTGGCAGTTTTTCAGCCTTCATTTTGTTGGATAAAAACATTTTTAAAGAATATTGGTATGATACATTTTTTTTTAAAGAATACAGATCTCCTTGAATTTGGGGTTATCTGATTATTTCTTCATGATTTGATTCAGGTTATACATTTTTTTTTTTTTTTGGTACCAGGAATTTTACCCAAAGATGCATTACCAATTAGACACATTCCCAGCTCTTTTTATTCTTTTCAGCAGGGTCTTGCTAAGTTGCTTAGGTCCTCACTAAGTTGCTGAGGATGGCTTTGAACTTAAGATTCAACTACCTCAGCCTCTGTAGCCACTGGGATTACAGGCATATACCACCATGCCCAGCCAGGTTATGTATTTTTGACAAAAATATTACAAAGTATGCTGAATCTTTCTCAGTTATTTCCACCAGATGAGACATATAATGCAAATTTGAGAGGTTTGTATTCTCTTCCTGTTTTTTTTTTTTTGTAGTACTTGGGATGGAATGCAGGGTCTCAAAAATGCATGCTATAGGCAAGTGTTTTACCACTAAGCTACATTCCCAGCCCTCTGCATTTCTAATAAGATTCCAGATGATGCTGATGCTGCTTGTCTGTGGACTATATTTGGAGTATCAAGGATCTAAACCCATGGTGAAATTAGGTAGACAAGATTGGGTTTACAGATAAATAGGATTAAATTTCAAATATAAATAAAAATAGTGGTGGGGATGTAGCTAGTGGTAGAGTATTATCTAGAATGTACAAGCCCTGGGTTCCATCTTTAGCAATCACTCCCCACCCACCCCTCCCTTCAAAAAAGGAAAGAAAAATATTATAGTCGTTTACTTCTACTATTTCTAGGACATAACCTTTGGAAAAAATCTACCAAGTTGAGCAATTCTTGGACCTGCTCTTTCACTCACTGTTGGACTTGGTTTCAGGAAACTCCTGGTTTCACGTAGAGATAAATTAGAATTGATGTTATAGCCGTAGTCATGGCTTTGGGGAAGGGGGTCATACATACTGCATATGAAACAGTATTTGTAAAGGTATTAGAGGGTCTCAGGAAGAATTGAAGGATTAAATAACCCCTTACCTTCTTTGGATACGGCATAAATGAATGTTCCCTTTATAGTCTGTAAAGTTCCAAATAGTAAATATTTTAGATTTTACAGGACTTTATTGCAACTATTTCAGTCTGCTGTTGTAGTGCAAGAGAAGGCATAGATGTCATGTAAACAAAAGAATGTGGCTAGGTTTTAATAAAACTTTATTTACTCTCTGAATTTCAAATTTCATATAATTTTTTGGGGGGTAGCAGGGATTGAACTCAGGGGCACTCGACCACTGAGCCACATCCCAGCCATATTTTGTATTTTATTTAGAGACAGGGTCTCACTGAGTTGTTCAGTGCTTGGCTTTTGCTGAGGCTTGTTTTCAACTCGAGATCCACCTGGGATTATAAGCGTGTGTCATTGTGCCTGGAAAGTTCATATAATTTTTTTTAAGATGGACACAATACCTTTATTTTATTTATTTATTTTTATGTGTTACTGAGGATCGAACCCAGTGCCTCATGTGTGCTTCAAGTGCTTTACCACTGAGCTACAGCCCCAGCCCTTCATATAATTTTTATATATTGCAAAATGCTATTTTCTTTCCAACCTTTTAAAAATACAAAAATTATTCTTAGTACACATAGTATATATTTTTTCTTTTTGACTCTTGACAATGAATCAATCATTCTAAAAAGATCTCCATCTCCACTCTAAAAAGATCTCTTTGAATCTTATTTCCTGAAGGGTCTCTCTTTAACCTGGCTTTGAAGGTGAATTCCAACACAAATTTGTGTCCTCACTCAAACTCCTTTCCCTTTGAATCACCAGGCCTCATCTCCCACACAAAGGAGTTCTTTATAACCAAGTACTGTAATTTACAATTCATTCCAGTTTTGAATAATAAAATAGTTGGAAAATACTAAAACAAATTCATCAATAGTATATTTATTAAAGGAATTATGAAATTTATAATTTTATCAATGGAATTCTATGTTATCATTGAAAATGATGAGGTTACCATTAAGTAGAAAAAGCGTAATTATAGTATTTACACTATGATCACATTTTACCATTCAGTAAAGTTGTGGTTTGTCAAAAAATGTTATTTTTCCTGAATTAGTCCTTATGCAAAAAAAAAAAAAAGATCTCCCCACAGCTCCAGAAGAGCTTTAAAAAAACTTTCCAAACTTTCTGCCCATCCTAGTAAATCTTTATACCACATTTGACAGCAGTCTAAATATACTTGAAGATTTGCTAAAAGATTAGAGATGGATTAAATTCTCAGGTACCAAAAGAGTTCTGAAATTAGACATCATTTTGAAAACCCACCTAAAGTATTCTTTGGATAGGATTAACATCTAAATCAGTAGACTCTGATAAAGGAGATTACCTCCATGATGTGAGTAGCTCTCTATTAGCTGAAGGCCTTTAAGAGAAAAAAAAAATTGATATCTCCAGAGGAAAGGGAATTCTGCCTTCAGAGCTACAACTTCTAACCTTCCTTGGGTCTTTAGGTTAACAACCTACCTTGCAGATTTTGGATTCGTAAGTCTCCATAGTCTTCTGAGCCAACTGCTTAAAATAAATCTTTGTGTCTGTTATGTATGTACACACAAACACGTGCGTGCACGCACACACACACACACACCCTATTAGGTGTTTTTCTCTGGAGAACTCTAATACAACTGGTAACCTGGCCAAAATCATAAAGCTCTTGAGTGCCAGAATTCATATATGGATGGCTGAGTCCATGAAGAAAAAATGTAAAGCTATTTACTCACCAAATAGACATTGCTTGCTGACTGCAGTGAATAATACAAGTGGACAATGAAAGGACTTTTGCTTAGTGCCAGTGCATCTCTCTCAGCTTGTACCTGATGAGTCATATTTTTATTGATCATATCTGCTTTTTTGACAACCTATAATAGACCACATGACAATAAAAACATTTTATTTTTTATTACAAAGTGTCCTCAAGTTCCAACATTGCCATCATAAAAATGAGACAAAAAACAGATATCATTCAGACCTCACACTGCCACCAGGAATTGGTGCCAGAAAAGTAGTAAGATGGTCAAACAAACAGCATCAAACCATTATCTTCAACATAGAACTGCTCATCTTGGTATTAAATGGCAAAATTATCACATCCATTTTGAGAAGGAAAAAGAATTAAATAAATGTTCCCTGACTGATCTGCATGTTTACAGAAAAGATTCTGTTCTGTTATTATAAAAAAGTCAAAAGATAGTAATGTTCCTAATTATTCCCCAGATAACCAGGAACTTGGATACAGTATAATAGCACTATACATATATACACATCCCTGTGTGTGTGTGTGTGTGTCTTTATTTGTTTATTTATTTTAAACTTCTGATTCTCTGGCAGATAGGAACTGAATCAAAATGTTGGAAGTTTGTTTGTTTGCTTCACTTGAGCAAACTTGAGCAATTTGAGACTTAAAGTACCAAATGCCGTCTTACAGAAAACAACTAATTATATTTTTGAGTTTCAGGGTAATTGTCACAGAAACAAAAGTGTGATCTACATTAAAGTTGGAGCTCTAAACTGAACAGTAAGACACACTGGGATCAATTCTCAATACTATTACCAGGAAAAATGCATTTACCTCGTATTTAATACATCCATTAATACATGATAAATTCTAGCCTTACTGCCTTTCCTTAAGAAAACTAAAGGAAATTGATAAAGGAAGTTTATAACATGATTTCACCTATCATTCTACTGGGTTGGGAACTCTGTGAGGACATGTTTGCTTTGTTCATTACTGTATCCCATATCCCCAAATATTTATTTAACAAATTAATTGCTGCTTCCATTTGAACAATTGATAATGATTGATTACTATGTACTGTAGAAGGAAAAGCAAAAATCTTGGGAACATATAAAGCAAGTAACAATAAATTTCAACATGATGAGTCTGAAAGATCAAAGATTTGAAGGAGAGCAAAAATGAACCTTAACACAAGAATAAGATAGGTGAAGAGTCAGAAGGGTGGAAGAAAAGCACTTAAAGAGGAACAAACATAAACATAAGCTCCAAGGCAAGAAAATACACAGGTTAGGGGGGATAGTCCAATTGGTGTTGCTAGAACTTGGGAATGGAAGGAGGGGTTAGTAAAAAGAATGAAAGGCAGAATTGTGAGTACTAATTAGGAGTTATGATACCCAAATGAAGTGGAAGAAAGTTAAACTGACTCAGGTTTCTAGTCCAAAGGAAAGGGGAAATGGAAGTGTTATTAAATGAAGAAGGGAATACAGGAAGTTCAGAGTTTAGACAGTAGGTGGAGGGGATTGTTTAAGATTTGGCAAGTATAATTTGTAGATGAGTGATAGATATTCACTTGGCATTGTCTAACAGGTAATTCAAATTTCATCCAGTCTGTTGGATTTTCCGTTCCTTTACCTCCTTCACTCAGTGCTGAAATGTGAATAAACTGAATCCTTGGGAGTGGATGAGAACCAAGAGTGGACAGAATAACTTCAAATACATGTTGAGGGTTTTAAGAATGATATATACTGTTTTAAGAATAAAAGAATCGACTTAGCACACGTTTCAGCTTGCTCTTTAGATGGAAATATATCCTAGACATCACAATGGAAAGTATGAACAAAAAAAAAATAAGATTTGTTTAATGAGACCTTTTGGTTGTATAAACGGGTCAAAAATCTATATCAAAAAATATAAAATGAAAGCAACTATTACAAACAATAAAAATTCCAACCTTCATCCTGGTAAAGGCCACATTAGTAAAAAGGATCCAGAAGATACATAAAATGAATAGGTAATACTAATTTTAACAATTTCGTAACAGATTTGAAAACAATGCAGCTTCTTTCTGGTTAGGATCAAATTCTAAATCAGTGGCTACAATTTAATTAAACTGGGACAGAAAAATTTCAGCGTTTCTGTATGTCAAAGCAAACATCAGCAGCTACTTAAAACTTTTTGGATTTAGAAACATGAGTCAAATTCGGATTAGGCATGAATCATGGCTGTAGCTTTAAGTCCGTCTTGTACTAAAGGTCCACTGACCACCTCAATCAAGTCCCTTTTCCTCTGGCCTCAGTGTTCTTATTTGTTGACACTGTCTAGGGCAAAGGGAGTCAAGTTTTGCACTGGGCAATGTCTACTAAGATGTGGAGACAAGGGCGGGGAAGGTAGGGCAAAGGCCACCCGCCTGACCAGATCCAAACAGAAGTCAGTTCGCAAGGTTCTGCAGGCTTCAGCAAGCCGGTCCAGACTAATTACTGCAGCAGCCCCGGAGCCTGCCCAAGTCAGAAGGCAGAAAAGAGGGCCGCTCGGCTGCACGCCTTCCCTTTCTTTACTCCTCGACTTCCTTACCTTCACTGCATACAACTTGCCGTCTCTCTGTCCCAGGTACACTTTCCCGAAGGCGCCGCGGCTAATGGGCTTCACTATGGTGAAATCCTCAATGGAGGGCGGTCTTGGCACCGGGATCTTATTCACGCATTCTCCTGCCACCGCGCCTCCTTCGTTCTCTTCGCTCCGGGCAGTGGACTCCATCTCTGGACAGCTCAAATAGAGAACAGCCGGCCAGGCGCCACGGCCTTTCCCAGCCGCAACTCCCGCCAACTGGGTTCAAAGTGAGGCTCCGCCCACACCGCACGCTGGCCGTGACGTCACCGCGCCACCGAGCCGAGTCCAAAGCAGCCCCGCTCTGTCACCTCCCTTAACTAAGTACAGTTTCCCAATAGGCGTGAGGTCTGGGCACTGGGAACACTTGAGTTCCGCACAGAAATTTCGAAGGCGGTGACTCACGGCCCGCTGACACATCTTGTTAGGAGGGAGGAGGTTCAAATAGTTCTGGCCAACAGGAAGAGGGACAACTGGGACTTGAATCTGAATCGCGGGATTTGAAAAGATGTCTCCCCGCCTCCCAACGAGTCTGCTACGAACCTGCCCAGGTCTAGTCCAGACCTGCAATTTACTCCTCCCTTCCCGACCTGTTTGGTCTGTTTAAGAAAGCAGTGGCCCGAGATGACGTTTGGAAGCCAGGGAAGCCACCGAACGTGTGAAACCGGATGTGCAGGAAGCGGGTAGCTGACACTGTTACCTGACTTATTAACAAAATGTAATCTTCCTTACGGAAAGAGGCTAAGACCAACAGGAAGAAGTTTAGATTTATTGCAGCCAAAAAACCTCGCAAACCTTCTTAGCAACCTTCAGAACAATACGTTGGATAAGGAAGCTACAGGAAGCCTGAGAAAGGTTCAACAGGGTGCATGCTGTTCCCCCTTATAAAGTGGGGTGAACCCACGCTACAAACAGCTTAAGGGATTCCGTTCCTTGCCAACATCCAGCAGCTCAGTGCCCGCGGACGTGGTAGCACCTCAAGTCTCTGAAAAGGCGGGGCACCGATTTGCCCCGGAAGTACTGTTGCGTTAACGCCTTGCCTTCCGGGGCAGATTGCTGTTGTAGCAGCTGTAGGAAGGGGAGGCCATTTTCCGTTTCTGAGAAGCGTAAGGAGCAAAGGAAGGGAGAGACAGAGGGGGAAAAAAGGGGGGCTCAGCGCCTCCCTGCCGGGCCAAGAACGGAGGACAGTTTCGGCAGGCGGGGGAGGTCGCTGAGGGCCCGGAGATGTTTTCCCTGACGAGCACGGTGCAGCCCCAGGTGAGCCCTACTTTCAGCGTGTTTTTCTGCGGCCCTGCCCGCGGATGTTTTCCAGTTGCCTTCGTGGAATCGGTTTCTGGGAAGCGAACCAAGGGAGGAAAACGATTAGCCCACGCAGAGTCCCGAGGTTGAAAGTGGATCAGGGGATAACGAAGAGAGTAGGACCGGAGACTTGAAGGGCTGACAGCGAAGCATTTGGGTTTCGTGGGGAGAGGCGCGGTATAAGCGTGATGGAGATCGGGGCTTATCGGATTGATTGCGTGGAATTTTCTGGTAGAGAACCCGTCAGGCATTGTTCAGGGCCGGACATTCTGGGCTGGGGCCTGGGGAAATGTCTCCTCCTGGATGTAAAAGTAATGTTCTTTCCATCCTTTCCGAGCTCTTTTTTTCTACTTGCAAGTGAATTTAACCCAAACATTCTATAACAATTTTAATAACTATCATTTTTTTTTCTATTTAGTCAGAAAGAACTAATAAGTATTCTTTCTTTTCTTTGAGTACTGGGCTTGAACTCAGAGGCATTTGACCAAAGATCTACTTCCCAAGCCTTTTTTATTTGATTCAGGGTTTCGCGAATTTGTTGAGGCTGGCCTTGAATTTGGTTCCTCCTCTGCTTCACCCTCCCGAGTTGCCGGGATTACAGAGGTGATTCATCATGTCCAGTTTATGTATTTTGGTGTAGTTAATTTGCCGTTAAAGTTTTGATTTCAGCCTCATCCTCATATTTTTGTGAAACAAAAGTTAAGCCAGAGGGGGGAGAAAAATTCTAAAGTGTTTTGATCCTCTTTGAAAGATAATCAGTTGTGACAATGTTTGCCCTTTATTCACTTCAAAAAAATTTTTTTTTCTTTTGATGGCAACTTTTTCTCATTAAAGAATACTTTATTAGTTTCTGTAATCACACTCGCTTAGTTGAGACCATACATTTAATAACAGTGTCTTATCCCTTTACAGAGAAAAGAAATAAGCTTAACATTTCTAGACCAACATGACTGTTAATTTCTGAACAATGCCAATTCAACAGGTGAACTGGGATACTTTTTCCAAAGTTGTCAAAAATTCAAATTACGTTTAAAGATGTGTATGTTTATATAAAAAGACCAAGGATAGTAGTATGTTTTGAGTTATATAAAAAGACCAATAATAGCACCAACAGTTTTTCCATTGTATGCAATCATTAAATAAAATTGTACTCTCAGTACACTTCATTAATGGTAATATTTTGATAGATTTCTTTTATTTGTTTATTTATTTGTAGTTATAGATGGACAGAATGCCTTTGTTTATTTTTATGTGGTGCTGAGAATCAAACCCAGTGCCTCACAGATGCTAGGCAAGTGCTCTGCCACTGAACTACAGCCTCAGCCCCACATTTTGATAGATTTATTTTTTCCTTTTCTTTTTCTTTTTCTTTTTTTTTCATTTTTGAGAGTGCTCAGAGCTTTGCAGACAAATATTTTTTTTGAGAACATTCAGATTTAAATTTTTTTGGTACCCTTACTTTCTTGTTTCAAGTATATGGTTGTGTTCCTTTGTTTAACTCCTTCCCCCCTTTTTTGTGTGAGTACAGTACTGGCTGAATAATAGAAAATGAAGTGGTTGGTTAGTTATTGGGCAGCAAAAGAACAAAGCAAATGTGGAATTTTATCTTACTAGTGATATGAAGTAAAGATGATTAGGGGGTTAGCCAGGTGAATAGTGGACAAGATATTTCGAGATTGAAGGAACAAAAATAAGACTAGGTGGCTAGAGCATTAAAGATTAAGGGAAGGATTGCCAGAGATGAGATTGGAGAGAAGCCTTAAGGCAGTTTAGGGAGTTTGGATTTCATTTTAAGGGAAAACAGTTGAAGGGAACAATTGAAGGTTTTAAAACAATCATACACACACACACATATGTATATATATATGTGTGTGTGTGTGTATACACACTTTTTTTTTTTTTTGGTACCGGGAATTGAACTCTGGGGCACTCAACCTCTAAGCCACATCCCCAGCCCTGTTTTGTTATTTTATTTAGACACAGGGTCTCACTGAGTTGCTTAGGGCCTGAGTTGCTGAGGCTAGATTTGAACTTGCCAACCTCCTGTCTTAGCCTCTGAGCTGCTGGGATTACAGGTGTGCATCATGGTGCCTGGCCTAGATTTTCATTTTTTAATGTATCACTTTGCTGTCTTGCTTATGGAGAATATGAAGTGGCAGGAGTGGAATTATATTGCACCACTTTGGGATAGGGGTGTTGCTCCACTAAAGTTGTGGCAATGGTTGTAAAAGTAGAGAATGAATTTATGTTGAACAAAGAGTAGAATTTCATGAGAGGTGGTGGAGAGAGATGTTTCTGGTTTGATCAACTGAATACAGGAAGGTCCTATTTGCCAAGATGATAATTTAGGGAGGAGTCCTAACAATTGTTTTTAAAACAGGTCAGACGAGGCCTACAATGCTAAACTTTTTGAAACTAAACTCTTAGTTCACATCAAGAACTCCTGGTTTTGAGGGAATTTATGATTGGCTGGATGGAGAATCGGTGCTATGTGAAGTAGGTAGAGCTGATGAAAGGATTTTGTATGGTGTTGGCTTAACTGGGCTCAAATATAGGACCCTGAAGTATTTATGCTATGTAGGATTATAAACATATTTGGAATTCCTAGTTGCTTAGTTGGTTGAATACACTTGAATTTAAATGTTAGAAATAGGGAAGATATAGCTGAGCTCAATCTTTCGTTTTTTTTCCATGCTGAGGATTGAACCCAAGGCTCCCACATGCTAGGCAAGTGCTCTATCACTGGTCTACACTGTATCCCTAAAGTAAGCCTTTTCAAAGAAATAAGCAGATAATATATGTTTTTGTATTTGATTCCTATAGTTAAAAAGAAACTTACTGTTTCTGACTTCAAAAAATAATATTCTTCCAAAAATGCTGAAAGAAAATAAAGATTATCCATAATTTCAAGATACACATTTTAGAATAAATTCCACCCCTTCTCCCCCCCCCCTCTTTGTTAATAAGGGAATGCATACTTCAGAAATATTGCTTTACAGTTTGTTTTATTCATGCAGTATCATAACATAAATTTATTTCTGTATCAATAGCTCTGAAATAAGAAGCCTTTTAACTGGAATTTTGAATCAGATACTTTGGTAGACTCTTATACTAATTGTTTGACCTTGGATATGACACTGATCTATCTAAATCCTTGTTGTCTTCATCTATTAAATAGGAGGTATCTTAATCTGTTGCTAAAACTGAATAACTTGAACTAGGTAATTTATATAAAGAATAGAAATTTATTGGTTCATAGTTCTAGGGACTGGGACATCCATTTTCAAGGTGCCAGAATCTGGCAACATGGTAGAAGATACCACACGATGAAAGGCATCATGTAAAAGAGAGAAAGAGGAGATAACCCACTACTATGAAAACCTAACACCTTTTGAAGATTCCACCTCTTACTAGTTAAAATGACAATGTGAATTCAGTGTGAATTTTAGAGGGGACAAATATTCAAACCTTAACAAGAAGTTTTATGACTCTTAGGAGGATTAAACTAGATAACTAGAAGACCTGGTATATACTAAGAACCCATTTTGTTTATTCATTTACCCAACAAACATTTATTTAACGCTGTGTGCATTGATGTTACATAGGTATACAGTATTGAATAAAATAGAAAAATGGAATAGGGAAAAGAATCTTGCCATGTGAAATTTACTTTGGTTATAGAATATGGTATAATGAAAAATACTTTTGTAGTTTTTGTCGTCTTCCTGATACATAACTTCTAAAATTGTTGGGATTTTATGAGTTATTAAAATTCAGGGAAACTTGGTTATCACATCTGCGTTTTTGCTAATAAAATGACTTTAATCTGTAAATAGCCTGAGGATGGGACTAGTCATGGAAAGGACAAGTGGTTTGAGAGTATACTTGAATTTCCTCATCTCTGGAGAAGAAGGGTGAGGCTGGAAACTGAGCTCCATTAGCAACTCTTGAACCAGGAAAGTCACCCTATTTTGGGTTGGTGAATGTGTGCATACAATCCATGTAGAGGGGTGTCTCACCTGACTGGGGACAGGAGTCCGTATAGTAGGGACCCTTTTAGACCTTGCTGTGTGTACCTCATCTGGCTATTCATTTATTTTAGAGACTGGTAAACATAAAGTAATTTTTTTTTCCGAGTTCTGTTAGCCTTTCTAGCAAATGATCACGCCCTGTGACTGGCATCTGAATTGGAGGCAGTGTCATGGGACTGGTCCTTATCTTGTGGCGTCTCTTTAACTTCTCCTGGTAGATAGTGTCAAAGTTGAATTGTTGGGCAGCAAACTGGTGTTGGAAATTGTGTGGTGAATTCTCTAAGAAGAGACAGATTTTTATACAGATAATTAAGTAACTATTTAAAGTGTTAGTGAAAAGTACCAGGAAGAAAAAATAGAATAGAGAACATGGGTGTAAGACATATTTTTGAGGAAAGGTCATTGAAATATTAGGGTGACTAGAGAAAGGACTCCTGAAAAGATGACTTTTGAATAAAGAATTGAAGGGAATGTGAAAGCAAGCTATATTACTAACTGGACAAGAGGGAATAAAAAACAGTGCAAAGGCCTTGAGATAAGATCCTGCTAGGTGTCTTCCAGGAACAGCAAGGAGGCCAGTGGAGCTGGAGCAGAAGGAATGAAGCAGGGAGCATCAGGGGAGGAGGTAATAAATAAAGTGCCAAACCATGGAAGGTTTTATAGGTCATAATTGTTAGGATTTTGGCTTTTATTTTTAACTCTGTAAGTTGGAAAAGAAGCCATTGGAGGGGCTGGAGCTTTGGCTCAGTGGTAGAGCACTTGCCTGGCATGTGTGAGGCCCGGGTTGGAATGTCAGTAAAATATTTTATTTTGTGGTATAGTGTCATTTATTTTACTACTCCCTTTTTTCCAGTTTGCCGCTGTTTTTAAATGTGTTGATAAAAATTTTTATCTCTGCATGTGCAAGCATTTGTTGGATTTTTTTCCTTAGAATAAATTCCTAAAAGGTAGATTGCTGGAATAAGAAAAATATATGTTTTTAAAACACTTTTGATTCATATATCAAGAATAGTATCCTGAATGAATAGATCCAATTATCTTCCCACCAGCAGTAAATGAATAATACTGTCTTTGACATATTTTTGTTTGCTGGCACATGTGTTTGTGTGTTGCTGGGGATGGAACCCAGGGGCTCACGCATGCTAGGCAAGTGCTCTTACACTGAGCTGTATACCCCCCAACTCAGAATATAGTTTTGCTATGCACTGTATGTTTAACTTTTAGCATAGCCTAAGTCCTGACAAGGAAAAGGAGATGGTTTTATTTTAAAAAAGAAACACATTACTCAATGTGAACTTTTATCTTTTTCTAGGTTACAGTTCCTCTCAGTCATCTCATCAGTGCCTTCCATTCACCAAAAACCATATCTGTTTCTGTCAGTACATCAGTTTCTCAAAACCAGCATAGAGATGTAGTTCCTGAGCATGAGGCTCTCAGCAATGAGGTAATATTTTTTTACCCTGGTTGTATAAGAAAACATTTTTTTATATACTGGATTATAAACATGTTTGATGAAATATCTTTATTTAGATATTTATATTGTGGTGTCTTTTATGTTCAGTGTAATTTGTAATTAAAGATAACTAATTCTGGATTTTATTGTACATATTGAAAAATTACTTCATTCATATAATTTAGAAATTTTTTCACATGGCATTGCATTTGGCATTCACCTTCAGGCTTACTGCTTGTGTGATATCAATAAGATATACTTTTGTGTTTCTCCAAGTGGCAGTGAACTCACAGGTAACTGACCATAATTAAGTCTCAAGGAAGATAGTATACTGAGACATTATCATTCATTGCCTTATAGAAACCTTCAATGTAATTAAACAGAATATAGATACTTGAAAGTGAAATGTATGAACTAGGAAACCCATATTTTTAGTATTCATGTAATTATAAAACCAGCAGTGCCTTGGATATAAGTAAGTACGGGGGTGGGGGAGTGCATTAGGGGTCAGTCTAGATGATAAAAGTTTAATTAGTGAAAAGTTTGTCATCTTTGTTTTCCTTTTATTCTGTTTGCGCAGTTCCTGTTGTTTCTTTCTATATGTAATCCATTATCCTTTGTCCTGACACCCCCCTCTCAAATTGTAGTTCTTGAGAACTTTACTACTGAAAAGACTCTAAATTATAAACAATAAGAGATTAACAAAAAGTAATAATCAAATAGAGCAGTTATAATCATATTCTGTAGTGAAATTTATATCACATAAATGTGGTCTCTCTTAAAATAACTATTGTGCTACTCCTTCTTGTTGACCATGGGTAACTACAGCAGCAGAAAGCAAAACCACAGGTGAGGGATTACTGTATCTTGAAAAATTTCTGCATGCAGCAAAATTATGTTCATTTTAGTAACTTTGGAAAATATTAATATAGGTGGAAGAGCTATAATTCATCTGTGATCATGTTTTCCAGAGACAATGCTGTTAATATTTTATATTTATATTTCTTTTTTGTTGTTGTTTGGTGGTACTAGGGATAGAATCAAAGGTGCTTTACCCCTGAGCTACATCCCTAGCCTTTTTTTTTTCTTTTTTTGAGGCAGGATATTACTAAGTTGCTGGGGTTGGCTTTATTTGTACTTGTGAAGTTCCTACCTCAGCCTTCCGATCTCTGGGTCTCTGGGATTACAGATGTGCACTCCCTTGCCCAGCTGGAAAATATTTCATGTCTCCTTCTTTTGGGCTTTTTATATTACATAATAATTGCATTATACTGCATGTGCTGACTTTTTTTTTCATTCAGTGAACTTTTTATTTTTATGCAATTTGAATTATTTTATTATTATTATTATTATTACTACTGTGGGTTTTTTTTTTTCCCTTGATGTGAATTTGCTTTGTTGAGTAGACTGTTCTCAAACTTGTGATTCTCTACCTCCCTCTCCCAAATAGATGGAATTACAGATGTGTGCCATGGTACTTGGCTCATTTTATTTGTTCTTAGTGACTTTTTAGTGTTCTTTGTATGATGTCCAGTGTTGGATATTGTTTCCAGTTTCTTTTTTGTTGACATAAACAATGCTATTATTGTTGTGCTTGTTGTTAAATCTTTGATAATTTTGTCAAGTGAAATTGCTGAGTTGCTGGTAAAGGACGTTTTTGAGCCTTACAAGGTAACTAAACCCTAGAAGCCAGTGTTCTTTTTAAGACAATAATGGTGTGAAATATAGAATTAGTGTTCTCAATCTCTGTTATACCCTCCTTAGTCCTTCTCTTTGTCTTTGGCAAGTACTTTTACAGTATCAGAACTTTTTCATATTTTTGAGTATCCTACCTCTTAACTTTCTTGGCAATGTGATGACTTCTTTGCTCAACAAACATCTGCTCCAAAAGACAAGGGGAAAACAAAACAAAACCTTCCTTTGAATTTTCCTCAAGCAACTGGCTTTTTTTACATCATCATCATCATCATCATCATTATTATTATTATTCTCTTATCTATCTATCTACCCCCTATGCTGGGGGCCAAACCCAGGGTCTCATGCTAGACAGGTATTCTATCATGGAGCCATATTCCAAACCTCTGCTTTAAATGAGTAGTTTGAGCTTGTATCTATTCTTAAAAAACTTTTTGAGTCTCTCTTCCTATCTGACTGTAACATCTCCCATTATAATTTAGATGTTACTTTTACTATTTTATAGATATTTTTTGCTAAACTCATTGGTGATTTCCTTAGTGCTAAATACATGTCTTAAAAAAAAAATCTGAATCGTACTACTTATCATTTGTATTTAACCAGGCCAAGTGTCTACTACTTTCAAAATAATTCCTTTAATTGAATGTTATTGTTGTGATTATATCTATATTTTGCTGGCATTTTAAAATTGCCAACTTCTTAGATATTAGGTTTATGTAAAAGGGAAAATGAGTTTATTATGCCTATTATCCTTATTTTAATTTTTATTCTTTACATTCTCCCAGGTTTTTAAAAATTATTTTATTTTTTTAATGTGGTGCTGAGGATTGAACCTAGTGCCTCATACGTGCAAAGCAGGCACTCTACAACTGAGCTATAAACCTAGCCTCTTCTCTGATGTTTTGATATCCATTTTCATATCTTCCATTGACATCTATATCTAAATATTTGTATTTATATGCTGATATCTCTCAAGTATGTCTCCAACCCTTAATTCTCTTGAAAGTTTTCAAGTATTTAGTGGCTTATTAGATAGACATATATATTCCTTTGGATAATATCCAGGGACCTTAGATACCCAAAACAGTTATTTCCCCAAATTCCAGTATGTTTGGCTTACAGTGGTTTCAGTTCTTTATTATCAGTTTGGATCCAATCAGGAGAGAGAAACTACACAGTCACTTAAACAATAAAGGCTTAGTATAGAATTTAATGCAATTTAATTTAATATTTCAAACACCTACTTTTATTGGGAATTGGAGTAGATAGGGATTGGTTAGTAAGAAGTAATGAACATCCTAAAAGAAAATACAGAATTTGTGGACTTAAAACAACTAATACTTCCAGGGCTGAGATAGAGTATCCCTGGAAAAGAGCTCCACTTCCAGGCTGAGGAATGAATGACCTTGTTGGAGAGAGCATGACTTTGGCTCACAGAATGGGAGAGATGTCAATGTGGTATGATGTCAGCTGAATTTGCTGGAAATCTGTCCTCTAGACTAGAGAAAGCTGTTCCTGAAGATGTGTCTTGCAAGAAAAAATAGAAAAGTAATAACATGGAAAGATGTTGAGTGTTGCTGGCCACTGTGCATTCCAGGAGCCAGTAGCTACCTACTATATAGGAACCGTGAGTGTTGCAGACTGGAGTCTGCCGAGAAAACACACCAGGAACTCAAACTCTTTCTCTCCTACAGTTTATCTCTGGTGACCACACTGACAAAGCTTAACATTGTGCCAGTTGGCAAAGGAAAAATATTCAAAGGATGCAGATTGATATTCATGGAGCCAGCTAAGTGATGAAGAGGAACTAAGAGACAGCATTTTGATAATCTTTACAGATTATCACATCCATTTAGAACTCCTTTTCAATCCCTACAACCTACTGGCTTCTTCAAATATCTGTTGTCTGTGATTTGTTACATTCTTTTTTTTTTTTTTTTCCTTTTGCTGGGAATCAAACCCAGAACACTTCATGCTAAATAAGATCTCAGCCACTGAACTGTACCTCAGCATAAGTACATCCTTCTTAGTCAAGGCTTAATTCTACCTCTTACCATCTTTCACTTTTTTCATCAGCCTTCTCTCTTACATATTCTGTCTTCTTTACTAGAGGATTTTCTTCAAGTAAAATGAAACTGATCATATTACTGATGGAATTAAATTCAAAGAAGGCACAGTTTGGCTGTAGACCATCTTTCTAATTAATTCTTCCTTCACTTTTGGAGACATTCCAGATTTTGGTAGGACTTATTTTCGTTTCATTCCTCAGGCCTTTCTCCTTCATCATTGTTAATTGTTTATTTTGTGATACTGGGGTTGAACCTCAGGGCACTCTACCACTGAGCTATATTGCCAGCCCTTTTATTTTCATATTTCAAAACAGAGTTTTCACTCAATTGCCAATTCTGGCCTTGAATTTGTAATTCTTCTCCCTCAGCCTCCCAAGTCACTGGGCATGTGCCAGTGCTCTTGGCCATCATTTTTAATAGTTTAAAAGTACGTTTAAATATTTTATTTCATCATTCTTATGTTTTACTATGTGTTGCCATGATGTATATTAGCATAAATGGATGAGTTAAGCATCTCTACCTTTGATCCTTACCATTGCAGAATCAGGCATATTTCATAGTCATTAGTGATGAAGAAATGGACTCTTAGAATATGAGTCATTTGTCACGTATTAGTAAACAGTAAATCCATAGACATCGATTCAGAGCTATATAATCCATGGATCTCTCCGTATGTCAGTCATAAGAAGTTGATACTTTTACTTGTTCTGCTTAGTTTTTCCTCTCCTTACTTTGATGATTTAGCTGTTTGAGACTCAATAATATGTGATTGTTAACTTGTTGGATCATGTGGATAAGAAAAATGAAATCTACACTGTATTTACCTTAGAAGTCTTTAAAGATGAGCATGTTTTTACACATTTTTGTGATTGTTAAACATGTTTTGACCTTATTGAATGTTCCTCCTTATTCAAAGTTAGATATAGTTACTTTATAACACTCTCAGCTCAAGGAAGGATCTTATCTATCAGGCTAGAGAATAATAGAGATATCATTTATTTTAGTGGGCTTTTATTTGTGAGCATTTAGAAACTAGAGAAATTGAAGATTATTACTCAGTTAAAGCATCTTAACAATTATCCTCAAATCACTTCTGCTCCTGACCTTTAGAACACACTTTCTTTTTTTTTTTTTTTTAATTTTTTTTATAGTTGTAGATGGACAGAAGGCCTTTGTTTATTTTTATGTGGTGCATGCTAGGCAAGTGCTCTGCCACTGAGCTACAGCCCTATCCCCAGCCCCGTAGAACACACTTTCTAACTGAGCAAGTAGTTACTCTTGTTTTTGTCATTAAATAAGTGTTTGGCTGATGTTTGATAGGCTAGCATTAGATGAGAATCCCTTATGAAGAGAGGGAAAGGATATAGAAAGCATTTTACTTGATTTTTGTGAATCGTCATGCTTAGTTCAGTGGTGATTTTAACTTGAATGAAAACTGTTTTTACTCATTCGTATTGAAATATGATTTTATTATTTAAAGATATCATTAGGGATATCATATTTGACCATTGTCAAACTTTACATGACTAATCTCAGTAAAACTAGAACTATAAGAATGTTTTCATCAATTTATATTTTAAGCATTAAGAAATTAGTGTATTTGTTAGATTTTAATAATTTTTTAAATAATAAATCTCTTTAAATATCTCAATAGTTAATATTTATTTGGTTGACTTAATCTTTTACAGCCTTCACTTAATTTAAGGGACCTTGGATTATCTGAATTGAAAATTGGACAGATTGATCAACTGGTAGAAAATTTACTTCCTGGATTTTACAAAGGCAAAAACATTTCTTCCCACTGGCATACATCTCATGTCTCTGCACATTCTTTCTTTGAAAATAAATATGGTATGTTAATACGTTTTTTGTTTGAATTAAAATAAGTCATTTTTGTATTAGTAATATTAATTATATTAGATACCATTTATTAGTTTTTGTTATGGATCACTTTATTTTTGAATTTTTTTCTATAAGTTTTTATATTAGAATAATGTTAAATTTACAGAAAAGTTTCTACGATGATACAGAGAATTTCCATATATGCTTCACCTTGCTTTACTTAATGTCAACATCTTACATAACCATCGTATATTTGTCAAAACCAAGACATTGAGATTGGTATGATATATGTTTTTGGCATGACATTTTATTTTATTTATTTTCTTTACAACATTTTGAATTATGTACAGAGTATTTGGATTTCAGCAAAATTTGATTTAACTAAATCATTAATTTTTCCAGTAGTGTCCTTTCTCTATTCCAGGATCTAATGCAGCATACCACATCACATTTAGAAGATTGTTTTATTATCATTGTTGTTTTAGTTTTAGGTGACACACATTTGTTAAATTCTGTATAAAATACTATACTCTGAGAATACCTTGATGAAGACACAAAGTCCTTTTTATGGAATGTCTATGTATTTTCTTATTTGAGGCTTATAACATTCTGGTATTATAATAAATAGGTATACTATAATCTGTTGAAAGGGATGTCAGGTCAGCTTCATGAGTTACTCTTTGGAAGAATGTTAAAGCTTTACCAATCCATCAGAATACCTGTTTCGTATTGATGGCAGGACCGATTTGTAAATCAGTACAAGTTGTGAAAGTCTCAAAAGATCAGGTTTGAATAGTTTATGATGAAGGCTTGATTTCAAGCCGTACTTTTCATTAGCTTAATTCATGTACAAATTCTTTATTACTCCTTTGTCCTTACTTCATATAAAGACATTAAAAATGCAAGAATGAGAAAAAAACGCAATGTTTTTTGAGTTTGGAGGCTCAGACTGACAATGTGTTTATGTTGTCTATGCAAAACTCCACTTGACTTACAGTAAAGGTTCAATTGGATAAGTTTTTCTTTATTGTATTATTATTCATACTGCTCTTCTAATCTGCTTAATTACATTTATTTTTAAGGTTCTTTCTCATACTACCAATTGCTTGTATTGTTTAGGCAGGCAGAAGTATTAGGAAGGCATCTCTTAACTTATCTATGTGTTTTTGTGAAGAATCCGTAATTCTGACTGAGAACACACAGATGGATAATAACCACTTGTTTTTTATTGTTGTTGCTGCTAGTCGTGTCACTGGGATTTTAGATGTAAAGTGGGATGGGACGTATTAGACAAGGGCAGGAGTTTACGAGCATGGAAATATTCATGCCTTACAGATATGGAAAGAACTTTCTTCATGCCCAGTTACTGTAAAAACTTTGAGATGGAAGGAGCAGTAACTCTGGTTTACATTTTTTAATCACATCATTAGAGCTTTTGAAATTTTCTATGAAATAAGAATTCTTCATTTCCTTGCTTTTAAATAAAAGCAGTTTTAACCTAAATGTCCATACCTTTTACCTCTATGGATTTGAATTTAATTTCATCGGCAGTTACATACACCAGATAAAAAGACAAGTGATAGTAAAGTAAGTGATTGGATTAACAATGTTTAGCTATTTCATAGGAGTGAAATCAAGGGCAAATAAAAGGTGAAACTCATATATATTATATAATATTTGATACAATTATTTACATTCATATGATTTTTGTCTTTTTGTTTTAGCAGTTTGGAAATTTACTTGTTTGCAATTTCCCTCCAGGTTACTTAGATATGTTCAGTACTTTGCGTTCCTCTTGCTTATACAGACAGCATCCAAGAACTCTCCAAAGCATTTGTTCAGATCTTCATTACTGGCCAGGTATGAAGCAACAGATGTTTTTATTTTGGAAACCGTAGTAGATTTATTGAACATATTAAGCGTGGTCTTGGCCATGTTAATGATTATGAGCATCCACTTGCAGTGTACAGTAGGACTTAGAGCATTTGGAATTGATTAATTTCAGTAATTCTATTTAACTTTTGACCTGGGAACTATATAATAGGAGCTAATCTTTGTATATGAGTGTTAAGTGCCACAGCAAAGCAAACTCCAGGGAACTTTTTTACAACAGGTAGTTTTGAAACAGGTTTGAGTACATTTTTTATTTGACCTCATATTTAAAAACCCATTGAAATTATAGGAAAAAGGTATTAAAATGGAGATAGGGAACACCAGAGTTTTTATTACTAGACCTGAAATTTGAGTAATAAACTATGTGACCTCAAGTTAATAGCAAAGTCAAATTTGCATTAATATGCTTATTGAATACTAGGCACTAGCGATAAGTGTTAGGTTACAGTGATACCTGTCACAAAAGACTTGAATATTTTTAGTACAACTTAGGAAAAACCCCAAGCTGAGAGTCAATAATAAGAGTGGACTTCAGGATTGTTGATACAGTAAATAGTTGAAAGATGGCCCAAACTGGGCCAGTAATTGAGATAATGTTAACTTTTAGAATATAATTAGCAAAAACCACTTTTTAATAAGATTTGGGCAATGGGGGTGTTTTAGGGGATTTTGTTTCTAGAGACTCCTGGTTTGAGCATTGATATCAAAGAAAGAAACAAAAAATACCCCAGAGTAATTTGGTCTTGAATCATTCATACTTTTCCGGTGTCTTGCTTATTCAAAATAGTTTTTTGATTTGTAGTCTGAAAGCATTCACTGCCTTGTTATTATTGAGGAAATCCATTTGCTGTCAGTACTGATTACTATATTCTTATTTTTAAATAGAAATTGATTGCTAAGTATCTCCACATTTTTGAGAAAAGCATGAAAAAGAGGCACCAGCTTGAGCAAAGAGACCAATCAGCCAGGCGAGGTGGCATATGTCTGTAATCCCAGCAGATTGGGAGGCTGAGATAGGAGGATTGTGAATTCAAAGCCAGCCTCAGCAAAAGCTAGGTGCTAAGCAACTCTGAGAGACCCTGTCTCTAAATAAATACAAAATAGGGCTGAAGGAGTGGCTCAGTGGTTGAGTGTTCATGCCCCCCCCCGCCAGTTTAACCCCCAGTTAACCCCTGCCACACCAAAAAAAAAAAAAAATCATCCTCTGTTTAATGCAGAAGACAGGGAAGACATAAAAATTGATCGTGCATTAGGGTATAAAATTAGATTTTTAGGTTGTAATTCAGAGATTAGTTTCTCTGATCTTCAGACAGAATGTAATAATAGGACTGCTAAATAATACTGAAATATTAATATTTTTAGAAGGTCTGATCTGTGACCGAAGAGAAATCAAATCTGAAATTATAGGCAGGAACCACTGAAAATCTACATGTGAAAAACTTCTGGTTGAGGACAAAATGGTGTTAAGGGAATTGTATGTAATAGAAAACAAGAAAGATGTAAAATAAATTGAAAACAAATTAATGTGAAATAAAAATATGCATTAAAAAATAATATCAAGCTGAGTGCAGTGGCACACAATTGTAATCCCAGTGACTCAGGACGCTAAAGCAGGCCAGCCTCAGAAGTTCAGTGAGACCCTAAACAACCTAGCAAAACCCTGTCTTAAAATAAAAAATGAAAAGAGCTGGAAATGTAGCTCAGTGGTTAAGTGTACCTGAGTTCAATTCCTGATATGAAAATAATAAAAATAGTGAGAGAGGTTTTTTTGTTTGCTTGCTTTTGTTTTTTTTTTTTTTTTTTGCATTACTGGGGACAGAACCCAGTGGTACTCTGCCACTGAGCTACATCCACAACCTTTTAATTTTTTATTTGAGACAGGGTATTGCTAAGTTACCCAGGCTAGCTTTGAAGTTGCAGTACTCTTGCTTCAGCCTCCATAGTCACTGCTATTTTAGCTGTGTGCTATGGTATCCAGATAAGAAATAGTTTTATTTAATTAAACCAGAAACATGTTTAATTTGGAGAAACGAACAAAATAAAATAACAAATAAGAATAACAAAATATAAACAGTGTCAGAAATAAAAATGAGAACTGCCAAAAATATGGTGAAGTTTTTTAAATTACAAGATGGCATGTATAATTTTATTTTATAAAATGATAAAACTGACAATTCTGTAAGCTAGATAGCAAAATTAACCCAAGAATAAAATAAAAACCATGCTGTTTGAAATATAGTATTTAAAAACATAATCTCTTTACCCCAAGGGCATCAGACTCAGATGGTTTTATGGCTCTATTCTTTCTCCAGAATCATAAGTTTCCTGTTACCCAAAGTTTTATTTTAAACGAAGTCAGTTCTCCAGGATTTGTAGTCTAAACATACACTGTCATGGTATTATTGAGGAAACTCAGTATCATCAGTATTGATCACTGTATTCTTACTTACAAATGGAATTGGATGGATGTGGCATGATGGTGCAGGTCAGGAGGGTTAGGTGGGAAGAGCACTTGAGCCTGTAAATTGAAGACCAACATGGGTAATATAGGAGATCTCATCCCCCCTGAAAGAGGATGAAATAGACCTTCTTATTTATTCTGTGAGAGTATTATTATCAAAGCTGGTCAACATTAGCGCAAAATAGGAATACAGTAGATCAGCTTCTTCTTATTCAAATATTATAGAAATCCTAAATAAACTCTGAAGAAAACAAGCCTAGAAATGCACTAAAAATATTTTATCATAATTAAGGAATATAAGAATAATGTAACATTAATAAGTCTGCTAATTCATCATGTTGACTGGAGAAGAAAAACAGTATTATTTCAGTGTATGATGTAAAGGCATGTGATCTGTTTTAAAAGTTATGTTTTCTAAGAACTCTTAGAAAATTAGAACTTTAAGGGGACTTTTAAAATTTCTTAAAACATTATTATGTTACCATCACGAGAAACAAAATATCTAGTACCCTGTTTTTTGTTTTTTCATAGCATTAATTTGGAATTTTGGAACAGTATGATTGAAAAGAAAAAGAAATGAGTCATACACAAACAGGCAAAGTTATAATTTGCAAGTGATATGATTATTTACCAGAAAATTCAAGAGAATCAACCAAAAAGCAGTTCAAGTCGTGAGTTTGTTTTGGTAGCATATAAGATAAATAAATCAACAGCTTTCTTAACATTTTAGTGGTAGGTTTTAGTTACAATTTTTTCTAAATCCATTCAATGTTTTATCCTTATAAGAAATATGCACCAGTTACATACATACTCATACGTACGTATGTGAAGTATTACTGAAAGAAATAAAAGAGCTGAGTGGAGTAATAGGGAAGTGCCACAGTCCTGTTTGAAAGGTCTTTATATTTTAACAATAACCATGTATGTCCAAATTTATAAATTTAGTTATTTTTCTGATCAAAATTCTTAAGACTTGTTTTGGAAGTTGAGAAATTAGTTTTAAACTTTATTTGTACTGACTAGGAACTGGTTGGAAAACAATACAAATAAGGGGGATTTATCCTATATAAATACACCAAAATATGTGTTTTAATAATGTGTATCAATAGTATATAGCATCTCAAATAATTGTCAAACTACAGAATTTAAACTGGTACTGGCATAAGTTAGTAAAACAAAATTAAGACTTTCAAGTCAATGAACAAATGATTGATTATCAATAAATGTTATTTGGCTAATTGGTTATCCATTTTTGACAAAAGAGAATCAAGTTCTTGTTTTTACATTATACCAAAAATAAGTTTCAAATACTTCAAAGGTCTGAAAATAAAATGTAAAACTGAAAGTCTTCAAAATAAGCAGACTGTCTAAAAATCTTAGTTTTGGTGGGTGTAGCTCCAACAATGTTCAAGCCCTGGTTTCAATCCCTACTTGTACAAAAATAAATGAGGAATGAATGAATAAACAAAATAAAAATCTTAATTTGGGGAAGGAACTAATCAAAACAAAATGCAGAAACACTACAGATGAAAGAGTGTGGCTATTATTATTACCGTATTATATAATTGAATAATATATAATTGACAAGGACATTAGAACGTCTTTATATATGTGTGTATATATAGATAAAAATGGAGATATTATGGATAGTAATCATTGGTTTTATATGTATCATGTATTTTACAAAGTAATAAGAATGGAAAATGTGCAAAGGACATGAATGGTCAATTAAGAAAAAAGGTAAAAATGTAGAAATCTTTTCAAAATTCATCGTCATTTGTAATCTAGAAAATGCAAAGTAAAACAAGATATAGAGTTTGTTTTGCCTATCAGATTTGTATGGATTAAAATATTTATATTATCTAGAGTTGGCAAGAGTATGGAGAAAAGAACACTCATTCATTGTTGGTCACAAAAATTGACAACAGCCTTCTTAGAAGGCAGTTTCTTAGTGTCAAATAAAATATAAACTTCACAGTTTCACTTTTAGGAATTTGGCCTACATGTTTTGAAGGATATACATTCAAGAATGTTCACTGCAGTATCATTTCTAGCAATTAAAATAGGGGGCTGAAGCTATAGTTCAGTGGTATTGTGTTCAGTCCTCAGCACCAAAGTAAAAACAACCAAAACCAAAAAATGAATATGTAAATAAGTTCTATAGTTGGGATATTAGTTGAATAAATTGCTGTACTCTGATAAATCTATAACCAGCTATTAAACTGAATACAATATCTGTCCTATTCTGATATATATCCATGATATGTTATTGGATAAAAGAAGATAATTGTATAAAGTTATGTTCTGTTTCTAGAATAATTTTTATAGGAAGTGCATGTGTGTGCGTGCATAGAAGAGTAGTCATGAAATTGTTAACTGTGGTTATTTTGAGGAAGTGGGATTAAGGTTTGAGGAATTAGGAGTCACTGGCTTTTATTTGATACTCTTTCAATCTACTTTAGTGACTTGGATATTTTGGGTGTCACAATTTATCAGTTATGGTCCTGTTTTCTAAATTATTTTGTAAGATTTTCTTTCTGTTTTCTTCCCATCAAAATGAAATAAAGCATTTAAATAAAGTTCTTTTGAAAACATGATGGTAGAAGTAATAATGTAAAGCAAGTTGAAGTGTCAGGCAAAAGAACTGTGTCAAAACTTAAGATTAGGATGTGCAGGTATAGTGTCAAGACTTTAGAATCAGGCATTTTTCTTTCCTTTTAACAATTTACAAAGCAAATGGTACTGTTTTGTTCAGTTTTCATACAGTCTCGGGGTTTTAAAACTTTGAAATCAAGGACCAGACGTCTACAGTCCACCTCTGAAAGATTAGCAGAGACACAGAATATAGCACCATCATTCGTGAAGGTAATTAGATGTTCCAGAAAGCAATAATTTTTCAAATTATTTAACCAATGAGGATCTTTAGTATTTAATTTTTGGGTTGGCTGGTGGGTTTTTTTTTTCCCCCTTCTTTCTACTGATGATAAGGAATTAATGTGTATTCATTATACCTGGTGCCGGTGCTCTCCTGGACAGCAGACTTATTTTTACTTGTTAATTAGATCTCTTATGCTGATTTTTTTTTCACCTCTACCAATTTATATCTGCTGATATATGAATGAGTAGCATCCACCCAAGCTACCAATCTGGTAATCAATCTAGATTTATCTGTCTTTCCTTACCTCTCATATCTATTAATCACTAAGTCCTATGGATCCAATCTCCTAAATATTTCTGAATCCTTTATTTTCATCCCCAGTTCTAAAGCCAGACAATAGGCAATAACAATTTCTTGCATAGCTTACTCTAATATAAACACTTAGTCTCTTTGTCTTCAGTCTTGCCTTATTGTCACTCACTCATTTTTCTAAAATGATTACCTAATTGATTACTCTGCTTTCTTATCCAACTCAGTCTGGTATATAGGGCATGTCATGGCCTCTACTGACTATTATTCTGTTTTCATCTTTTAATATGCCACATACTTTGGTCCCTATCCTTTCCTCTTGATATTTTAACTCTTGTCAGATTACTAACAGTTCTTGAGCACTATTCAGTGCCCTTATTAGATTATTCATGGTGTTTGTGTTTGCTTTCTATATGTGATTTTGATGTCCCATTCTCTAATAAGGCCTTTCCTGTCTTGCATAGATAACAGGTATTTTATTACCATACCCAATTTTTCCAACATAGTATCAAAATTATTTCAAAAATATACTTCTTTCTCCAAGAGCCTGAAAACTGTTAGATCTGTGATTTATTTTCAGAACTTACACAAGGCCTGTTATCTGGAAGTTATGCAGTAGTATTTAGTAAGTCAATGACATTTTCCTTTAGCAGAGATAAAGCAGTGTGAACATCAGCCATTAAAACCCTAAGATAACGTGATCTTTTAACTGTTTTCACTATATAAAAGTATTCTATCTAGAGTGTCGTCAGTTTCTTTAGAGTATTAATTAATTGATGAAGGTGCAGAATGTAATGTTAATATCCTGGTCATTGATTAAGTAATTCATTGTTGAATCTTACACTGTTTTTTCACATTGGCAATACAATTTCTAGGTTTTACTGAAATTTTGTGTGGATAGTTACAGTATTTCTGGAGGATTATTACTATCTATGCAGGCAGTCAATACTGTTGTATTTTATATATTTAGGGGTTTCTTTTGAGGGACAGAGGATCAGATGTTGAGAGTTTGGACAAACTCATGAAAACTAAAAACATACCTGAAGCTCATCAAGATGCATTTAAAACTGGTTTTGCGGAGGGTTTTCTGAAAGCGCAAGCATTAACACAAAAAACAAATGGTAAGTTGATTTTTGAAGAATAACTGAAAGGATGTTATAGTCCCAAATTTATAAGTACCACATGCTAACCAGTTGTGCCATTGGAGATCCTGTAGTCCTAAATTTAAGTTATTAGTGACATCTTTACATTGGTTATGTTCTCCTATATTTATAACTTAAGCTATGTGGACATGGAATTACCTTTGGCAGTTTTATTTTCTCAAGAGAAAAACGAAAGTCAAGGATAGAAGCATAGTTAGCTTCATGAAGTTTTTTGGGAACAGGAACATAAAGGAAATCATGGCAGGTGTGTAAAAACATACTAGATTCCAAAGTTGCATGTGATCAAATGTGATTATTTATAATAACCTAAGGGCTTCCGTGGTTGCACAGCCTATAATCCCAGTGATTTGGGAGGCTGAGATAGGAAGAATGCAAGTTCAACCCTAACCTCAGCAACTTTGTGAGACACTGTCTCAAATTAAAAAATAAAAAGGACTGGGAATGTAGCTCAGTGATAAACTGATCCTGGGTTAAATTCCCAATACAAAAAAAAATTAAATTAAAAAAAATTTTAATATTTGCTGTTTTATGGGAGTGGATTGGGTGGATGAGGTACTAGAGTTTGAGCTCAGGGCCACTTTACCACTAGATACATCCCCAAGCCCTTTTTATTATATTTTTATTTTCAGAGGGTCTAAGTTGCTAAGGCTGGCCTTGAACTTTCAATACCCCTGCCTCAGCCTCCAGAGCTCTGGGGTTATAGTCATATACCACCACACCCTGCGAATATTTGCATTTCACTGAGCTGTCATATCTTATTGTGACCATTTGATTTAAGACTTTTTCTTTCTCTCCTAGATTCCCTAAGGCGAACTCGTCTGATTCTCTTTGTTCTGTTACTGTTTGGCATTTATGGACTTTTAAAGAACCCATTTTTATCTGGTAAAGGCTCTTTGATTTATCATACTTGTTATTTTTTAAAAATTTCTTTTATTAAATACCTGTTTCCTTTTTATGGCTACTTAAGTATTAGAGAAAATATTCAAGTTAATGGATTTGCTAGGTAGATCTATATTAGTCCATTTTCTGCTGCTATAATTAAACACCTGATACTGGGTACTTCATAATAAAAAGGTTTATTTAGCTCACATTGTAGAGATTTCATGGCTTCTACTAGCTTTGGTGAGGGACCTTCTGGTGGATTGTATCACAGTGGAGGGAGTGTGTGTAAAGGGGAGAGATCATGTGGTGAAACAGGAAGCTAGGGCCCTGGAATCCAGTGGCATTTCACCACTGAGCTACATCTCTAAGCCCTTTTTGTTTTTTATTTCAAGACAGGTTCTGGCTATTTGGCCTTCTTTAAGTTGCTGAGACTGGCCTTGAACTTGTGATCCTCCTGTCTCAGCCTCCCCAGTTGCTGGGATTACCGGTGTGTATTAGTGTGCCTGGCTTGTTCTTTTATATTCATCCTCTTGTGAGAACTAAGATCCCACAAGAATTACGAATTACTTAATCCCTTGTCATGACAGCATTTCCAATGACCTCTAATTATGCTCTATCTCTGAAAGGCTCAGCACTCCCAGTCTAAGGACCAGATTCCCAATACATGAACACCTGGGGGATAAACTCAAGTTATACTCAAATTACAGCAAAGCCTTTCATTCTTAGTAGTGGTTAGTTTACCAAAATTTTAGAAAATGATACCTGTCCAGTTGATCAAATTTTAAAATTATGAAGAATTTTTGCAGCAATAAAAAGAAATTAGTCTATTTTTAAGGTAAATTAATAAATTGAATTTTTTCTTAAAATAACTACAAATGAGCCCAGTAGTTTTCAGTTTGTTGGTCTAGAATGAAGTATTATTAGGCTTAAGTGGTTTTATTAGTTTTTCAGTTACTATTCATTTTTTCCCTATTCTTTACTCTATGATACAGTATCTAATATCCTTAATAAACACTATACTAGTGCAACTATTAGTGTGTCTTTTTATTAACTCAGCCCACTTGTATGTTCTTGATGTGTTAAGCATTTCTTCTTAACCCTTTATTTTTGCCTACTCAATTTTTGCTTTTAAATTTCACTCTATCTTCTTATTTTTCTCTTCTTTCCCTTTTTCTCTCTCTTTTTTTTTTGAGGGGGATGGGGTGCAGTGCTAGGGATTGAACCCAGGGTCTCATGTATGTGAGGCAGGCACTCACTCTACCACTAAGCTACTTCCCCAGCCCCTTTTCTTTTCTGTAATTTTTTTGGGGGGATGTGGAGCTTTAAAAGAATACATAAATTTTGTAGTACAATTAGGACATAAGGCACTTGTGTGTGGGAAGTGAGTGGTCTGGGAAGGAACAGTGTTTAATAGGGTTCCAGAAGGGCCGACAAAGCATATAATTGTGATCTTGGGTTTTCTAATATCCAGTGCCTCACAAAAAACATGTCTCCTTAATGTGCATCAGTTGGTCCTTGAACATGGTCTAGAAATCCAGAAGACCAAGTTTCTGCTCCCCACAATTATAATACCATATGCCATTTAAAATGCACAAATGGTGATACCAGAGAAGAGAGGCAGAGTTCTTTGGTTGACGAGGTTCTGGGAGATTGTGAGAACTCATGATTCTTGCTTTAACTACTTGTTGATACTTTGTGCCCAAGAAATGTTAACATGACATCCTTGTTTTTGGTCTTCATGATAATTGATCTGGAAATTAGGTATATTTTAGGTGATTTTTTTCCCACTGGTTTGCATTTAACTTTTGTCAGTGGCTTTTGGATATCTTAATTTTCTGTGTTCCCGTCTGTAAATGCTGTAGAAGTATCAATGAAATTACTTTGGGGTTTGATAAAGTGTTTTTTATTAATTTTTTGGACTCCTGAGGAAATTAGAGATAACTGTTTACTCCTTTATAACTGCTCTAGTTTGGAAATTTTAACAAAGAAGGAAACTGTCACGTTCCTCATGACTAAAACATTCAGAGTTACTCTAGGGGAACTGGGCTGCATGAAATAATCACACAAGAGACAGAGATACCTTTCTCTTGGGGTCCTATGACAGCTCCTCTGACCCTAAGGGTCCGCAGAAAGCAAGAGAAAGCACATGCTGAACCCTTTTATTGAGGAGAAGCTATTCAAATGAGGCATGGGGTCAGGTTTCAGAGGGTTGAGTCTAGCTTCGTGATATGGTTAACTGACATCTAGGAGGCCACACCCAAAGGCAGAGCAAGAGAAGGGGACATGGAACATTCTATCCCAAACAGGACAGAGGGGTAGTATAACAAAGGAATAGGTGAATGTAGCTCAATCCATGGGCAACACGCCCACGTCTAAAGACTTGCCTCAAACTTCCAGGACCAGGGCAATGTCCAGGTCGTTATGAGATGTAGTGACGGTCAGAGCCTCTCCGCTCCAGGATGGAAGATGCGAGTCATTCAGAGTGGCTCCCCACAGGAAACATTTAAGGAAGCCTTATAATAGTTTTCTAGAGTTGTCAAGTATTTTACTCTTTCCTTTATTTTTTCAGAGTTATGGATGGAACCCATGGCCTCATTCATGCCAGGCAAGCGCTCTACCACTGAGCTGTGGTCACAGTCCTTTTTTTAAAATTTGATTTTGAGATAGGGTCTCACTAAGTTGTCCAGATTGGCCTTGAACTTGGTATGTTCCTGCCTCAGCCTCTCAAGTAGCTAGGATTATAGGCATGAGCACTAAGCCCAGCCAGACCTTCCCAGACATCCCTGAAGGATGTCATTAGTGAAGAATAATATTTGAAAGATGAAATAATGTTTAAAAATGATTTTTAAAAAATTAGTGTTTCAATTTTATGCTATATTTAAGGCAATGTGTTTCAAAGTGTACATCTGTGACAAGTTGTATCAGACTAACTGAGGAAGTATGTTAAAATGCAAACTCTTGTGGACTTGGTGGTGCATGCCTGTAATCTCATCCACTTGGGATACTGAGAGGGATCGAGGTAGGACCTCAAGTTCAAAGCCAGCCTGGGCAATTTAATGACACCCTGTCTCAAAATTTTAAAAAAAGTGTTGGAAATATATTTCAGTGGTAGAGAGCACTATGTGAGGCCAAAAAAAAACAAACAAAAGCAAACTCCTGGACAATTTCTAAAATGTAAACCATAAGAATGTTGCCTGGCTTAGGGACCTGCATTTTAACACATTTTTCTCAGGTGAATTCTCATTCACATTGATGTTTGATAACCATTGATGAAGAAGAGGCAAAAAATCACTCTTGTTTTTAACTAGAAGGTAAAAACATGTCTCCTCGATTGCATCATTTGGTCCTTGAACATGGTCTAGAAATCCAGAAGACCAAGTTCCTGCTCCTCACTTTGACTTAATGTATACAATCTTCAGTCTCAAAAATTTTTCTAGGTTTTTGCTTTATTATTGCATTTATAAACTAAGGTAGTTGGAATATAATTAATCTGTCAAATATGAACACGTATTTTCTTTCCTTTAGTCCGCTTCCGAACAACCACAGGGCTTGATTCTGCAGTAGATCCTGTCCAGATGAAAAATGTCACCTTTGAACATGTTAAAGGAGTAAGTTTTCTTTGCCTTTTTTATACATTACCTAACTGATTCTATGTAAGGTCAACATTTGATTCTAAAAGTTGTTCTGGAGTAGGTAAAAATCATATCCAAAAATATTAGAAAATTTAATATTCTAGAGTAAATTATAGTACCAGAAAATAATCTTGTTTCATCATAGGGCTTATGTTGATTTGTAAAGAAGCACCATGGTGTAGTGAAATTTATGTGAATTTGAAGTTAAAAAGAATAAGGTTTCAAATTTATTTTATACTTACTGGCCATGTGCCTTGAACAAATTACTTTAGATTATCAAAGATAAAAAATGTGCTTGGTTTATAGTTGTCAGTCAATAAATGATACTTCACCTGTTTTCATTGATCTTTGCAGTTCTGGTATCTAAGACATTAGTGTATATTTCTTTTGTAAAAAGAATGTGTTAATGGTAGTTTATTGTAGATGGATTAACAAATTTTTTAAAAATATTTTTTTAATTGTCAATGGATCTTTCTTTATTTCTGTGTGGTGCTGAGAATGAACCCAGTGCCTCATACATGCTAGGCAAGTGCTATACCACTGAGCCACCATCCCAGCCCTGTTTAAAAGTAGGAATTGGAGAATGATATAGTATATAAGAAGAGCAAGATCCATCTGATAAAGGTTTTATATATAACTCAATAAGATATACAACTCAAAAAAAGGAGACAAAAGATTTGGATAGGCATTTCTCAAAGATATTAAAATGTCCAATAAGCACAGGAGAAGATGCTCAACATCATTAGTTACTAGGGAGATATATTTCTCATATTCACTAGAATGGTGTAATCAAAATGGTAGAATCTTAAGCACTATAAAATATGTGGAGGTTTAGAATCTCATTGTCAGCAAATACTGCTAATTTGAGTTCTTCTTTTCCTATCCGTATCCCTTTAATTTTTTTTATCTGTCTAATTGCTCTGGCCATTGTTTCAGGAACTATGTTAAATAAAAGTGGCAAAAGAGGGCATCCTTGTCTTATTCCAGATTTTAGAGGGAACGCTTTCAATTTTTCTCCATTTAGAAAATGATGTTGGCCTGGGACTTAGCATAGATAGCTTTTATTACGTTGAGATATGTTCCTGTTATTCCTAGTTTTTCTAGTGTTTTGAACAAGTATAGGTGCTGTATTTTGTCAGATGCTTTGGGGGCATGGTGAAATGAGATGGACATCATTACCCTAAGTACATGTGTGAAGACACGAATGGTGTAAATATACTTTATATACAGGCATAGATATGAAAATTTATGCTCTATATTTGTAATATAAATTGTAATGCATTCTGATGTCATATAAAACAAATTAGAATAAAAATAAATTAATTTAAAAAAAGATGTGGAGGAACTGTAACCCTCATACATTGCTGGCTAAAAAATAAAAATATATAGTCACTTTGAAAAAAATATGCTAGTTTCTTTAAAAGTTAATCACAAACTGGCGTGATAGAATTTCTATAATAACAGAGGAAACAACTCTGTGAAATACTATTAATGGGTGAAGTGAGAATTGATTGTTTATTTTAGCAATGGGCAGGTCATTGGTGTAACTGACAAAGAACGATTTCAAATTCACATTTCTTCTGGGCCTAGGACTTTGGGTTTTATCGTTTGGTACTGGTGATTGAATCTGAGGGTGCTTTACCACTGAGCTCAGTCCTTTTTATTTCTTATTTTGAGACAGGGTCTCCCTAGGTTGTTGAGTGTCTCCCTAGGTTGTTGAGCTAACCTGGAACTTGAGATTCTCCTGCTTCAGTCTCAAGAGTCACTAGGATTACAAGCATGCATCAGTGTACCTGTCTAGAGATTTGTTTTATTCCATTAAAATTTTACTAAAATCTTAATGAATTTTACTAGAATAACTTTCAAAGATCATTCCAAACCTAACAGAATAAAACAAAAAACTTGATAACTCTTGAGCAATTATTTTATGGGAAATTTCCTAGAAATAGAAAATGGTTATGGCCTGAAAATTTTTTATTTTCAGATTGCTATTTGACCTAAGGATATGTTTATATTTCAGTAGGCTTCTTTCCAGGTAGTTCTTTTTGTTAATTTTATTTTTAATGCTTTTCTTAGTGCATCATTTTTATACATAATAATGGGGTTTGTTTTGAAATAATTATATATATGTGTGGAATATAATTTCAGTCCCCAGTAGTTTCTCTTTCCCTCCTCTCTTTTCTCCCTCCTGTTCTGCTTCCTCTGTGCTGGTATTCCTTCCACTTATTTATTTATTGTTTGTTTGTTTATTTATTCATTCAGAGATAGGGTCTCATTAAGTTGCTTCGGGATTATCAAGAATACAAATAATAATAAATACTGGCAAGGATGAGGGAGAAATACTCCTGTCTTAGCTTCCCGAGCCACTGGGATTACACGCGTGTGCCACTGAGCCTAGCTTATTTATTGTTATATTTTAAATTGGTACTTTAAAGATATACATAAAGGTAGAATGCATCATTTATGTACATAGCATAATTTGGTCGGTTGCATTCTGAAGTTCCTCCCTTTTCCCATTCCTCCTCCCTCCCACTCTATCATTCCACTGATCTCCCTTCGAGTTTTATGGCATTTCTCCCTCACCATCACCTTTTTTCCCTAGCTTCTGCCTATGAGAGAAAACATTTGACCCTTCACTTTCTGAGTCTGGCTTATTTCATTTAGCATTGTGTTTTCTATTTCCATCCATATAACTGCAAATGCCATAATTTCATCCTGTTTTATGAGTGAGTTAAACTATATTGTGTATATGTGCCACATTTCTTAATCTATCTGTCGATGGCCATCTGGACTAATTCCATAATTTGGCTATTGTGAGTTGTGCTGCTATAAACCTTGATGTGGCTGTATTAGTAGGGTATGCTTTTCAGTTCTTTTGGATAAGTACCAAGGAGTGGGATAGCTGGGTCACTGGGTAGTTCTATTCCCAGTCTTTTGAGAAATCTCCATACTTCTTCCCAGAGTGGTTATACTAACTTGCAGTCCCACCAACAGTGTTTGAATGTACCTTTTCCCCCTCATCCTTGCCAGTATTTATTATTATTTGTATTCTTGATAATTGCCATTCTGACTAGAATGAGATGAAATCTTACTGTAGTTTTGATTTTCATTTCCCTGATTGCTAAATAGATGTTGAAATTTTTCATATATTTGTTGACCATTTATATTTCTTCTTTTGAAAAATGTCTTTTTAGTTATTTTGCCCATTTATTGATTATTTGGTTTTTTGAGTTCTCTGAATGGTAATTTTCTTTTAACCCTGCCAGTGTACTTGACTTATTTTTTCTCACTGAGAAGAATGTAAGAAGTTCAATGGTTTTGTTGGCATAAAGAAGAAACTTTGCATAATTAGAAAGTAGGGTAAGGAGAAAGTAATTTGTATATGTGTTTGGGGGTACTTTTGCACACATTTTTCAGAGAAACAAGAGAAGGCCAAGTTAATTGCATATCCAAATTAAATTTATGATTTTTAAAGACATGGCCTTAATAATCTAAGCAAATCTAACCATTACTTAAAATTATTTGACAAACTATGTAACTTTAGGTGGAGGAAGCTAAACAAGAATTACAAGAAGTTGTTGAATTCTTGAAAAATCCACAAAAATTTACCGTGCTTGGAGGTAAACTTCCAAAAGGTAAGATATTTTCCCTTTGCCATTATTTGATGTCAAAAAATAATATATTACTAATTTTATCAGATTTTAACTGATAAAATTTAGTTCTTAATTGCTATTTTTTTTTAAAAAGTGTGTTTATTCAAAACAGTTCTATAACCTTTTTTTGAAATTTAAGATTTTAGTATAGTTTGTAGTATAGTTTGCAAAAACGCTATAAAAGAATGTTTGCTCATACCCTTAATCCTTACTATTTTTTGGCATTTTGCTCACTTTGTCTCTTTACATACAAGTATTTTTTTAACCATTTAAGAAGAACTTGTAGACTTAGTGCTCCTTTACCTCTAAAAATCTGAGTATTTCCTAAGAATAGGATATTCTTTCGTATAATGAGTATATAATTATTAAGATCAGTAAATTTATCATGGATGCAAAACTTATCAAATTCACAGTCTAAACCCAAATTTCCACATTTTTTTCCCAGTAATATTTTGTAGTGTCTCCACTGCACATTTTCCAGTGTCAAGACTCAATCTAGGATAACATGTAGCATTTAGATATTTTCTTTAATATGACACGGTTCATTAGCATTTTTAGTCAGGGGTGGTAGGGGGAAGAAAGGAGGTCTTTCATGATCTTCACAGTTGTGAAGGAAAAATTACTGAGTATTTATAGAATTTTATTTAACCATTAATATTGATTTGTTGTGAGAATATTTTCAAGAACCTTTGCTAAAAATTTAGGGTAAATTTAGGGAGTCAGTGCCACAACATCATAGAGTGAGTGATTGCTTAAAACCACTGAAAAAATTGCAGTCTTCCTTTTTCAAATCAAGGGATGTTTTATAAATTTATCCTCAGGTACAGATAAGATCTACAGAGATTAATGTAAGATTTAAATTATTTAGGTGTCACTAAAACATTAGTACTGGGATTTCTTAAAATATTTTTTTAGTTATCGATAGACCTTTATTTTATTTTATTTATATGTGGTGCTGACAATTGAACCTAGTGCCTCACACATGTCAGGTAACCTCTCTACCACTGAGCCACAGTCCCAGCCACATGGGATATTCTTCAGGCTGTTTTGAGCTTTGCTTAAAAAAGATTTTTTTAATGTTAAGATGTAACGTTAATATAGCTTTTTATTGCCTTTTTCAAATTTAATCTTTGCATTTACAAAGTCAAATGCTAATCAGAGAATCCTTTTTTTTTTTCAATTTATTATGAAAAACTTATTTGTGTTATAAAAATTTTCAAGTATTAGGAAAAGCTTGAAATAGTAGTACAGTTAGCATATATGTTCTTTCTACCCAGACTCAACAGTTATTAATATTTTGTCGTATTTGTTTTCTGTGTGTGTGTACCTTGCTCCCTGAACTTTTGAATTGAAGATCTAGATATTAGCTACCTTACCTTTCAATATTTTTGTATATGTTACCTGAGAACAAGGACAACATTCTAATTTATCCTAATCAAAGAAAATTAGTACTATTGCTTTAATGTCATTTATTCTCTAATCTTTTTTTTTTTAATTTTACTAAATGTTCCTATAATTTTTCTCTTATGTTTTTTATGGAAAAGCACCAATATTCATGCATTATATTTGGTTGTTTTTTATTGTGAATTCAATCTTACTCATTTAATTATAATGGGTTTATATTCCTTTGCCTTTCGATTATTTTCCTGTCTTAATATTGATATATAAATAATCTCAAAAGGATAGAAAAAAATTAGTTGTAGAGATGATCCTGAAGTAAATCATTAACAGAGATAAATATTTTGCTGTTTGAAAATATTGGTCATTGGTGTGCCTTCAATCTCAAAATTATGTTAATTAATAATTATTTTATTCATTCATATCAAGGGGTTTAAATTTTTTTTTTAATCATTCTTGTTTACTTTTTCTGTTAGGTATACTTTTAGTTGGACCCCCAGGCACTGGAAAGACACTTCTTGCCCGTGCTGTGGCAGGAGAAGCTGATGTTCCTTTTTATTATGCTTCTGGATCAGAATTTGATGAGATGTTTGTCGGTGTGGGAGCCAGCCGTATCAGAAATCTTTTTAGTATGTTTTGTTGATTCTTTTATATAGTACTAAATTTTGTTAATTTTAGGGGAAGGATGTTTCTTATCCTTTCTCTGCTAATTGCTTGTGATTGATAGTAAGCTGTAAAAGGCATTGTGGTATGCTGATTTCAGATAATGTAGGAGATAAAACAGAACTGTACCCTTTTTCTAAATCGTCTAAATCATAGTAAGAACTAACAGTAGTACTATCTGAAGTTAGAGGCTGTAGTAAAGCCCTTGGTTTGTTTTCATTTTATTCATCTGTCTGCAGTATGTAATCAAGAGTTATTAGCCTTAAATTTGACTATGTATTTGTACAATTTGGATGAATGAATAGCCAGTTGTTTTTATTTTATATTGTTTTCTTTGTCATTGTCCTCCTCCACCCTCAAAGTTATTGTTTTGGGTAAAATGTGACTTTTTTTGTGTATTCTCTTTCTCTCAATTTTTTGACCTTTGACAATCCTTATAGATTTTAATATTTATAAGGTTTTCTTTGAAAAATGTTCATTTCTTTGATCTTACTGGAATCTTTTCTGTTTTCTTAGGGGAAGCGAAAGCAAATGCTCCTTGTGTTATATTTATTGATGAATTAGATTCTGTTGGTGGAAAGAGAATTGAATCTCCCATGCATCCATATTCAAGGCAGACTATAAATCAACTGCTTGCTGAAATGGATGGGTAATGAAATTTTCCTTTGTGAAATTTGGTGATATATTTTTAAAATTATGTTTTAAAATTGTGTAGGATAACAGATATCTCCCAGCACTTGATATTATGTGGACTTGTTCTTAATTGTTCCCATAGAGCATTTGATAATATTCTACAGTATAAAGGATATTATACATATAAACAATAAAGTAGTCCCTCATCAAAGAAATCAGGGGCAGGTTTTTCTCTCTGTATTTGTATAGTTTTCATTACTGATTGGATATTTTGATAATATCAATTACTTTTAAATTTATGATATTGTATACCTTTTTAAAAATTTGTTGCATTGTTTTTATTATAGGAAAGCAATGATTCATGTTAAGACTAGTCTATTTCACAAAGTAAAGAAATGAGTTAAAAGTATAGCTCATTGATAGAGTGGTTTCCTAGCATGTGTGAGACCCTATATTCAATCCCTAGCACCATGCACACAAAAATAATCAAATAAAAAACAAATGGTACACTGGTTTTTACACAACTTATGACTAGCTTTTTTGTATATTTGAAGCTTAGATCAGTGTGTGTAGTATAGAAATCAAGAAGTGATTGAAAGCTTTGAAAGAAGTATCTTAAATTCAATATGAGACATTTTTGGAACTAAATAGGAAGTCTAGGGGCAAATAATTTGAATTAGTATGCTTGAAAGTAATTGTTAAAAATTAGGCACCCAAGCTTTTCATACCAGGTCATGTTTTCCTAAGCAGAACAGAGACTATGAAATTATATGATCATATTTGATTGGTGTTTTATTATTAGTCTCTTTTCTTGGTTATTACTAAGATTAATTATAAACAGCTTTGTGCAGATCATTTTGCTCTTTGTGTGTTACACTTCAGTTTTTAGTGAAAAGATAATTTTTTTCTTTTCCTAAATAGTTTTAAACCCAATGAAGGAGTAATCATTATAGGAGCCACAAACTTTCCAGAGGCATTAGATAAGTAAGTATTAAAAGAAAATTTTTGTGAAGTACTGTTACATGTTACAACATAATTCTAAAATCAAAAGCATAGAAGATTACATTGTATGATTCCATATATTGGAAATGTTCAGAATAAGCAAATTCATAGAGACAAATTAGATTATGGGTTGCTAGAGCATTGTGAGAATGGGGTGACTGCCATTGGTTATGGGATTTCTTTTTGTGGGCATGAGAATATTCTAAAATTAGATTGAAGTGATGTTTGATTAATTTTTAATATATAATTAAAAACACCTAAATTATCCATTTACAAAGCTGTGAAAAGATTTCTTTTTTCTTACATATCACAAAAATTTTAAGTGCATAGCATTTTAAAAATAAAATTTGTTGTAATATTTAACTTTAAATTAAAATTACTACTAAAACTTTAAATTTTATTTTGGAAATTATTTTTATTTTCATTTGATCAGAAGTTTGTCTTTGCCTAATACTCTAGTGTCACATTCTGTGTAGTGGTTGAGATGGTCTGTGGTTCTCATAAGAGTCTGCTATAGAATTATTTGTCCTTTGACCAACTTGCAATTGTTGTTTCTGAAGGTGTATACTACCTTAGCTGCAAACCACATGTATTTCTGAATGAACCTTTGTTCTCCATTATACTCTGTTTTTGTATGTTCTTGAGAATCTCACTATGTTGTCCAGGCTGGCCTTGAACTAAGAATATTCCTGGCCCAGCCTCTCAAGTAACTGGGATTATAGGCGTGTGCTGCCATGCCCAGCTACCGTCTGTTCATTGAGATTGTCACCTGATTCATGTTCTTAACATGCATTAGCACAATAAGCTTATTAATTTACCTTTTGCATTTTTCCTTTAGCGCCTTAATACGTCCTGGTCGCTTTGACATGCAAGTTACAGTTCCAAGGCCAGATGTAAAAGGTCGAACAGAAATTTTGAAATGGTATCTCAATAAAATAAAGTTTGATAAATGTAAGTCTAATTCTGTATTGCAAACATTATTATCATCTCCATAAGATGGTAATAGATCTACTCAACCTGTTTGTGATCCTTACTTGATAATGTCTTGAAAGATCAGTTCATTTTTCTATTCCCACTTATATATCCTTTTTTTTTTATTAGTTGCTCAAGATAATACAGTAATCTTGACATATCATACATTTGATTCAAATGGTGTATGAATTCTCATTTTTCCACGTGTACACATTGGTTATACATCCACGTATATACATACAGCAATACTAGTATCTGTTGTATTCTGCTGCCCTCCCTATCCCCCCCCTCCTATCACCTCTCTCTACCCAATCTACTATCTTCCCCCACACAACATCATATATGTGTTTTGTATAACGAGGAGGGTCTCCTTCCATATTCCGTGCAATTCCCCTTCTCCCTCCCATTCCCTCCCACTCTCTTCCCTGTTTAGTGGTAATCTTCTTCTCATGCTCTTCCTCCCTACTCTGTTTTGAGTCACCCCCTTATATCAGAGAAGACATTCAGCATTTGTTTTTTAGGGATTGGCTAACTTCACTTAGCATAATCTCCTCAATGCTCACCATCTTTAGCAATCAGAGAAATGCAAATTAAAACCACTCTAAGATACCATCTCACTCCAGTAAGAATGGCAGCCATTATGAAGTCAAACAATAACAAGTGCTGGTGAGGATATGGGGAAAAAGGTACATTTGTACATTGCTGGTGGGATTGCAAATCCGTGCAGCCAATTTGGAAAGCAGTTTGGCGATTCCTTGGAAAGCTGGGAATGGAACCACCATTTGAGCCAGGTATTCCCCTTCTCGGGCTATACCCAAAAGACTTAAAAAGAACATACTACAGGGACACAGCTACATCAATGTTCATAGCAGCACAATTCACAATAGCTAGACTGTGGAACCAACCTAGATGCCCTTCAATAGATGAATGGATAAAAAAATTGTGTCATTTATACACAATGGAATATTACTCAGCACTAAAAAATAACAAGATCATGGCCACTTATATATCCTTTAAAAAGCCATTCCTTAATTAGTATGCATGTATTCAGGGAATTTTGTCATTTTAAGAAATTTTTCCAAAGAAAATTTTCTTTGAAATATTCAGACAGATATATCTAAATATGTATGTATGGATGGATTTTTTGAAATACAAATTAAAAATGCAAAATAATAGAAATAACTCTAGGAACAGTAACTTAATAATCAGTTTAAGGGACCACAAGGGGAGAAGCAATATATGAAACAAGATACATAGAAATATTATGTATCTTCTTGAATTATAAGGGAAGCTATTAAAGCTGCAGTGTTCTCAAGGTAGCTGAAATAATATATAAAATTAAATTTGTTTCCTATTAATAATGGGAGCTTTTGTGTCTGAGGTATTTCAAGATGAAATTCAAGGAAAAGAATTTTGTCAGTGTACTTTTACAGTTTGTGCTTAGACTGATGGTAATATATGTCATATTTAAAGTTTGTAATTACCATCAGGCAAATGTACATTTTTCCCCCATAAAGGTAGTTAAATTTAGAACTATTGTGATTTACCCATTTGCATTTTAATGACATTTTGCACTTTGCAAAGATTTCAGTAAATTTGAGTTTTAAGATAACTATTTTGTTGTAGTTCAGAATAGTTGTGTTCTTTTTTCCCTCAAAATGTGAGATTTTTGTGAATCACTTTTCTTTAGCTATTTCAGATTTTTAATATTGTGTTCTCTTTTTGCAAAGCTGTCGATCCAGAAATCATAGCTCGAGGTACTGTTGGGTTTTCTGGAGCAGAGTTGGAGAATCTTGTAAACCAAGCTGCATTAAAGGCAGCTGTTGATGGAAAAGATATGGTTACCATGAAGGAACTAGAGTTTTCCAAAGATAAAATTCTAATGGGTAGGTTTTTCTTTTTTCTTTAATATTTCCAGTTTAATATCCGTTTTGTCAGTGATATCAACTCAGTTGTGATAGCGTAGCACATTCATTACTTTGTCTTTCTTTTGGAATACCTTTTTTTCTGACTGAAAGAGAAAGGTTCAGGAAAAAAATGTAGGACTGGGGGTGTAGCTTAGTGGTATATCACTTGCCTCACATGTTTTGAGTCCTTGGGTTGGATCTCTAGCACACAAAAAAGAAAAGAAAGAACGGTTATAAGAACGTGAAAATATATACTTGAAAGTAGTAATAAAATTTGGCTTCTGAAAGAACAAATATATTTCAGTAGCTTATATGATTGGACTGGTGGTTATGGTAGGGTACCCAGGTATGTCCTCTTGTCCAATATTGCTGATAAAAAGGATGTTATTTTTATTTATTCTTTTTAATTTTGATTTTTAAAACTTGTATTATCTTATAAACAGATTAATATGTCCTTCAGGTTAATTTGAAGGTTTATTTTCTAGAAATAGAATAATTAGGCTTTCCCTTTAGATATAAGGATTAAGATGATAGGTTTTAATGATTTTGGTTAGTATTTAACAAATTGTTAAGTTCTATGTGTTGTACATTGAACCTACTCATTTTTTAAACCAACTAAAATATTTGTTAATATTAAATTGTTACTCTAAGAAAGACTTTGTGGATAATGTTTTGTTGTTTTCATTTTTTGTTTACTTTATATTAATACCAAAGCAGATATTTGATTTGCAAAAGAGAATGGGTTTCACTTATTTAAATATACCCTTTTAGTGAAGTGTTTTATTTGAATTTTTACCTTAGGGCCTGAACGAAGAAGTGTGGAAATTGATAACAAAAATAAAACCATCACAGCCTATCATGAATCTGGTCATGCTATTATTGCGTATTACACAAAAGATGCAATGCCTATTAATAAAGCTACAATCATGCCACGAGGGCCAACACTTGGACATGTAAAGTTTTACAATTTTTACTTGCTTTTAAATAGAGCTACTTCCTAATTTTTTTTGATAGGATATCTTACTTCCTAAACCATCTTGAAATCAACATTTGTGAAATTTTTCTGTTAATAAAGAATATTTTATAATGTATTTCAGATGTTGTATTTTTACATTGTGAAATTTTAATTGTGAATAACTGTCTGGTTCTTAAATATCTAATTGTCCTTCTATCCTTTAAGTGACCAATGATGTGTCACAGTGACTGGTTCCATAGTTTTCCTAAGATTTGTCTCATTTGGTATAAGTTTCATTCTCATATCTTTCCAGTATATTTTCAAACATTTTTATGCAACTGGGATAAAATAGTTCATTTGCAGTATTATCTGCCTACCTGTTGCTTTTAAAATATACTTTTGATTTATAAAGAATTTTTTTATTTTCTCAATTGCTTATTTTGTTATTGGTCACCTGATGACAATCTTTTTAAGTATCTGTCAGTTTTTAGAATCATTGTAATGAATATTTCTTGTGGTGAGAGTTATATGATAGTTCTGGTTTTTAATGTAACAATTGCAGAACTGTATTTGAAATATCTGTTTTCTTTTTCAACTGTCCAGGTGTCCCTGTTGCCTGAGAATGACAGATGGAATGAAACTAGAGCCCAGTTGCTTGCACAGATGGATGTTAGTATGGGAGGAAGAGTGGCAGAAGAGCTTATATTTGGAACTGACCATATTACAACAGGTTGGTTTTAGATAATGGTTAACTTCAAATTTTGTTTGTTGAGTGAAAGATATTTTTCAAAATTTGAACTGTATGTTTGTTTATTTTAGGTGCTTCCAGTGATTTTGATAATGCAACAAAAATAGCTAAGCGGATGGTTACCAAATTTGGAATGAGTGAAAAGGTAATAATTTTAATCCTTTTCATGTATCAAGTGATACCAAGTATCTTTTTTTAAAAAAAATATTTATTTTATTTGTTCTAATAAGTTATACATGACAGTAGAAATTCTTTGATTCCTGCAAGGAATGCCATTGGGATTTTGATGGGAATTGCATTGAATCTATCAAGTGCTTTTGGTAATATGGCCATTTTAATAATAATAATTCTGCCTATCCATGAACAAGGTATATCTTTTCATCTTCTAAGTTCTTCTATTTCTTTCTTTAGGGTTCCGTAGTTTTCATTGTATAGATCTTTCACCTCTTTTGTTAGGTTGATTCCCAGGTAGTTTGTTTTTTTTTTTTTTTTTTTTGAGGATATTGTGAATGGGGTAGTTGTCCTCATTTCCATTTCAGAGAATTTGTCACTAATGTACAGGAATGCCTTTGACTTATGGGTGTTGATTTTATATCCTGCCACTTTGGCAAATTGGTGCAGCCAATTTGGAAAGCAGTATGGAGATTCCTTGGAAAGCTAAGAATGGAACCACCATTTGACCCAGCTACTCCCCTTCTCAGACTATACCCAAAAGACCTAAAAAGAGCATACTACAGGGACACAGCCACATCAATGTTTATAGCAGCACAATTCACAATAGCTAGACTGTGGAACCAACCTAGATGCCCTTCAATAGATGAATGGATAAAAAAAAATGTGGCATTTATACACAATGGAATATTACTCAGCACTAAAAAAATAACAAGATCATGGCATTTGCAGGGAATTGGATGGCATTAGAGCAGATTATGCTAAGTGAAGCTAGCCAATCCCTAAAAAACAAATGTCGAATGTCTTCTCTGATATAAGGGGGGTGACTCAAAATGGGATAGGGAGGAAGAACATGAGAAGAAGATTACCACTAAATAGAGAAGAGAGGAGGGAGGGAAAAGAAGGGAGAAGGGGAGTTGCACGGAAGATGGAAGGAGACCCTCATCGTTATACAGAATTACATGTATGATGTTGTGAGGAGAAAAAAAAAAAGTGTGTCACATTAGATTGGGTAGAGAGAAGTGAGGGGAGGAGAGTGGAAGAGGGGATAGGAAGGGCAGCAGAATAAAATAGACATTATTATTGCTATATATATATAGGTGACTGTATGACTAATGTGATTCTGCAACCTGTACAATCAGAAAAATGAGAAATTATACCCCATTTGATTCAAATGTATGAATTGTCAAGATCATTGTACTGTCATGTGTAGCTAATAAAAAAATAAAAAATTAAAAAAATAAAAATAAAAAAAGAAATTATTTGATTCATTGTACACAAATGGAGCAGAATTTTTAACTTCTGGTCATGCACAAAGTAGAGTCACACTATTTGTTCAGTCATACATATTCCTAGGGTAATGATGTACATCTCATTCCACTGTCCTTCCTAACCCTTTGCCCCCTCTCTGCCTCTCCTTAGCCCCATTCACAGTTCCTCTACTTTTCCCATGCACCACCCTCTATATGGATTAGCATCACTTATCAGAGAAAACATTTAGACCCTGGGATTTTGAGATTGGCTTATTTCACTTAGCATGATTTTCTTCAACTCCATCCATTTACCTGCAAGTGGCATGATTTTATTCTCTTTTAATGCTGAGTAATATTCCATTGTGTATATGTTCTACAGTTTCTTTATCCGTTCTTCTATTGAAGGGCTTCTATGTTGTTTCCACAGTTTAGCAATTGTGAATTGTTCTGCTATAAACATGGAAGTTGCTACATTACTATAGTATGCTGTTTTTAAGTCTTTAGAATATAAACTAAGGAGTGGAATAGCTGGGTCAAATGGTGGTTCCATTCCAAATTTTCTAAGAAATCTCCATATTGCTTTCCAGAGTGGTTGCACCAATTTGCAGTCCCACTGATAAAGTATGAGTATGTCTTTTCTGCCACATCCTTGCCAAGAGTTATTGTTGCTTCTGTTCTTGATAACTGCCATTCTGACCAGCATGAGATGAAATCTTAGAGATTTGCATTTCTCTAATTACTAGAGATGTTGAATATTTTTTCATATATTTGTTGATTGACTGTATCTCTTCTTCTGAGAAGTGTCCAATCAGGTCCTTAGCCCATTTATTGATTGGGTTATTTGTTTTTTTGGTGTTAAGTTTTTTGAATTCTTTATATATCCTGCAGATTAGTGCTCTGTCTGACAAGCATGTGGCAAATATATGCTCCCGAAATGTAGGTTCTTCCTTCACCTCAATGATTATTTTCTTTGCTGAGAAGAAGCTTTTTAGTTTGAATCCATCCCATTTGTTGATTCTTGATTTTATTTCTTATGCTTTAGAAGTCTTGTTAAGGAAGTTGGGGCCTAATCTGACATGATGAAGATTTGGGCCTACTTTTTCTTCTGTTAGGCACAGAGTCTCTGGACTAATTCCTAGGTCCTTGATCCACTTTGAATTCAGTTTTGTGCATGGCGAGAGATAGGGGTTTATTTTCATTTTGTTAAATATGGATTTCCAGTTCTCCCAGAATCATATGTTGAAGAGGCTAGCTTTTCTCCACTGTATGTTTTTGATACCTTTGTCTAGTATGAGGTAACTATATTTATGTGGGTTTTTCTTTGTGTCTTCTATTCTGTATCATTGTTCTACATGTCTGTTTTGGTGCCAATACAGCTTTGGAATATAGTTTAAGGTCTGGTATTGCGATGTTTCCTGCTTCACTCTTCTTGCTAAGGATTGCTTTGGCTATTCTGGGTCTCTTATTTTTCTAAATGAATTTCGTGTGCTTTTTCTATTTCTGTAAGGAAAGATGTTGGAATTTTAATTGGTATCACGTTGAATCGGTATAGTGCTTTGGGTAAAGCCATTTTGACAGTATTAATTTTGCCTATCCAATAGCATGGGAGATCTTTTCATTTTCTAAGGTCTTCTTCAATTTCTTTCTTTAGTATTCTTTTTAATGTAGAGGTCTTTCAAACTCTCTTGTTAGATTGATTCCCAAGTATTTTATTTTTTTGAGGCTATTGTGAATGGGTTAGTTTTCCTAATTTCTCTTTCAGAGGATTCATCACTGACGTATAGAAATGCATTTGATTTATGGGTATTGATTTTATATCTTGCTACTTTGCTGAATTCATTTATTCTAGAAGTTTTCTGGTAGAATTTTTTGGATCTTCTAAATGTAGAATCATGTTATCCTAATCATATCGCCTTAATTTCTCTCGTCTAATTACTCTGGCTAGAGTTTCAAGGACTGTGTTGAATAGAAGTGGTGAAAGAGGACATTTCTGTCTTGTTTCTGTTTTTAGAGGGAATGCTTCCAATTTTTCTCCATTTAGGATGATGTTGGCCTTGGGCTAAGCATAGTTGGCTTTTAGAATGTTGAGAGTATGCTCCTACTATCCCTAGTTTTTCCTAGTGTTTTGAACATGAAAGTGTGCTGTATTTTGTGCAGTGCTTTTTGTGCATCAATTGTTATAATGATGATTCTTATCTCTAAGTCTTTTGAAGTAATGGATTATGTTTATTGATTTCTGTATGTTGAGCCAACCTTGCATCCCTGGAATGAACCTCACTTGATCATGGGGCATTGTTTTTTTTTAAAAAAACATGTTTTTTTATGCGATTTGCCATAATTTTATTGAGAATTTTTGCAACTTTGTTCATTCACTGATAGTGGTCTGAAATTTTCTTTCTTCAATGTGTCTCTGACTGGTTTTAGTACCAGGGTGATAAAATGAGTTTGGAAGGGTTTCCTTCTTTTCTATTTCATGGAATAATTTGAAGAGTGTTGGTATTACTTCTTTTTGTAGGTCTTGTAGAACTCAACTGCGAATTTGTTTGGTCCTGGGCTTTTCTTGGTTGGTAAGCTTTTGATGGTGTCTTCTATTTCCTTAAAATTTATCTGTTTAAGTTGTATATGTCCTCCTGGTTCAGTTTGGGTAAGTCATATGCCTCTAGAAATTTTTGGATGTTTTTTGAGAGTTTCTATTAGAATATGAATTTTCAAAATAGTTTCTAATTATCCTCTGAATTTCAATAGTGTATATTGTGATATTTTCTTTTTCCTCATGAATTGTAGTAATCTGAGTTTTCTCTCTTTTCATTAGGGTGGCTAAGAGTTTGTCAATTTTATTTATTTTTTCAAAGAACCAGCTTTTTGGCAATTTTCTTTCTTTTTTTTTTTTTTTTTTTTGTTGTTGTTGTTTCAATTTCATTGATTTCAGCCCTAATTTTAATTATTTCCTGTCTTCTGCTTCTTTTAGTGTTGATTTGTTCTTCTGTTTCTAGTCTTTGAAATGTAATGTCAGGTCATTTATTTGTTGACTCTTTCTTCCTTTAATGCAGTGAACTTTCCTCTTAGTACTGTCTCCATAGTGTCCCAGAGATTTTGATACATTGTCTGGAGTTCTCATTTACCTCTAAGAATTATTTTTATCTCCTCCTTGATGTCTTCTGTTATCCATGTGTCATTCAATAGCATATTATTCAGTCTCCAGGTGTTGGAGTAGCTTCTATTTTTTATTTTATCATTAATTTCTCATTTCATTTCATTATGGTCAGATAGAATGCAGGGTAGTATTTGTATATTTTTGTATTTGCCAAGACTTGCTTTGTGGCATAACATACGGTGTGTTTTGGAGAAGGATCCATATGCTGCTGAGAAAAAAGTGTATTCACTTGTTGATGGATGGAATAGTCCATATATATCTGTTTAGTCTAAATTCTTGATTATCTTATTGAGTAATGTAGTTTCTTTAGTTTTGGTTTGCAAGATCTATCCAGTGGTGAAAGAAGTGTGTTAAAGTCACCCAATATTATTGTGTTGGGGTGTATGTGATTCTTGAATTTGAGAAAGGATTGTTTGATATACATAGATGCCCCATTGTTTGGGGCATAGATATTTATGATTGTTATGATTGTTATGTCTTAAGCAGTATGAAATGTCCTTCTTTGTCCCTCTTCCCTAACTTTGGTTTGACGTCCACTTTATCTGATATGAGGATGGAAAACCCTGCTTGTTTACGTGGTCCACGTTGGTAATACATTTTTTTTCTCCATTTTTCACCTTAGGTCTGTGAATGTCTTTTCCTGTGAGATGATTCTTTTGAAGGCAGCGTATTGTTGGGTCTTTTTGTTTTTTAAATCCAATCTGCCAGTCTGTCTTTTAATTGATGAGTGTAGGCCATTCACATTCAGGGTTTTTATTGAGACATGGTTTGTATTTCTGGTCATTTGGTTTATTTTTGATTTTAACCATCTTTGACTTTGTTTCTCCTTTGATTGGCCTTTCCTTTAGTGTAGTTCCTCCCTTTGCAGATTTTCATTTCCTCCTCGTGGATTATTTTACTAGGAATGTTCTGTTAGTGCAGACTTTCTTGCTGTAAATTTACTTAACTTTTGTTTATCATGGAAGGTTTTTATTTCATCATCAAATCCGAAGCTTAACTTTGCTGGATATAAAATTCTTGGTTGGCATCCATTTTCTTTCAAAGCTTGGTATATGTTGTTCCAGGATCTCCTGGCTTTGATGGTTGAAAAATCTGCTGATTTCCAAATTGGTCTTCCCCTATACGTAATCTGATTCCTCTCTCTCTTGTGGTCTTTAAAATTCTATCTTTATTCTGTATGTTAGGCATTTTCATTACAACCTATCTTGGTGTAGATCTGTTTAATTTTATACATTTGGTGTCCTGTAAGCCTCTTGTATTTGGTTTCCCAATTCATTCTTCATGTTTGGAAATTTTCTGATATTATTTCAATAAAGAGATTTGGCATTCCTTTGGTTTGAATCTCTGAACCCTCCTCTATCCCAATAAATCTTAGATTTGGTCTTTTGATGTTATCCCATAATTCTTGGTTTATATGGCTTCTTACCATCTTCACTGTGTCGGCAACTTTATTTTCAAGGTTGTGTATATTTTGTCTTCATTGTCTGAGGTTCTGTCTTCCAAGTGATCTAGTCTGTTGGTAATGCTTTCTATTGTGTTTTTTGTTTGGTTTGTTTCTTTTATTTCAAGGATTTCTGATTGTTTTTTTTTCCCCCAGAGCTTCTATTTTTCTTGAAGTAATCTTTTGTTGCCTGTATTTGCTCTTGTGTCTGTTTGTTGGAGTGATCAATTTTTGCCTGTGTTTGCTCACTTATTTCATTCTTTAATTCGCAGATCATTTTCATTATGTACATTCTGAACTCCTTCTGATAGTTCATCTACTGCCCTGTCAATGGTTTCTATTGTTGTAGTATCTTGGTTTGTTTGGGGCACTTTCCTCCCTTTTTTTAATCATGTTGTCTATGTGTCTTCCTCTCTTGCAGTACAGATCTGAGGTATTTACAGCTTCTCTCCTGTAGTGTCCTTGCAGGTTACCAATACCTCACCTTTAAGGGGGATATCAATGTTTACAGCATCCAGTGCAACCAATATGCAGCCATAAACCAATTAGCTTTTATTTTGACATTTACAGTTTTGTCTCTATGAACAGAAATGATGAGTTTGTTTATCTTCTTCTACCATATAGCCAGTAGGTTAGCATAATGGTTTGCAGTTTCGAACGGTGGAGGGGTGAGGCTGTGATGTATATGAGGTAGGATGTGAGAATATAGAGGCATTAGATTATAGGACTAGTGAAAGGGTAATCGAACGAATTTAGCTGTTAGCAGGAGAAAAAAGAGAGAGAGGCAACCCCATGCAAGGCTCCCTGTTACCTCTGCAACAGGACGGTGTCTGTTAGCAAACCTAGTAGAGATACCTCTAGTGCAGCCAGACCCACAGGTAACTTGGTGACAGTTTTCCAGGTCCTGGTTGTTGTCCCTAAATGGAAGTGACCATATTGGTGGTAGCAGTAGCATCAAGCCTGTAGGTACCTTGATGTTGGGCTTCCAGGCCCCAGTCAGTGTCCTAAGGTGGAATCTTTCTCAGCTAAAGATAGTGGAGGCAGCAGCAGAGGTAACCCAAGATGATGGTGGAGGTGTCCCACTATGGCGGCAGCCACTTTCAGAGATGGGGCTGGAAGGATGGGCTATATGGTGGTATTGGGTGTCCTATTTGGTGATGCCACAGTGTGGTGTGCAGTGCTGCAATGGGCAGTTGCCTCCTGGCCTTGTCTAGTGTCCCACATTGGCGATTACCATGTGGGGAGGGCTATGGCAGTGGCTGCAGTGTCCCAAAATGGAGGCGGTTTTGGTGAAGCCCCACGTTGGTGAATAGGGAACCACAGCACAGTCCTCTCCTTATGGGTCATTGTTCCTTTCTGGTGGTATGGGTCAGGCCCAAGTATCTTTTTGAGAGATCTGATTATTAACTTGATAACATATACACTTTCCCTGCATTTTTTCAAATGCATTTAAGACTACATATTCTAAATATTCTTCTTCATAATATTGCTCAGAATTAGCTATTCAGATAGTAGCCATTTCATGAGTTAACCAGGTGACAAGATAACTTCTTCAGCCTTTTCTTGGCATAAAGAACCTACTTTTTTAACTGCTTTACCTCTTCCATATATTTCACTTTCCCACATTACCATTGTGGCTCCTTGAAGAACTATCATCTGTGAATAGTGGACTGCTGCATTTGGAATAGCTTCCAGGATTTCCTAAGGAGGCACTTAGAACCAGACTTAAAATGATTTAAAAATTTCTCTCTCACATTTACTTCTTTGAACTCAGTCTTTATAGTTTTAGAGGAATAAGAGCATTTTCAGAGTGCCTTTTTTCTTGCCCCATGATGTTCATATCCTTATATGTAGGCTAGTACTTTGTAAATTTCTTGGCTTTTGGAGTCTTTTGTTCAATTAATTTTTTTCCCTTTGGTTTTAGCTTGGAGTTATGACATACAGTGATACAGGAAAACTGAGTCCTGAAACTCAATCTGCCATTGAACAAGAAATAAGAATTCTCCTACGGGTAAAAATAGTATTTGTATTTGTTTATTTATATTGTTTAGACATTATATGCCTAAGAATGTACTTTAAAAATGACAACAATGGCTAGGTATGTTACTCCATGGTTAAATACTTGCCTGTCATGTTCAAGGCTCTTGGTTTGATCCCCAGTACCACAGACAAAGCCAAACCAAAGTGATGATAGCTAAATACTCTGTTCACCAGAACTCTCACTTTATAAAATAAAAATAGGTGTGCCTTGCAATAATTTTTTTTTTTTATGTTATCAAGAAATATCTTTTCCAGGACTGGATATTTATTTTATTTTGATCATGGGCTATGTAGCATTCAGTTCTACTTTAGCTGAAAAATCAGAGAATGTAGGATATTGTTTACTGAATCTCTTTGTCTCTTGTTTTCCTATTCTCATATGTTTATTAAAAAAATATTACTGGTTATTCACTTTATTCCCAGCAATGTGTATTTGCTGAGAATACAGAATAAAGGAAACATAGTCCCTTTTGGCTACAGTATCTTATGCAGATTAGCATATAGGAATGTGTGAAAGTAAATTCAGTACTGTGGTAGTCTAGGCATGCTATCAAGGATGCTTGAATTAGAGTGGTAAAAATAGAAACAAACATGAGCAGGTTTAAGAGATACTGCTGTAGTAGAATCATCACATCTTTTTGATATTTTCCATATGAAGGATAAGAGTATTTAAAACTGTTTTCTAGATTTCTTCAATCATGCAATTATATAATTATGCCAGTCACTGAAGAAACTTAGAGAGTACTGGACTAAGGCCTGGTTGTGGGTAGATCATAACTTCATTTTATACATGTTGAATTTGAGCCATCTTGATGAAGATTTCAAGTTAGAAATAAATTACATGATGTGGGTCTGGAGGTTACTCAGAAGGATGATTATGTGTTCCACTTGGATGTTGAAGTTATCCATTCCTTGAGGCAGGTCTTGGAATGGAGAGAAAGAATGAGCTGAAGGCCAGACTCTTCAGTGAATCAGAATATAGGTGGGCATTAGATAGCACAGTGAATGGGATTGGATAGGTTGGTAGTCAAATGGCTTGGTCTTCAAAGGAATAATATTTCCTACAAGAGCAAAGGTTAATAATGATCTAAAAGTGGTAATGGAAACGAAGAAGTAATTAGGATAGGAGCAAATAAATAACACTGGGGAGGACTTAGGGAACGCATTCTTAAGGTTTAAGAGAAAGCCAGGTTTTGATTAATTCAAGGAGATAGAAGCCTTGCTTTAGAGTAGTTTACATCAAAGAGAATAAACATTCTGGAAAAGCAGAGACTTTTTCCATGTACTATTTCTTTTTTTTTTTTTCCTTCTTTTTTGGTTTGTGGGAATGTAGTAATGGGGATTCAACTCAGGGGCGCTCTACCACTGAGCCATGTCCTTAATTAAGCTCTTTTTACTTTTTATTTTGAGACATGGTTTGTTGAGACTAAGTTGCCTAGACTGGCCTCAAACTTGGCATCCTATTGCCTCAATCTCCAGAGTCCCTGGTATTATAAGCATGCACTACTGTGCCTGGCTCTCATGTTCTTAGGCACAAATTATCTGTACTCTAGAACCAAGCTTTTAAATGCTTTAGTGTTTTACAAGTATAAATCAATAGATTTCTTAAGCTCCATAAACTTTTTTTTTTCTCATTGCCTGTGGTTTTGCTTACCCTATATTTTGTGCTTCTTACGTGTCTGTTTTCTATTTCAGGAGTCATATGAACGAGCAAAACATATCTTGAAAACTCATGCAAAAGAACATAAGAATCTAGCAGAAGCTTTATTGACCTATGAGACTTTGGATGCCAAAGAGATTCAAATTGTTCTTGAGGGGAAGAAGTTGGAAGTGAGATGATAACTCTCTGTATGGATGCATTGCTGGTTTTATTGAAAAAATATAAATAGCATTGCAGTAGTCTCCTTTTGCAATGCTTCCCCCTCCCATTCTTGATTTCATATAATTCAAGGGTGTGAAACAATTTTTTTTTGTCACGTTTGTCTAATTTTCTTTATTCTCATGATGACATCTGTTGCAAATTAGTAACCCATAGCACATACATTTAAAAAAATAAAGAACCATCAGGATTGAAAACAATTTGTTTGATAAATATCAATCAGTTATTATTTTGATGATAATAATGGTTTTATGGTTGGGTATGCTAATACATGTGAATAAAAATTGTGCCTTTAGCTCTTGGTAAGTATTTTTAATTTACAAGGTAAAATTACTGAAGATTTATCATTATCTCTTGATAGTTACATTTCTGTTTGATAAATAATACTGTTTGGTTGTTGGTAATCATTTTTATGTACATCATGATTAAGATGCACTTAATTATGTTCCAGACTGACCCATATATAAAATGGTTTCTAAAAAAATCTTCAGAGTAGAGAATAATAAACATAAAGATACACTCACAATTTAAACGATTTTAACCTTTTAAAAATGCAGCATGCATTTTCATGTTCTTTTTATGCTGTAACCAGTGGCATTTATTTCAAAACAGTAGTAGTTCGTTAAATAAACAAGTAACAGACTTTTTTCTGAATAACTGCATAATTATAAGCTTAATTCAAAAGTAAAATTAAGCAAAAACTCAAGTTCCCTTCAAAGTGAGCTTTTGATTTACCCTGTGTTAGGAATGGGAGGTTGTATTTACTTTTCATTCAAATTTTATAAATATGAAGATATTAGGATTTACAAATAATTTTTTTAACTTAGAAAATATTTTAGAGTGAATTGTATTGGTTTTATAACCAAAATATATTCTTGAAGTGACTTTATTAAAATTACCTATAGTTTTCTGATAACTTAAGCTGTATATGGTCTTCATTGAAGAATATGGATATAGTTAGATGGAGCTTGTAACATGATATCCTTGACCTTTTCTTTTTGATAATCTTAAATTTTGATGTAATTTCAAACCAAGAATTATTGCCAGAATAATATATGGAACTCCTATATACCAATTGTTTTAATTCTCCACATTTTTCACATACATTCTCTTTGTCTTATCCAATCTGAACATGGGCATGGTACCACTGCTTATCAGTGAATAGTTTTGCTTCTTCACATGTTGAAGTTTGAACATTGGAGAAGCACCCTGAGGCAAGCATAAAAAGCAGGGTTTATTTAAAAAGGTGTTACATAGACTTCTCCCAGGAGGGGCCATAGGTGGTATCCCAAGAAGCACTGTGTACTGCATTTTTATAAGTCCTCTCCTTCCTGCATACTGTTGAGGCCCAGGAATGCTTGGTGGGAGTGGGAACCAGGTGGGCTGAGTGAGAACAGGATGGTGCAGCCATAGACACATTAATTAACAACTTTATAGCTCTCTGTAGAGAGCTGCAATTCCTGGGACAGGTTACCTTAGCTACAGACTGGAACAGGGGCAGGTTCTTGATAAGAGTGGAGGAAGGGCTCTGAAGGAATTTACATTTCAGTCCCTCAGGGGACAGTCTCAGACTTCCCGGACTCACTCAAAATTGGCCTGACTGGATCTAACCTGACTCTATTTACCTATCTATACCGACTTGTCTAATTCTGGCTTCATTGACCCCTCTAATTTTAGGAACTTCTTACTCCTCTAAGGAAATAGGACAGCGAACTGGAAAGGGGTGGTTTGGGGCAAGCAATTTTGGAGTTCCCTTTTAGAAGTCAGGTTGGATTGAAGTCTGGTTGGGGAAGAATAGATAGTCATCTGGGGGTGGGTGCTTCTATGAGAGAAACAAAAAACATGAGTACTGAGTAAATGTTGCAGCATCTGGGACATGTCAGTGAAGATGATAGCAATTAATACTCTCTCACCAGGAGGTGTGAGGGCTGAGAAGTTGTCCCCATAACAAGGCCAGAGTAGACAAGACTTTTATTTGGGGATGTAAATCTTTTAACAACCCCAGAGTTATCAGGAATGTAAACACAGCAATTAACTCTTCTTTTTTTAAATATTTATTTTTTAGTTGTAGTTGGACACAATACCTTTATTTATTTTTATGTGGTGCTGAGGATTGAATCCAAGGCCTCACACTTACTAGGTGAGGGCTCTACTGCTGAGCTACAGCCCTGGCCCCACAACATTTAACTCTTAATGTTACAAATCCCCATTCCCATAAGATGTAGTTAAGCTACTTAATGTCATCAGAGCTTGTAAAATCTATTTACATAGAGAATCCTTTATTTCTGTTACTTAGGGCTGGATTGTCATACTAGCCAACATCAAGCCTACCTGTGTAGGTTAGGAATATCTGTAGGCCTTAACCTAACTAAAAAATTGAGTTCACTTACTTGCTATAAAATTCATTACAAGGTACATATTTCTTTTTATGTAATAACCACCCCAATCAGATTATAGAACATTGCCATCACTCCTCTTTCCCCAGAATTTTATCATGCCAGATGTAGATAACTTTTTAAGAAATGAATGAACAGTTTTTCTTTTTCTTTGTTTGGAACTGGGTATTGAACCCAGGGGTGTTTAACCACTGAGCCACATCTCTAGTCCTTTTTATTTTTTGAGAGGGGGACTCTCTGAGTTGCTTAGAGCCTTGCTAAATTGCTGAGGCCAGTCGGAGACTGTCTCCTGAGGGACTGAAATGTAAATTCCTTCATCCTGCCTCAGCCTCTGGAGTCACAGGGATTACAGATGTGAGTCACCACACCCAGCAAGTGAACTGTTTTAAAAAGTGACAGTTTTATTATTTAGCCAGCAGTATGTGAGGGTTACATTCCTCCACATCATCTTCTTTTATGGTACTGGGTTTTGAAACCGGTGACCCCTTTACCATTGAGGCTGGTCTGAAGCTTGTGATTCTACAGCCTCAGCCTCCCAACTCACTGTAATTACAGGCATGCTCCACGGTGTCTGGCTTCCCCTGTATCATTTACAGTGCTTCTTAGTAGTCTACTGTTTTGAGTATGACCATTCTAGTGGATATAATGTGGTATCTCACACTGTTCATATCCAAATTAATAAACATCCAAATTCTAATCTCAAATTAGTCATTGTAGATTTAATTTGCATCTTTCTAGTGACTGATAATTCTTAGTATGTTCTCTTGTGCTAATTGGACATGTTTATATCTTGGAGAAGTGTTTATTCAAATTATTTGCTTCATTTTAGTTTTATATCTTATTGTAAGTTATAAGATCATATCTGAATGGAAGTCTTATCAGATGGATCTTGCCTTTTTTATGCAGTCTGACAGTGTCTGCCATTTCAGTGGAATGTTCAGTTCATTCATGTTTATTATTACTGATATGGTTGAATTTTTACCTGCCTTTTGCTATTTGTTTTTTGCTTTTCTCATATCTAAAGATACTCTGATCTGTTTTTTTCTAAGTTTTTCAATACCATTTTATACTCTTGATTATTTCTCCTGCTATATTGAGAAACTATCTTTTTTGAATAGTTGCAGTAGGGATGACAGTATACTATCCCAGTCTACTTCAAACTAATATACTTAATTCAGATAAGATGTAGGAACCTTGTTCTAATGAATATCCTGTTTTTTCTGTGCTTTTATTGTCATATGTATTGCATGTTGCAAGTTCAATAGTACAGAGGTATAACTACCGCTATACAGTCTTAAATCCTCACCTTGGAATGTCTTTTTTTTTTTTTAGTTGTAGATGGACACAATACTTTATTTTTTTATATGGTGCTGAGGATCAAACCCAGTGCCTCACACAACTAGTTGAGCACTCTACCACTGAGCCATAACACCAGCCTCTATTTTGTTGTTGTTGTTTTTGAAAGGATAGTGTACTTGACATTTTTTTTCTTTGAATATCTTCAAATATGTCATCTCAGCGTATTCTGAATTGTATTACTTTTGGTGAGATACCATTTGTAATACTTTTTGGTCCTCTGGTTGATTGATATTTTTAAAAATGTTTTTTTGTTGTTGGCTTTTTTTTTTTTTTTTTTTTTTTGGTAGTTGTAGATCGATATCATGCTTTATTTGGTTTTATTTTTATGTGGTGCTAAGGATGAACCCAGTGCCTTACATGTGCTAGGCAAGTGCTCTGCCACTCAGCCCCAGCCCCAGCCCCTGGTCAATAGATTTTTGTTTCTGCTTTTTTGTTTGTTTGTTTTTTCCTTGGGCTTATCTTTTAACAGTTTGGATAGCCTTCAGATTTTAGCTATGGATCTGTGGTTATCCTCCTTTTTGGTTTGTTGAGCTTCTTGGATCTGTAGATTAATGTTTTTCATCAGATTTGAGAGATTTTTGGCCATCATTTCTTCAAATATATTTTTCTATCTTTCTTCTGTGATTCTCTAGGGTATGTGAGTAACTTGAGAGTTTTTTGTTCTGTATATCTGTGTATGCCTGAAATATGTGTTGGTATACTTGATGTTTCCATGGCCTCCAAGTTTTTTTTTTTCTCCCTCTGTTTGAGTTGAACAATCTCAGTTAATTTTTCTTCACATTCACTGATTTTCACATGCCACCTCAAATCTACTGAATTTTTTACTTCCATTATTCTATTTTCCATTTTCCCAGGTTTTTGTTTGGTTCTTTCATATGTATTATTTCACTTTGAAATTCTTTGTCCAGAGAATCTTGGTAATTTTATGAACTGGACTGTTTAAGAGTCACAACTTTTTGTTTCTTTGTATGCCTTGTCATCTTTTGTTGGATTTCAAATAATAGAATATAGCAAGTATTGTTTCTGATTTTTTTCCCCCAGTTCTTTGGTTAGTGACTGGCCTCCACTAAATCTATGAAATCTGTCTCCACTGCAGTATGCAAAGCTACTGATGTCTCTACTCAGGTGTTTTCCCTTTAGTTTTGTGTTTGTTTGTATTTGGTGCCAGGGATTGAACTCAGGATTGCTTAACCATTGAGCCATATCACCAGCCGTTTTTATTTTTTGAGACAGAATCTTACTAAGTTGCTCACAGCCTTGCTAAGTTGCTGGACCGGCTTTGAGTTTGCAATCCTTTGCCTCAGCTTCCCAAGTTCCTGGGATTACAAGTGTTTGCCACTGTCCCTGGCTAATTTTATACTTATTTTATACTTATTCTGGTTTCTTAGGGTTAGCTGCTGTGTTTGCATAGTTTAGCAGTTTGCCAGCCAGTGATTAATCAAGGGTTGTACTTAAACTTTTCCATTCAGTCAGGCGTTTGCTTTTTGCTGATGACTCATAACATGTGGGCTGACAATTAAATTCAAGTTGTCCCTGGGTT